TCAGGAGATGATTACATGACTGAATTTAATTATCAAATCCAACATATAATTTACAAAAACTGTAACGCACACGACACTTGGATCGCCCATTTGAACGTTCAATTCAATGTTTAATTCTATATGCTTTCCTCAGTGTCATGATCACAACATATTACAAATTTATTCAATTATTGCTGAATAAACTGACCCCGTTAATATGCATTTTTCCTCCCCAAAAACAACAAAAGGAATATAAAACAAAGGAAGGGACAAGTTAAGTGGGTTTGGTTTGAATTCCAAATTTGTTTGTTCTAGAATTGGGGCATCCATTTGTCAACTTGATAAAAGAACTCGTGCGATGTTCTCATCCACCCTATCTTAATTAGGCGGATCCGTTGTCCCACTCCAACCTATGCAGAGTGCTAGTCACGATTTAAATATTATTTTGTAATCTTTATTTTTTTTAAAAAAAAATCAATTTAATATTTACAACTCATGTGCATGTGTTAATGTAAGGTTCTAATCCCAGACCTTAAACGCATAAAGTCGTTGTGTTGTCACTAAGACAACTTGTCACTAACATTTACGTGCTTTCCTTAATTTAAGCATGTCAAAGACTACGGGTTTTTTAATCAAAATAATCCCCCCCCCACCCTTCTCTCCCTCGGGTTCCTAAGATGCGTTGAGTTTTTTGGAGAGCAATGAAAATAGCCAAATAGGCAGGCTTTTGTTGCTGTGATGACTAAGTGGGCTTTTTAAGAGGCCGAAAACGGCTTTAATGGGCAGCCACAAAGAGCCCAATTAAAAGAATGATCCTCAAGGAGAGCCATGTGTGGGCCACCACGCTGATCTTGTCAGTTGTCACTCTACTTCACTGCGACGAATCTCTACAAATCATGCATCGTTAGTTTGTTACAATTTTTTTTTTTTTCAATCACCAAGAGACACAGGACATGCTTTTAGGTTCAGGAACATTTACAAATTATTCATTATTATAATTTTAACATACAATGCCATTGAACATAGATAAAAATAAAATAATATAAAAAATACAAATTCCATACACAATTATATTTATTTGTAATATTTTTCTATCTCAATATAAACATGATTTCTTATGTACATAAAACACATTTGTCTGTTGAGAGAGAGTTTAGAGATTTGCAACGCTCCCTCTGCTCATTCGCTGACATCCACAACGCATGGATATATAAACTCCATACTTATTTAATCGAGCGGTGGAACCAACCCAGCCAAATAAAATTTATCATTTTAGTTTTTAGAGACATGGTATTTTTTTTAAAAAATAAAACACCACTTACGTACAGATTAAAACAAACAAAATCTCACACGTATCGTTGATGTGTTTGAGATGAGACAGCCCTCGTGCCTCACGTATTTAATTAGCAGGAAAAACAGAGAGGATTAAAAAAAAATGGAAGAACTTAATAAACTGATCGACAAAACGGAACGGAACGAACTGAAACTAAGTGTGTGAAGGGTTACATCACAGCTAGGAAGGAGAGTATGGTTGGAGATAGACACATGCGAAGCAAAAGAAGCAGACGCACTTTAAAGAGGATTATTTATTACGTCCCGTTTTCAAAGTCGATAAAAGTGGTTTCAGCTCACCCACCCCTTGGCTTGCACATCACGCGAGTGGTTTTCCATTTGCTTAAAATTATGAGCACATACTTGAACGTTGTCTACAATGTAAGATCCTGTATCATCATCATGTGCCTATATATTATGTTAACTAACATCTCTACTTACTTAATAAATGGCTGCCAATTACAACATCCTCAAGTGTGTGAGTGTGTTGCCATTTAATTATCTGGGAAAAGAAAGAGTTTACACACAGAGAGAACCAGACGTAACAAATTAGTGCACGAAAAATTGAAGGTCGCGAGGTACAAGTTACACATAGATATCTGCCTTTTGCTTTGTACGAGTCATCCGTAGTTGAATTGCTATCCTATCCATCGCCAATCTTTCATTTTTAAGCGTTGTTCTGTCAAATGTCAATGCACTTTCTTTCTTCTTCTTTTTGTAGATTTTGTTTATCATTCATCACATTGCTATGCGCAATAATCAAAGAAACAAGAAAGATGAAATATCCTCTTATATGTATTGGCAATATTATGATCATTTAATGTCTTAGTCCATCATTAATGAAAAGGGCAAGATGTCAAAGAACTAATTTATTAGAAGTGAGATTCGGTTAAAATATAAAAATATTATATTAATTTAAAAATAATTAATTAATTTATTAAGAGTGAGATTTAATTAAAAATATTTTATACTTTTTAATTAAGGTGTTACATCTATGACATCTTGAAGGATGTGAACCTTTTATATTGTGCGAGTTTATTAATTTTTATGGTTTGAATTAAATCTTACTATTAATTATATGATATTTATTTTGTCTACTTTTGATTTTGAATGAAGCATGATGTATAATAATTGAACATCTTTTAACTATATATTTGGAAAATAGTAATTTAGATTCGAACCATTTAATAAAATTGAAACGATCTGTTTGCCAAACGAAGCAGAGTTGTGTTTTTGTGCAGGGCCATAGATTATTGTTCTTTAATTAACAAATACTTTCTCCAACCTGTTGAATTATAATGTTATTTGATGAGCACGTAAATTATATTCTTCCTTATAGAATTGAAAAAGAGTTTGAAAGAAAGTTTTCTACTCATGGGCAGGCAAAGTTTGATGAATGCTAAAGTGGGTTAATTAACTAAGCCAACTAGGTACCGTTCAATTTCGCACATGATGCTTCCCTATCACACACATTCGAATATACTCCTATTCCTATATAGTAAGAAAGCTAGCCACTTCCACTGATTCTCTATTAAATCTCACACCAAAAAACTGAGTTGCGTAAATTTTTGCACGAATATTTCAAATTTTATTCATGTTCAAAACAGATTACAAATCACTGTTTATGTTCAACCATGTTATTTCCTCTAGAAGAATTCATGCTTGTCCACGTTCCAGTCAGTCCAGTTTTGTCCTGATGATGTTGGGATAGGTCTATTTCAGCTCATAATGGACAAGAAGGGATTTTGTGAGATGGGATAAAAATATATTTGGGATGTGCTAAGATTAAGGACACCATTAGGACATCCCGCCCCAAATATATTAATTCTTCATTTATTTAATAGTATATATTTTTTTAGTTACATAACCATTTTCTTAGTGCTGACAATATAATCTTTTTTTTTTGTTTCATTTTTTACAACATATTAATTATATATAATTTATTTTTATATTTATTTATCTAATAATCTTTGTTTATCTTGTATCTCTTGCTTTGGTTGCAAAAGAGTTATTATAACTTCAAATATCTCAATTAAAGAGGAAGAACTCATGACTTGAAGCGTGCTTGATTAGCTTAAGTTGTGTAACTTTGATTTTATTATTGTTATGTTTATAGCTTAAAGGCCATTTATGGTTGTTATTTTAAGTTATGTTTGTTGTGATTACGTTCTTTTACTTTAAATTATATTTTTTGCAACTCAATAGTTAAATTTACATATTTGTATTGTTTTTGTTTTGAACTTATAGGTAAGTTTTGTAATTTAACAAGTGTTGTTATTTATACCTCTCTTCCTACATTTTACATATTTTATTAGGATATCCCAATCTTATCTTATGCCAATTCAAATAAGATGACACAATTTTTAAGGCATTCAAGAGAGGAAAAAATTTTAGTTTCATTCATATTTTAAGGTAGAACTTCCTGCCCCTACTTAACATTGGCATACTTAATAATGAATGTATGCCAATTTGTTTGAGATTGATATAGTGTCCGTTTAGATTTCAATTGTGTATAATAAATTATAAAAATAATTGATTAAATGATAGATTTTAATCATAATTGATTATATTATAATGCAATCTGTTTAGATATTATTTTTTTAAAATTAATTTTAACAGAATTAAAGATGTTTGGATAATTTAATTAGAATCAATTTTAGCTATATAAATTACTATATAATTTATTTTTTAAATACTAAATACTAATTTTTTGAAGATACAAAGTTCAAATTTTATCAAAAAAAAAGAAAAAAAGAGAGTTTGGTTTTATTTTTATTAAACTATGTGCTCTCTTTAAAATTTTTTTTTGGACATTTCTTTGTAATTTTCTCCAATGCTTTTTGGCAAACTTTTCCACAAACGCTCGGATTATCAGCTCGCAGAAAGAGTTTATCTTTGGGCCAAAAATCGATTAACAAAAAACTTTGGGTGTTTGAATAATTTTGTGCAGAATCGGTTTTTTAACCTAAAAAATTGATTCTAAACCATATCCAAACACACAGATATACGGTCCAATCCAACTCAGGCATGCAAAGTCAACAATAAAATCCTCTTGCCCATTTATTCTTCATCGTCCGACCACACTATATAAAACGCCTCAGCTTGTTTCCATGTACGTCACGTCCTCTAGGTATATAATATCACCCATGCTACACTGCTGCATGTTTCTTCCCTTACTCCCTCCTCATTTACCTCTTATTTATCGCATCCAATTAAGGTTCACGTCATTCGCATTCAACCTTGAAGCTCAAATGCATTATTACATTATATATTTATATTGCTCCACGCCACTGATTTGCTTTTTCCCCTGTTCAACTCCTGCATCAAATTAGGCAAGTCTTTCATACCATTGTCCACAGTGAATCATATATAATGCGATTTGCTATATGTACATTATTCTTATATTTAATTTAATTTATTTTGGTTATTCTGTTTAATTAATCAACTTGCCTGCCCTTAAATCCATCCTCTCTTTTTCCCACCCATCCCGCGTCTATCAGTTGAATAAGGACACGTCAGAATCCAGGCAGAGCCCATCATGCAACTCTCATTGCCACATGCTCTTGCACGTGTCACCATCCCGCCCCTCCAAATGGAAGACAGATCCGACGGCGCCCAGCTCGCTTCATGCCCAACTCTCTTCGTAACTAACGTTGATTTCTCTATTTAAAGAACCACCGGACGGGTGACCAAAACCTCACCCAAATTCACTGACTGCGTTTTGTCTCTCGATTTCTTTAGTGACCATAAACATCTCTCTCGTCATCCTCCTCCCACTTTCCTTCAAAACCAAACAACCTGAATCCTGTTTACCCTCTTTGCTCTTCTCACCATCCCCGAGTTCTTCACTCTTCACTGGCAATTCATCAGTCGTCTCGTTTCACATTTTGTCCCACCAAATCAGCAATGTTGCGGCACTGCAGCTATCACGGCGTTGCTTTAATGGCGGAAAACGACAAGAGGAGGCAGGAGAATGAGGCCGATCCGTTGAAGTGGGGTGAAGCGGCGGAGTCGACGAGGGGGTGCCACGTGGAGGAAGTGAAGGGCATGGTGAAGGATTACAGGAGGAAGGTGGTGAGGGTGGGAGGGGAATCGCTGACGGTGGGGCAGGTGGCTGCGGTGGCCGAGGCGAAGGCGAAGGCGGAGCTGGAGGAGGGGAAGAGGGAGGGAGTGGAGGCGAGCAGCGCGTGGGTGATTGAGAGCGTAAAGAAAGGGATGGACAGTTATGGAGTGACGACGGGGTTCGGTGCGACGTCGCACCGGAGAACCGGCCGAGGGGTGGCGCTGCAAGCTGAGCTTATAAGGTGAACCTGACACTCGTGTTCAGATGCTTTCGCCTTCGGCTTTTCCATTTCGTTACGACTTACGACTTACGACTTACGAGAGCCTCTTCTTTTCTTAAACTTGCCTTTTTTGTTTGTTAATCTCTTGGTGTCCCTTTGCTGGGCTTTGCTTTGTTCCCCAATCCCAAAACAACTGTATCAAAACAGAAAAACCTAAAACAACTTACAATTTAATTAAAAAAACTTACAATATTTTTTGGTACACAGAAAAATTGCAGTTTTGTTTTAATCTCTCTACTGTCATTGCTCGATCAAAAATTTATTTTACTGCAAATAACACGTAAGAAGTTTAAATTTATTTTAAGCCATATTTTTACAAATTTTGAAATGTTTTTAAATGGGTACAAATTTTAATTTCTTTAATATACATTAAAGCCAGAAAAGACCCGAATTGTATATCCAAATTTAATTAATATCTCTATAATTATTATACATCATTCCGAGAAAACATATAAAATTATATGATTAGTTTTAAGTTCGCTCAATTTCAGAGGACACCATAGAATTGACTTTTCCTTTATTTTACTATAGTTATATATTATACAATACAAATGATAATAAAAAGCTATATAATACAAACTTTTCTTTTATTTTTGAGATTCTATTATTTTTTATTCATCTGATCGCGGATTAACTGCTGACACTAAATCATATGTTAGATCACCCTTCTTTAATATATAGATATTATTTTAAAAAAAAAATTTAAGTTATTGAAGATAAATTTAATATACATCATTAAACTTTAATAATTAAATTTTTTAAACACATTTATGTCGAATTATTTATTTAATAATTTTTAATAGTCTGAAGTCTAAACACATGTTGGCTAAATTGTGAGCCATAATATAAATTATAAAATAAACGACGCTTGAAAAATGAAAACAGGTTTCTGAATGCGGGAATATTTGGGAAGGGAGCAGAAGCTTGCCATACTTTGCCACGCAGTGCATCAAGAGCAGCGATGCTGGTCAGAATCAACACGCTCCTCCAAGGTTATTCTGGCATCAGATATAACATACTCGAGGCCATTGCAAAACTACTCAACCACAGCATCACTCCATGCTTGCCCTTGCGTGGTTCCATTTCAGCCTCTGGGGACTTGGTCCCATTTTCATACATTGCTGGACTTCTGACAGGAAGGCCTAATTCAAAGGCCATTGGCCCCAACGGTGAGTCCCTAAGTCCGTCGGAAGCCTTCCATCTAGCCGGTATCCATGAAGGCTTCTTCGAGTTGCAGCCAAAGGAGGGTCTTGCGCTTGTTAATGGAACTGGGGTTGGAGCTGGTTTGGCTTCCATAGTTCTTTTTGAGGCTAACACTTTAACAGTCCTATCTGAAGTCATGTCTGCAATTTTCGCTGAAGTAATGCACGGCAAGCCGGAGTTTACAGACCATTTGACACACAGATTGAAACATCATCCTGGGCAGATCGAAGCAGCGGCAATAATGGAACACATCTTGGATGGAAGTGCTTATGTCAAAGCTGCGCAAAAGTTGCACGAGATTGATCCTTTCCAAAAGCCTAAGCAAGATAGGTATGCTCTTCGAACTTCCCCTCAGTGGCTAGGTCCTCAGATTGAAGTTATCAGGTCGTCAACAAAATCCATTGAGAGGGAGATCAACTCTGTGAATGATAACCCTTTGATTGATGTATCGAGGAACAAAGCTCTTCATGGTGGCAATTTCCAGGGCACCCCAGTTGGCGTTTCCATGGACAACACAAGATTGGCTTTGGCTGCCATTGGAAAGCTCCTTTTTGCTCAAATGTCTGAGCTGGTTAATGATTTCTACAACAATGGCTTGCCTTCAAATCTGTCCGGGGGACGTTGTCCGAGCTTAGACTACGGATTCAAGGGTGGTGAGATAGCAATGGCTTCATATTGTTCTGAACTTCAGTATCTAGCAAACCCAGTCACAAATCACGTCCAAAGTGCAGAACAGCACAATCAAGATGTGAACTCATTAGGACTAATCTCTGCCAGGAAGACAGCTGAAGCTGTTGAGATATTGAAGCTCATGACTTCAACCTACTTGATTGCTCTTTGTCAAGCCATAGATTTGAGGCATTTGGAGGAAAACTTAAAGAATACGGTCAAGAATACAGTGAGCCAAGCGGCTAAGAAGGTCCTAACCGTGGGTGCTAACGGAGAGCTTCGTCCTTCAAGATTTTGTGAGAGAGATTTGCTCAAGGTGGTTGATCGGGAGCATGTATTTGGATATGTTGATGACCCGTGTAATGCTGCTTACCCTCTGATGGAGAAACTAAGGCGAGTGCTTGTAGAACATGCATTGATGAATAATGTTGGCTTGGAAAGTGGATATGCTTCCATATTCCTCAAGATCGGTGCCTTTGAAGAGGAACTGAAGGCAGTGTTGCCCAATGAAGTTGAGTCTGCAAGAAATGCCTTTGAGAAGGGGATTTCAGCAATCCCTAACAAGATTATAGAGTGCAGGTCCTATCCACTTTACAAGTTCGTCAGGGAGGAGTTGGGGGCACAGTTTTTAACTGGAGAGAAAAGTCGGTCCCCAGGAGAAGATTTTGATAAAGTTTTCACTGCAATCAGTGAAGGGAAGTTGATTGATCCCATGTTTGAATGCTTAAAGGATTGGGATGGTGCACCTCTTCCACTATGTTAAGAACCCAGTGAGTGAACTTAACTAGTACTCTCTATTAGTCTTTTTGGTAAAGCTGTTTGTTTCTTGAATGGTAAGCAATATGATCCTATTACGGTTTATTCTCAAGTGATTGATGATTCATGTGTGTTCTATCATGTAATTATGTATAGCAAGCAATTAAGCCTAGCTTCAACCTATATATATATATATATATATATTTTCCCTAAACAAAGTACTAAAAAAAATTTCTGCTTAAAGCAATTTCTAAATTGAAAATTTTCAAAATCACGTTTGCTTACTAAAATATAATAAAATAGAATGAATTAAATAAATTAATATAAAAAAAATAAATCACCTTTCTCCTTATCATAAACATGATAAAATTTATTAATATATACTATAAATGTAAGAATCATCATACTATTAAAAAATCTTATAAATTATAATTTCTAATCCCATAAATTAAATTACCTTTTTTTTTTTATGAATGTACTTACCTATCTTTTTTTATCATCTTATTTTTACTTCTATTTTTTTAATCCATTCCATTCTATTCTATTTTAGTAAGCAAGTGTAACTCAAGTGTCTCAGTCAAAATATTATTGGTCATGAATGTAAATGAATGCATCTCCCTTTTCAAGAGTAAAGTTATCCACTGCAGTATGTTTATCCCCAACGAGTACACTATGATATCCTCAAGGAAAGGACTTTTTCAACAGAAGGGGAAATTTTTTCCTGAAGAAATAGAAATGGACTTCAAAGTTTTACCTCGAGAATTTTCCACCAAAATTTGTTGAATCTCAAAACAGCTCGACAAATAACAAGCATCTTTTTAGATCTAGCTGCTTCCACCATGCTCCAGATCATGCTCAAAAGCAGATGCCGAATCCATATCAGCCCACAGAACCAAATTCAAGACAATTACTTTTTATTTTTACCAAGGCAATTAATTACATATATGTACATTTTAATATCAAATAGTCAATTACAATAGCGTATTTTGACAAACGTCAAAAGCTAATATAACTGCCTTACAGCACATAATAGCCATCCCAAATCAGAGGCCTCTGAAACACAAACCTAAAGCAAAACTTACAGCCGGCTACGTATCGTGTTAGGACAAAATAGCTGAAAACCAAACTCTCTCTTTGGTTAGTCATCATCTGACAAACAGACTATGTCAGCCGACATAGCTGGACGGACAGAGTCATCCTGCACGCTACTAGAAGTACCAAACTCAGATTGCTGCAATGATGTCACATTTGACGAACGTAATAGAGAATTTCGCAGATTCAAACCGGGTTGACAATTACCATCCATAGCTGGCTCCCTGGCCGATAAGTTAGGACTGGTTAACGCTGCAGGAATTTCAGGCCGGTGCACTCTATTACGAGGATCAGATATATTGGTTGAAAGTGTAGGTCGAGAATGGTTAGGCAATGAGGGAATTACAGGAATGCTATTAGGGGCTTGTTGACTCGACACACCATGCGCAGGTGTAGGGAGACCAGAATCAGGCAAAGATGTTGAGGGTCTGTAATGCTGGAGATGGGGTGGAGTGGTACGGAACCCACTACCAGCTTGATGATTTGCTAATGGAGGAATGGAGCTGATATGAGGTGGCCTTGGAGCTGCATTGTAAGCAGCTAGTAGAGGTGGCGCCATGGTCTGTGAGATAGTTGTAGTCGATATAGGTAGCACCATGGGTGAAGAGCTAGCCGGAGCAGGCATAGGTGTCCCCAAAATCTGTGAGCTCGCTGGAGGGGAGAAGGGCTGCATACTGGATACAAGTGGCACCATGGTCTGAGAGCCAGCGGCAGTGGCAAAATGCTGCAGGGTAGATGCAGGAGGCCCAAGAGGCGGACTTGCAACAAGGGGAGGCCTCATATCTCTTTGCTGTCTTGAAAACCAAACCAATTGCTGCGCGAAACTTGGATCTGATAATAAAAATAATGGTTAAGAAAAACCTTAGGATATGACGTGTGCATATTCATGATCTGTAAACTCAGATAATGAGTGGGGTGATGTGAATGATTCAAAAGCATACACATCAATGGAGAAATGGAACAGAAAATTAGGTTTAAAAATGAACTTAGGAATTAAAAAAGATTTAATTGATTGATTTTATTTTGAATTTCATCATCGTTTTGTTCAGCTAAAGTGTCATTGTCAATCATCTTATTAAGAGTTACCTCTTGGGTTCCACATAAAGCTTCCTTTAGTGATTAAAGTCAGAGTAGGGCAGCTTCTTGTTAACCAATTAATTTTAATAAAGTTCTCTTGGCTTGTTATCATCTCTTTCCCTAATTCATCTCACTTGTCTACATCTCCCCCCTTAACCTTGTCTATGCCCCCTATAACTATTTTTATTATCACTTATACATCAAGTGGTATCAAATCAAGGCAAGGTTAACATTCCAAGCATTCCCTCTGCCACTTAAATCAACTCAAAAAACATTGCTAAAATTTAAGAGTTATTGTTGTTCATGAAAGGCAAGAGCACATGCATCCAACCTCCAGATCAGGCGAGACCCCAGTTGATGGGTGTCACGAAATCCATCTTGGCCCTAAGGCCACAGAGCACATGCCTCCACGCACCAGATATAAAACGAAATAAAAAAGTTTCAACATTTCCGAATACAAGTAATGTACCTTGCTGCGTTCCTGATGCCCCAGATACTCTAAGATCCATGCATTTAGACCTAAAAGCCTCAGCCCATGCCTGATTCATTTGAACTAAGTTGAGACTTGTATCCAGGGTCTTCCTTTTCAGTTGAAACTCAACCTCACTCTCCTGTAACTTGATATCATACTTCCTGCGAATTTCCTCGATTTCCCTCTCACAATCAGATTTCAACTGCAGTTTCTGCTCAAATAACATAAATAGTTACAACAAAAGAAGTGAAGAGATAAAGATAAAAAAAAAAAACATAGATCATGCATAGCAAAAGCAAAATAATTTAGGTGCAACACAAACTAACCGTATCTTCATAGTATTTCAAGGTTTGCTCTGATTCTTTACGTAATCTGTCCAATTCATTTTTTAATGGATCAATGACCAAAGGTGAATGCATCCTGTTCATCGATTGGGTTGCAGTTTGTCTAAGATGATTATTGATCTCTGAAGGTGTGAAAACATTTCTTGTGTCTAATGATTGCGTTCTGAATGCACCAAGAGGTGCATGCGAAACAAGATCAGAATTTGAGGCAGGATGAACAACGGTCTGATTCGCAACCTCCATTTGTGCAGGTGGAATACGGCCAGAAAGAGAATCTTCACTGTTTGACCGAAGTTCAATTCCAGTTGCCATAGATGGATAATGGTTGGAATTAGGGGACTCTGCAGGTGGAAATTGCTGCATTTGCTGCAGAAGCTCCCCGACCAGTGACTCATGATTCAATCCATTAGATTGTGTCACATCAATTTGACAACATACTGGCTCAACTCGCTGGGAAGAGTTAAGCATTTCTCCAGAAGTGTCCGGGTTAGAAGCAAGGGACTCTGCAGAAGCTAATTGCTGTACTTGCTCTAGAGGCTCCACGACTGGGTCATGACTAAATTGACCAGCTGGTAAAGCATCAGTAGGACTAGACACCGCCTCAACTTGCGAAGCGGAGATCTGCATTTCTCCACCTGTGCCCTGGTTGGAAGCAAGGGACTCTGCAGATGGTAATTGCTGCACCTGCTCAAGAGGCTCCATGACTGACTGGGGATTTGATTGATCTGCTGGAATAACATCAACTGGACCAGATACCAGTTCAGCTGGTCCGGACGAGTTCTGTCTTTCTCCAACTGTTGCATCTTTATCAACCATTCTGGGGGATGTTAATAAAGAGGCTTGCGAATCTTGTAGTGCCTGGCAGGCAAAAAATAAAAGTGAACGTGGTGTAAGATATATCTATAATTCTAAAAGATATCCAAGACATTATAGTTGTAAATTTCATACAGCATCCATCAACAAAGATAAATCAGCAAGCACAAGCACACTAAACTCGTCCTAACAAAGTAATAACCCAACTTCCTAAGAGCTTAAAAGGACAATCAACAAGTGCTAGAAATTCTAGGAAAAGTAACCAATGACTCGTAACCACCGAGATACAAAAGAATTCTCCAAAAATAAAAAATATTTATATAAGTGCAGATTCCAGAATATCTTTCATGTTGTCCATGACTGGATGCAACTCACACAGTATTATACATTTAATATTTATGTCTTCCAAAGGATAAGCTCATTAGCTGAAGATACCATTCTAGTTTACTAAAGCATGCAGAGATTGATAACACAGCACTATTGCCATAGTACAGGACTCTGCACAGTACAATTAAAGGCTACATTGAAGGAAAGCTTAATAATAATGCTGTCACCTGGGACAAGTTGTTATTGTTCATAGTACTATGCATTTGTTCCTGCTCCTCTGATGTGACAGTTCGATCCAACACTACCACCTCTGTTCGGCATTCTCTGCCATTATAACATTGAGCTATTTCACGACTAGTTCCAGGCACTTCAAGTGGAACCTGTCCATCGTGCATGTGTAATGAGACTCCATCAGAAGTTTGCTGATCTGGAAAGAGCGGACTTTCACATTGTCTTGATAACTCTCTATCTGAAACATTCAACGGACTTCCATAAGAAATTAGTTCCCTGGATGAAGGAGGATCTACAGTTATATCCTTATCCGAATCCTCAAGCAGAATTTTCTCCCTGCGACCATCATAAAAAATATTATGGCCTTCCCCTTCGTTCATCATGCATGTGGCTCCATTGACATTATGTTCTTTGGAATGGGAATGCACAGAGATCATTTTCCCTCGACTGTCACATGCATCTTGAGCTCTATCAGGGCCCTCATAAGCACTAGCGGGCTCAACTGGAGGAGTTTGCGCTTCAACTGGACTACTGCACTGTAGAGCCACAGGGGACGTGATTTCTGGAGTTCTAGATAATCCAATCCCATTTCCTGTCATGGCTTCAACTATTCCATCAAAATTTGTACCCTCAGCAACAAGATTGGACATAAGGCACCTATTCTTTGGATTGCTGTGGCTCAACTTGCTCACTAGTCCTCAAGTATGCTCACTAGTCCTCAAGTATGCTATTCTCACGTTCTTTCAAAGGAAGTGTGTTTAACAATTCATCTTGTGCCCAAGACTTCACATCTTCCACCCAAGTAGCCTGCCAATTTTGTAACGTTTGCCTTGCTTTCAATAGGTCATCCTCAAGATCTTTGAGATGTATTTGATGCTGATGCTTCAAATCTTCAATTCTTCCAGTATATTCAATATCTAAAGCCTTAAGCTTTTCTGATCTCATCACATCATTGGGAGAAGAGGATCGAATAACGGCTGATTCTATTTTGTATTTTTTCTCAAGATCAGCCCTTTTTTCCTCATATGTTGCGTCCAACTTCTTCTTTTCTTCTTGATGCTTAAGGAGTAACTTCCTCAACTTCTTTTGGCACTTCTTTTGAATTTCTTTGATGCTTTTTGAGACATCTTTCTTAGCCAATTCAACCTCTAGCGCCAAGCCCATACAGGAATAATTCTTACCAGATAATTCAGATCCAGAAGCTTTTGGAGAGCCAGTGACATTGTAGTTTCCTGTTCGATGCAAAAATATATTCTTCAGACACCGCAACATTGAATAAATTAAGTTTGCCTCATCCTTCCTGCAACCAAATTTTAAATTCTGTTTTGCAAGCATGAGGGAAGCTTCATGGTCAATCTTGTGCTTTACCAAAGCAGCTGCAGTCCAACACTGAAATTTGCAATGTAGATGAAAAAAGCTTGTCAGATCATGTGAGCATCACAGATAAACAAGAGCTAAATAACAACTTTGCCTACTAGAAAGCATGAGTGATTGAAATGCTGTCTATTAGATGATAATAGGACTCTGCTAGCAAATACAACTCATGCAACTCACACAATCCATCAAAATGTCCAAAATGGTAGAGATTATGCTATTATGAATAGGCTATTCAGCAAGAGTTTATGATTCACATTTAAGTTGAACCTCTCTCTTAGCAAACAGATACCCTCAAGTACCTCATACACAACCACTTACACCAAATAACATCCCAATGCTTCCTAACACTACAATGGAACAGTACTCACAGCTAGCTTACAAGGGGCGAGTTCTCCCTACTCAAAAACCACTCCCAAAACTCTTTAACAAGTCGATTCAAATAAATTTATTTATTTATTTAAAAGATTTATATAATTTCATTAATATAGTTTATAGTTTCAAAATAGTCATTCTTATAAAGAATTAGATTAGTCCTATAACTGTAACTAGATGAATTCACACTCCACTGTTGCCTCTTTTGTCAGTCGTCGTGTTTTAACTTTTAAGATATTCGCTCAACTTATTCACAACTACCTTCTCCACTTTTTCATTGTCAATTTCCGTACGCACACTTCCACTCTCCCTTCAGCCCCTCTGTTTCTTCCATTTGCTCCTTCTTTTCTCCCTCTTGTTCCCCCTTTCTGTCTCCAGTATATTTAGGGGGCAGGTTGGGATCTGATACATAACTGTAGTATGAAGAGAAGAGAGAGGAAGGGGGAGAGAAGAACAGGAACAGGGAATGAGGAAACAGAGAGATAGACGACAAGAATCAGAGAAATGAATCTTATTAACTGTCACAATACTGAGTCAGAATACATTGCGTCTCCTTTTATTTACAGGCCCCATGTCTCTGCCCAAATTAACTAACCAACTAACCACTGTATCGTCCCATTTCCAATTATGATTACATAACAAGATCTATCAAATCAAAATATATTTAAAACACATGTATGAGTAACCTTGCAAAATGTAACAGTAGGATTCTATCACAATCAAATGGGTTGTTGAAATGAGAACTATATAGCTCATGAGCAAGAGAAAAGAATAAGTAGCAATCATTCAAAAGGGAAAAATAAAAGCTCTGAGGCGATTGGGAAAATGTTGCTTCTTCATGACAATATTTCAGCTGCACTAGCACAACAACAACAACAACAACAACAACAAGCCTTTATCCCACTAGGTGGGGTCGGCTACATGGATTGCAAGACGCCATTGTGCTCTATCATTTATTAAGCTTTTAGAAATATTATTAATTAAGAGATCACGTTCAACAACTTCCAAGAGTGTTCACTCAGCTGCACTAGCACAGTTCTGTGTAATTCCCACACTTCCTTGATTGAACCCAGTGTAAACTCTTGATTTAACTAGTAAACTTGTATCAGTCAAGGATATGGAAAGGTAAGTCACGTCAACTTGCAAGAGGCTTGGTAAAGATCTTGTAAACGGAGTATAAACTGGTTAACCAGTGTGAAATCCAGCTGTTTGTGTCCAGCCAAATGTTGCATTTCAAATTATCTTGAAGACTCAGCATGAAGTTTATAGAATTATGATAATTTTTTGCAAAGCAACAATAATTTGTAGATGACTGGAGACTGATGAGCCCAACAGAAAAGCGGATCTGACCTACTCTCAAAGAAGGCAACGGCCAGACAATATAGGGAAGGTTGAAGTCAGACAAAGAAATGGGTGAGTCCAGAGAAATCAAATAGGTGCAGGGGTAAATGAGGGAAACCCTAATGCAGCTAACTTTGTCTCGTGAGAAGGATGTGGGGTAGGGAGGAAAGTGAATCTGTAGAGAAGAATCTAGTAAAGGAAGAAGAGAGGAAGGGAAGGGGGTATGAAAAATCTGGTTAGTTGGGAAATCCTGTACTCTTGAAAGTGAGCATCATTACCATTGCCATTCATTTTCTTCTTTCTTCCGCATAGTGCTGTAGGTAGCTGCTGGATTGTCCTTCCTCCTCCATATATATTGGATGAGACGTATCAATTCAGGTAATATAAATAATATTCAGGCGCAAGGTTCTACCAAAGACTCGATCACTTCACTAGTTTCTTGTCTTAACCAACTCTTTTTCTAGGTTTATCGTGTCTATTGAACATCACTCCCTGGCCCGTCTTTCCTTTTTCAGTTTCATGAGTCCACTTATCCCATCTTGACAGCCATAATACTGGCGTAAATGTCAGGACAAAACTGTAACTACCACAAAGATCATCCGTCTGACCTTGGCTTGCCAACAGTTAAATATACATAGAGAGAATGAAATACCAGCATCCTTTTGGAACACAATTACATCTGATGCCAGGCAGCATGAGGGGAAGAAAGCAAGGAAGAAAAAGGATTAAATGAAAGAAAATGGAAGAGTACATTCTGACCAGAGAAATTTGAAAAGCCTCCAGTATTGACTTTGGAAGAGTACTATTCACATGGTGGTTGCCCATGACATACTCAAGAAATTCATCAGCCATCCTCCTGACATTATCCTGCATCACATAAATTTGTGTTAATATACCACCAGATTAATACACATTCAATGCACAATTTTCAGATATGAATCCCCATGGAAACTCCAGGTTGAAGTAAATATTTGACTGCAGCATAAAAGGTATGCACCCTGCATTAGTTCTAAAATACCTTAGGTTTCATGACCTTGAAGCCTCGTTTAATAGCAAAAAGGTCAAGCCTACAACATATGACAATGCCCCCCCCCTTTTTATTAACTTCAATCGTAATCTAGGCATGTGTCTAACTGGTATTCCGTAATAAAGTCACAACAATTGTTCAACAACAACAACAACAAGCCTTTATCCCACTAGGTGGGGTCAGCTATATAGATTGCAAGACGCTATTATGCTCTATTATTTATCAAGCTATTAGAAATATTATTAATTAAAAGATCGCGTTCAATAACTTTCAAAAGTGTTCTCTTAAGCCTTCCTCTACCCCTCTTAACAGGGCTTAAAGTTATATGTTCCATTCTTCTCACTGGTGCCTCCCACAGTCTTCTTTGTATATGTCCAAACCATCTCAAACGATCAATAAAGAAAATATTGGATCCAAAACCAATTGACCTCTTTATCTTTGCTCATTAAGTTTTTGAATGGCGCTTATTCTCTCATTTTCCATGGCAGCCGTTACTGACCATTTAATTCTTTCTAGTAGCAATATCTTCATATCAATCTGCCATCTGCTAATATTCTAGTTTCAAGATTTCTCCTATGACTCATTGGTTGCCATTATAACAAAGAAACCCTGATAGGGTTTCTGCATTTTGGGGCCGTGTTTATGAGGAGACACAAAGGGAAATAGGCCCAAAGCAGTGAACAAAGTCCAGAGGGTCCAGAAGGGCAAAATGGTCAGGGTACTAAACTGTAGAGTGTTCTGACATGGTCAGGTTAGTGGGCGAGCGTTATTTAGGCGGGAGGAAAGGCATTTCGAGGTAGGCAATTAGAATCATCTTTGGGTAGAGGGCTTAGTCTCTCAAAAACTAGGTGGAACGAGGTTATTTTCTATCGTGAGGTTTTATTCCATTGTTGCTGAAGTAGCTGGCACAGCCATTAGTGATTGTATTCTCTACATTTTCCCTACTATAACAGAGGATACCAGTTGCATTTCCATTTAAATTGTGTTGAACATCTGCCGGTTCCTATCATATTAGTATCAAAGTGAGTATATTCCTAGGAATGGCCAATACCCCCACCCCCGCCCCCGCCACCAGAAAGGCAAGGTAACCACACTCTAGAAACTGAGATACCCATACTGGAAGAAGGAGCAAGAAGGGAGACGAACAATAGAGACAATAAAGGAATGGGGTAAAGTGATGGGTTTAAGTACCATGAACTAAAACTACCATTATTTAAAGGGGAGGAGGTGCTAGGGTGGATCTTTAGAGTAGAGTGATATTTCACAGTTAATGGAGTAGGGGAGAATGAGAAGTCAAACGCAGCAGTCGTCAATCTATAGGGGAGGCCTTGGCATGGTTCCAACGGCTTGAAACAAGGACACCAATAAGAACGTGGCCTGAATTTAAGCGAGAAGTAACGGACTGATTTCATTATAGGCAGCTTGGTGGTGAACATAAACGCCTCTTGGCGTTGAAAGAGGGTACTATATAGGAATTCAGGGAGAAATTCAAGCTCCTCTCAGCTCCCTTAAGTGATGTGCCAGATGAGATGCTAGTGGGGGCTTTCTTGAATGGGCTGACAAAGGAAATTAGAGCAGATGTCCGTTTGATGCACATTGGAAATCTAAAGATATTGATGGATTATGCGGGCCAAGTAGAAGATTGAAATAAGGCAAAGGAAAGGGCTGTAGAGGAGAAACGGAGCAGAGCAGCAAAGTCCACTGTGAGCAACTTATAGAGTGATTACAAACCCTTGATTCCCAAATTTAGCACAGTCGAGAATTTCAAGAGCTTCAGTACGCCATCAAGAATGAAGGAATATGGGGAAAGGACTAATGAAGAAATGAAGTCGACCCCTTCCAGGACGATGAACTCAGGCACCACTTCAGTTGCCAGCACGAAAAACAATGCACCACATAGGAGACTTATTGAGGCCAAAATTAACAGACACAGAGAGTTGGGCATATGTTTCAAATGTGAAGAAAAGTTCAGCCCAAACCACAAGTGTAAAAACAAGAAGCCTAAACTCATAGTAATTGATGAGGAGGATGAGGGCCTAAAAGAAGAAAAGGAGAGGCCCATATAGGACCAAGCCTAAAAGGAAGGAGAGATTACCACAATGAAATTGTCCATAACCACTGCCAATGGGCTGACTGGAAAAAGAACCCTTAAAATGAAAGGGACGACTCAAGGGCAGGAGGTTTTAGTCCTAATTGATTGTGGGGCAACCCACATATTGCCCCCGAACTCATGTTGAAACTGGGTTTATCCACGCAAGTCAGAAGGTATTCAATCACAGTGGGTGATGGGAGACGGATTCATTCAAACTATAAGTGCTCCGATGTAAAACTCAAAATACAAGGCTTGAAAATCGAACAACCTTTTTACCTGTTCAGTCTTGGAGATGTTGACTTGATATTGGGAGTAGAGTGGTTGGAATCTCTAGGTGAAACATGCATGAATTGGCGATAGTTGTATATGAAGATAAAGATGGATGGGAAGTGGATATGCCTCCGAGGTGACCCGTCACTCACCCAAGCGCAAGTCTCCCTGAAAGCAATTCAGAAAACAATTAAAGAGGAGAGAGTTGGGTGCTTCGTGACATTAATAGCATTACAACAGGAAGAAAGGGATGCCGAACCAAAACAAGTGATGATATGGCCGCGATACTAGACGAATACCCCAAGGTATGTACAACGATGACCAGGCTACCCTCGAGGAGGGCTCAAGATCATGCAATAACCATCAAGGAAAGGGCTCAACCAGCTAATATGCATCTACACCGATATGCATACACTCAGAAGGCAGAAATTGAAAGATTAGTTAAGGAGATGTTGCTTGCGGAGGTCATACAACCAAGCACCAGTCCTTACTCGAGTCTAGTGCTACTAGTCAAGAAGAAGGATGGGAGCTGGAGGTTTTGTGTAGACTATCAAGCCCTGAATAGCATCATTGTTCCACACAAGTACTCATTATCGGCCATAGACAAGTTATTGGACGAGTTAGGGGGAGCCATAATGTTTACAAAGTTGGACTTGAAATCGAGCTACCACCAAATACGAATCAAAGAAGGTGATGAGCCAAAGACAACCCTCTGAATGCATGATGGGCACTACGAGTTCAAGGTTATGCCTTTCAGGTTAATGAATGCACCTTCTACTTTTCAGTCTCTTATGAATAATATATTCGAAGAATATTTGTCAAAATTCACACTTTTTTTTACGATATTCTCATGTATAGCAAAGATAAGGAAACCCATCGAGAGCATTTGAAGATAGCCTTAGAAATACTCAAGAAGCACCAGCTAGTGGTTAATCTAAGGAAATATGTGTTCAGCCAACCATAGATTGAGTACTTGGGCCACATTATTTCAGCTGAGGGAGTCAAAGCAAACCCCATAATTTGAAGACCCTTAGGGGATTCTTGGGTCTTACTGGTTACTATAGAAAGTTTGATAAAGGATACAGCCAGACAGCTTCTCCTTTAACTCAACTTTTGAAGGACTCTTTCAGATGGGATGACGAAGTGCAAAGGGCTGTTGAACAGCTAAAGAAAGCCACGACAATGGTGCCTGTCTTGGCTATGCCTAATTTTAGCATCCCATTTGAGATTAAGGCCGATGCTTCGAGCAAGGAGATAGGGTTGTATTGATGCAAAAAGGTCAATCCATAGCCTATTTTAGTCAAAAGCTATTGGAGAGGCACTAGCTGAGCTCCATTTATGGGAGAGAACTCATGGCTATCGTGCTAGCAATTAAGAAGTGCTCAAGTGGCAACCCTACCTGTCAAGCCAATCGTTTGTGATGAGAACAGATCAGAGAGCACTCAAATATCTCCTAGAGCGGTGAGTCATTGCCCTCGACTAGAAGAAGTGGTCACCAAGTTGATGGGGTACAAGTTCCAAATACAATACAAGCCAGGGAAAGAGAATAGAGTGGCTAACGCATTATCTCGTTGAGATTTTGAGGTGGAGTTTAAGGCCATTTCTATGTGGCAATATGATGGTATTGAGGAGCTAGCATTTGAAATTCATAAAGACCCACAACTCAAGAAGCCGGTGCAGAACATCATTAAAGGGGACTCTATTCCAAGTGGATACAGTGTAAAAAATGGAGTCCTTTATCATGAAGGGCGAATAGTGCTACCAAGATTTTCAGAGAAGACCAAGGGATTGATTAAGGAGTTCTATGACTCCTTTATAGGAGGGCACTTAGGATACTTAAGAACATATAAGCGTTTATTAGTTGTGGCCTACTAGGAAGGAATGAAAAAAGACATTCAAGAGTATATGGTACAATGTGACATATGTCAAAGGAATAAGTATGAAGCTTTGAGCCTTACCGGGCTATTACAACCCTTACTAATACCCTGTGCGTCTTGGGAGGATGTGAGCGTGGACTTCAAAGGAGGGATGCCCAAGAGTAATCATTTTGACACTATTAGTTGTGGTTGACAGATTAATCAAATATAGTCATTTCATTTGTCTTTCTCACCCCTATAGTGCCAAGGATGTGACAGAGACATTTGTGAGGGAGGTAATCAAGTTCCATGGGTTCCCAACCTCTATTGTAACTGATAGAGATTGAGTCTTCGCTAGCCATTTTTGGAAAGAGTTATTCAGTATGGCAGGGACAACTTTGAAATATAGTTCATCCTACCACCCTAAAACTAATGGCCGAATTGGAGTGGTCAATAGGACCCTTAAGACTTATTTGAGATGTTTTGCTGGAAACACACCTAAGAAATGGGCCAAACTGAAGTGGTCAACAAGACCTTTGAGACTTATCTGAGATGTTTCGCCAGAAACACGCCTAAGAAATGGGCCAGAATCATACCTTAGGCTGAATTTTGGTACAATACGACTTATACAATGCTATTGGGACCCACCAACACTGCTGAAATGGAAGGATCAACCCTTAAGGGTGCCAGATGTAGACGAACAAATTCAAGAGCAAAACCTGATCTTAGGAGAACTCAAGAACCAGCTTGAAAAGGCCCAAAACCAAATGAGGAACCAGGCAGACCAACATCATAGGGAGCTGCAATTCGAAGTAGGGGATGTTGTATACTTTAAGTTGAAGCCCTACAAGTACAGGTCACTTGCAAGAAAACGAAACGAAAAACTTTCCCTGAGATACTATGGCCCATTTACTATTATTGAAAAGATAGGGAAGGTTGCATAACGGCTGGCATTGCTAGATACAGCCAAGATCCACAATGTTTTTCATGTTTCTCAGCTGAAATGGGCCCTTAAAACCACAGCACAGGGTCAACCCTTACCCAAAGGTTTGACCGAGGCATTGGAACTCAAAGTGCAGCCTTAGAAGCTCATGGCAGTTCGAGCATTCAAGGGGAAAAAACTGCAGCTCTTGATCAAATGGAAGGATTTACCAAAATGTGAGAACACTTGGGAGGAAGAAGACACCATTCGTTCCCAGTACCCTCAATTCCACCTCAAGGACAAGGAAATTCTTGCAGACAGGGGAAATGATAGGCTTTCTGCACTTTGGGGCCGTGTTTATGAGAGGAGACACAAAGGGAAACAGGCCCAAAGCAGTGAGCAAAGTCCAGAGGGTCCAGAAGGGCAAAACAGTCAGGGTACTAAACTGTAGAGTGTTCTGACATGGTCAGGTTAGTGGGTGAGCGTTATTTAGGCGGGAGGAAAGGCATTAGGAGGTAGGCAATTAGAATCATCTTTGGGGAGAGGGTCTGGTCTCTTGAAAACCAGGTGGAATAAGGTTATTTTCCATCGTGAGGTTTTATTTCATAGTTGCTGAAGTAGCTGGCATAGCCATTAGTGATTGTATTCTCTACATTTTCCCTACGGTAATAGAGGATACCAGTTGCATTTCCATTTAAATTGTGTTGAACATCTGCAGGTCCTATCAGACCCAAATCACCAGAATCAGAAATTGAAATAACAAAGATCAACTTCACCCATCTCTCACCTAAAATCACAAGTTTTTAACTGTAAAATCTGCAATATTACATTAATAATAGGACGGTTAAAACTCCACAGCAACAAAGAAAATAAAGTCCTCTGAAGGCCTTATAACCAAATATTGTTGAACTGCATATATTTTCCACTTTTGTGGTGTTGAAACAGTCTCAATTCAAATGGCCAAAAAGTAAATAGCCTTTAAGCGACATTTTTTCAGCAAATTGATCAACACTGACAAACAACCAAATATGATTATCATATTGTGATCCTAAAAAAAGCACATTTTATCAGTACAAAAATAATCTGGCAAATAGATTGCACTTCTGCTGATAAGAAAACAACATGGGAAGGTACAGAATCTAAGGAAACAGGTATCATACTGGGACATGTAGGATTTCACAAAGCTTAGCTATTTCTGACTTCAGAGAAAGATGTAAGCTCCTCTGCTCATTACGTGACTTCCTTGCTTTCAAGAATTCAACATCATTGCCTTGAGGTCTTTCTGAAATTCAAATTTAAACAGAGCAAGAATAATCGACATGCAGTGTATCATTAAAGCAAGCAGTTTCATTTTTGGGCCAAAAACTAAAGCAGGCAGTTGAATGAGAAATGAATTTAGAAACATTACCCATTGGTTCTCCAGAATTTCCTGCAAAAGTATGTGATGTATCAGAAATTACTATGAGAAACCACAAAGGTTGCAAGAATTCCAACAATCTCTCAACTCAATTAAACTACAATGTTGAAAACAAGATGGACTTATTAAAAGCAGAAATCACTAACCTTCCTTGTTTCTGGCAGATAATTGTTCACCTTCATGTTTTGAATAAGGCTGATCAGCATTATTTATCAGTTTTGAACGCTTTTTCACTACCTCTTCATTCTCAAGGTCAGGTCTATTTCCTGAATCAAAATGCTGAACCCTTTTTCGGCTCCTTTGAGATGAACCACATGAGTATTTCCACCGTGGATTTTTTCCCTCCAAAACTTTTGTCCAAAACAAGTGGCATGGCTCTAAATCCAGTGATTTAAATTTCCACTCACCAAGCAAAGAAAAATTTGGGTGGTATTTTACTCCATTTTGCTTGACTTTCAATAAAAAGGAGCAGTCCCTTGCATCATTATCTTCACCATTTTGCTTAAGTACGAATGAAAATTCATGTAGAGCATGTTTTAAAGATAATTGTCCAGATAAGGAATCCACACTTAAGAAATCAGTTTTACCATCATGAAAAGCTTTTAAATCATCAAATAAAGACGATGCCCCCCACATCAATAGTGTGTGACTGGTACTCCAACTTATGTCAAATTTGGTATCAAGTGGTCTATCCTGCTTAGCAAGGACTAGGGCTCTTTCTTCAACAGTGAAAGATGAATATAACCGAAATATTTTAATCTGTTCCAACTGTGAATCAAGTGTTATTTTCTGAAGGGATCTTATATCATTCAATGGGTTCCAATCACTATCAAATATGATAATGGTATCAACTGATGACAATTTGATGCTTTGATGGCAAGCATTGGCCTCCAATAAAAATACAAATCTCCCGTGGTCCTTGTTGTTAAACATTTTCAGAGCACTTTGCTTCTTAGAATTCAAAACACCTTTGTCAATTCTTTCATAAGAATCTGGACCAAATCTTTGACGTATTAAGTCATCCAAAATATCTCCAATTGAAACCTTCCCAGAACCACCTAAAAACTGAAGATCAAAGTTTTCAATAAAAGTGCGAATATAACTCACTAAATTATTACAAGAGATGCGTTGATCATTGTACTCATGCACCTGATCAACCGCACACAAGTATATAATGGAGGGGAAACAAGAGAGAGCAACTAAAACAGAGCAAGTAAGAAGAAGAAATAGACAACTCAGATATAGACCATCAGTTTAATGCTTTGGATTCTGATCATTGGCTTGATAAACGTGCTAAAGATAAAGACAGATCAGAGAAAAAAGATAGGCCAAGAAACCTTCGTTTCTAGGCCAACCCAACATGCAAGCTGTAAAATTGTAGACTACTCCCTTCATGCCAAGTTTCTCTTTCTGAGCAACTGCCTAAGTATGGCGTTATTGATTCCTTGACATACTGGAAAATCATGATCAGATCAAGTGGGATTATATTTTTTTTTAATTATTTAAACTAAATTGGAAGTGGAATATTTAAACTAGAATTCAATTAACAGAACCCCTCATATATGACGTCTTGGGATCACCATTAAAGAATGCAATCTTAACATCCATATGATGAAACTCTAAATATATAGAATGCCAAAGCATTGAAAACAACTAAACAAGCAAAAGTTTTAGAAAAATTTAACAACAGGATATTCCACAAGATGTGTACCTGGAAAAGAATAAGCACCCTCAAACCTTGTTTTTTCAATTCCATGAGCATGGAATCAAGAAGTTGCAGCTTCGCACTTGCTTTTATTCCAACATCCAGGATCTCAGCTGGTGGAAGATCTTTGATAAGTAAACTTTGTAGGGATTCATCAACAAGGTAGGGGTGATTACAACACTGTCATGAGATACCACAGCCAAAAAATGAAAACATGAAAATTTGCAACCATCAAATAGCTAGTAGCACTCACATATAGTCAACTATTGTTCAGACAAACAGAACATAGAAGTCAATTAAGTGTAAGTGATTAGCAAATCAAATGAAAGCATAAAATCACATAAATGAGAAGATTCTGAACCTAACTTTTGAACACACACATGAAAAGGAATGCTAAATCAGATCCAACACGCACACATCAAAAGAATTAAACCGAAGATATTAAAAATACATCTGATTGGTCCTCGTTAATGGATCAAGACTAACTCCCACGGGTGTGTGAGGTGTGTGTACATGCGCAAGGCAGGGGAGACTGTTGGATATATATTGTGAAGTGACGATTCAATGAAAGTTTAAGACAGTAAGTTGTTTTGTTAGGGAGGGTACCTAGTCTCTTGAATACCAAGATGGTGGTGGACAAAGGCTTCTTTCTTCGTCATCATCTTTTCTGCTTTTTTTGTGTGTTTTGTTGTTAGTGAACTTTGTGTGTCTGTGCATGTTCCTTTCATTTCCCTTGGCTTATTTCCATTGTGTGTAATCTTATTTCTGCCGTAATTTCTCTTTCTTCCTACGTAAGAGGAGAGCAGTTTAAATATTAATATAATGAGTGTTTGCTTAGACTATTCCCCAGATTGCAGTAAATTTGCTGCTTTGGTTCCATCATTTCAGCTATCGGTTCCCCAGCTTAAAAACAAGTTTTCCAACAATATCAAAGACAACCACAATTTAATTTTATTACTTCTCAAAGATGAATTGATCATGGACCCAGTTTTTCTATCTATATACAAGGCTTCATGTTAAAAATCTTCCGCTCAAGATTAGGAAGGGATTATTAACAATTGATTATAACTAGCTAAGAGTAATGAACATAAAGTACGTTTCACAGACATGTCGAGATAGCATGGGCAACAGGTTCCCAGCAAGAAATTCTCACAATTAAGATGTGCAATACAGGCATTGAAGGATAAGATGTCAAAATATTAAATCAAACGTTAACACCTTTGGTCTATTGCCAATCAAGCAAGTGATGCGACTAATGCCGATTTCAACCTTACCTTCCGGGTAGTAACAAGAATATCATGAAGCGCCCCAACAACATGAGATTTCGATTGAGAACGGAGTATTGAAGAGTTTGAAAGTAAAGCAGCACAATACTGCTCAAGTTGCACATTGGATATATTTACAGGAATCCAATACTCAACAAACCTAAAGGAGTCTGATTTGCATCTATATGCAACAAAACTTGATAGTTTATCCTTCAGTTGACCAATATCACTGGAATTGGAGATTAAATCATCATTCTTTTCATTGTAATTCCGATGATGAAGAAGTGCCAGGATATCGTGATATTCTACAACACTATCCTGCAAAACCGAATAAGTTGATGTTTGGCAACATAACAATTTGAGATAATTAAAAAAAAGTGAAACCTCGGCATGGAAAGAAACAAACCTTTAGTTGGCCACTAAGAAGAAGAATCCACAAATCTGTCTTTAACATTTTAATTTGTTTCGAATAAGATGAGATCTTTGAGCACTGGCACTCATCAACTAAGATTGCTTCAAATTCTATGCCTTCTAAAACCTCTAGATCCTGCAGAACATCATCAACCAAATTAACAAACGTCACATTTAAGTTTAAAATTTAACCGCATTTGTCAGCTGGATATGAAAAATAAATAACATGACAGGAAAAAAAGTCCAAATGAATCACAACTCATCTATAACAAACTCAATCTCAAACCCACCCCCCCCCCGGGGGACAAATAAAGCACTCAACAATACCAACACCAGATTCTTGCACGCACCTCGATGATGATCTCTGGAAGTACTATAAGTACTTGGAAAAGCAAACAGCCTCCTTCCCCATAAAATTCTAGTTTCCGAATACTTCTACGAATCTCTTTGTTTCCACCGTAAATAATAACATTGAGAGATGGTGCCCAACAAGAAAACTCATCCTCCCATAAATGGAGAGCAGCTGAGGTTGAGATAATGAGAAAAGGTTGACAAGTATTAGAGTCCAAAGATAAGATAAATGCAACCACTTTCACCATTCTGTCCTGCAAAATTCATCATTATAATAGACATAAGTTTTCTAGAAGCATAATTTCCAAAACATAACCTCAAATGTCTCCCCAATTGAGACGCTAAATTAAAATATATAACTTGTAACAGCCAAAAGTATATTCATTCAATAGCATGAAGGCAAAAGATAATAATATATTCAAGCTCACATGGTCATCAAATATAACAGCATTCTGACCCTTATGCCAATGCTCACGTAGCTTGTTAACTGCATCCAAATTGTTTACACCAAATCCAGGCGGAAATCCACCAGGTGTCTGAGATAATTTGCTAAAAGAACTTATGCGGTCTAGTTTCTGCAGATAATTGACATTAGACCAAGAACATTCAGGAATGAGGACGAGATATGAATATAACCTTCACAAGAGATCCAAGGCTTTTTCTTAAAAAAGAAAGTTGGCTAAAATAGGGTTCAAATACAAGGATAATATTTCGTGTTCAAGGGTCACAATATTAACTACATAACTTTAATGTTTCTGATCAACCTATTGTGTTAAATCTAGTCCATGTAATGCTAATGAGCTCCACTCTCTTGTCTACTTATAGTGACATATTGGCACACAATCCTAGTCCCAGAGACAGTCTATTCAAATAATTTTTACTGGACAATTCAAGAATAGGTTTTTTTCCATTAATCTGAATAAACAATCCAGGTAGCTACAGGTCAGCCCTCAGCTACTGCAATTATAGGCAAAAATATGGTAAAGTAAAATTATAAAAAAAAAAGGAAATAAAATGGTAAATAACAGAAGTCCTAAGCAAGAAAATTAATTAATAATAGGTCCCCTTGAAGAACCTGTGCAAGCAAAAAACAGAATAAGTCATAAATTTCTTAGTTTTACTCGCAAATATTAGAGGAGGAATTGAGTAGCCATTCATGCTCCTTTGATCTTACTTAGACAATTCATTGAGTATAGGGAAATCTGCTAGTGACATTAATATCTTTCTTTATATTAGAAGTTTAGAACATTGGAACATGGTAGTAATGGCTCTTGCTCTCCAACTAGTCGAGAGTCTAATAACCTCTCCCAGCCATCAGACTCAGTAGTGTCCTAACAATCAAACTTTTCACCTCCCACAAAGGAGGTTCAATCCTCAAAACTGTTAGCTAGTGATTGATCTATGAATGCCGGGAGGAACTTCACTGCACCAACCAGGATTTCACTGAAATTTTAGCTTTCTTGCATTGCAATTATAGCATTTAGGGCGGATAAGATCATAAGAGGTGCTTTTCAGCATAAGAGCACAGTAGCAGTCGAGCCACTTTTTACAGCCTTCTGCCCTTTACTTTGTAAATTTACAACTTATCCTCTGTCTTTTTTGCACAAGTTCTTTAAGGGGATCTATTGGCAATAACTCAATTTTATAAGACCTATAAGTAATTAATTTCCTTGCATGAAATTCAGTGTAATTTTCCCAAATAGAATCATCAAAAAAATCTGATACAAATTAAAAAAAAAAACACCAAATTTGGAAAGAATAATGACAGCAATATAAAATCAGATTTGGGAGTTAATAGGCCTGATCTTATGGACTCTCAAATAACTGCCCACATTTACCAATTTAATTAGTTTTTAAAAAAACCATCCCCATATCTTCCCCATTATATAAGCAATAGAAATGTCTAATCTCATAATCAAAACCACCTTATCTGCTTTGGATGATAAAGGAACTCTCTTTGCCCTCTGATGACGATCTTCATAGTCTTTAATTAGCCTCTGACCTTCAAGTGAACGAAGAAACGGAGCATTGTCCAGCTCCCATGATGCATCTTCATAACCAAGACCATGCCATTTAACAAGCCATTCATAATGACATTGAGAATTGCCAACAGCTTGGCCACTCCTGGGATGACCATCATTGGCAAAGATTAATGCTCTCTTCTGAAGCAAGCGATGAGGTATGCTCCATTCTAGCTTCCACTTTAGGGCCTGAAGTAATGAAACTCTCAGCAATTTACACAAATTCAAACATGACAACCATAAAGCTTATTTTACTGGTTTACCTAACATGAACTGCAAAATAAGAGCTAAGAAATTTAAGACCTGATCTTTCTGATTAAATTTCTCAAGCAACAACGGAGGAGCTTCAAGAAGTAACTGACTTTCTGAGACCCAACGGTTGTGAACATGAGCAAGGCCTTTATACTTCACGAGAAAATGTTTCTCAGTTGTCAATCCTGGAACAAAAACCACACAACAGACAATTAATGTTAGACAACGTATAATGCAGCACAAACATGCAGCATGTAGGGACAACAAACAGAAAAGCTCTAATATATTAAGAAAATATGGGAAAATCCAAGAGGAATTGAGAATAGTTCAAACAAATGAGATTTTGCATTATACACTACCCTCAGCATGAGACACCTTGACTTCTCTGGTATCCCAAATTGATTCTACTCCCTCAGACACAGAATATACACCAAACTCTATCTTCTTCTTCAAGCAGAGGTTACAATGCCAAACTCCAAGGGGAGCATCCACCATGGGAGGTTCAAGACAAGAAAAATGGTAGCATCCATCACATTCTTTTCCATCGCAAAATCTGTTAAATTAAGTGGACATATTATGAAGATATAGGCTTTGATGGAGTGACGCTCACTTGTCAAAGTAATAAAGAATGAGAAATGTATAATCATGGATAAATGCAGAAATTTATGAAAGAATGTGAATAAGATATTGAGAAGGGTATATTTTACAGATAAACAGGTATAGATTTTGGATTATATTTGATTATATTTATTAACATTTTATACCTATTTAACTAATTTTTATATATTTTCATCTTATTACTTAATAATAAGAGAAGGAAGAATTTTTACTACAAAATCTACACATATCTTCTTGTTTTTATATCATGCAAGAAAAAAGAATAAATCAATTGAAGAAAATATAGAAAGCTGGCTAAAATTTAATATCTAAATTTAATTTAAATTAGATATTCAAGAATAAGATATCAACTAATCAAATAAGATGAGGCGTGATCTATTCGGATTCTGAACCCAAAGATGAAGAATTAATTATAAATAAACCTCCCAAAAGCCTCTCAAATCATCCAATCTCATATCTAAAGGTTGGGAAGCATATTACAGGTTCCAGAGGAGTTCTTCCAAGCTAGGAGAGTTTCGTTCTTGTTCTTCTTCGTTAAATTCTATTTATGTTTTTATCTGGGATTGTAATTTTAACTCTATGAATTCTTTTTGAACTCCCAATTAGGGTACAGAGTAGCCTAGTTGGAATACGTTTTTGATCTTTTATTTGGTTTTATTTATTTTTCCCATTGAACTTAATTTCTTGTCTATGAGAATTTTTGTTTATACTTATATCTATTTATGGGTTATTTGAAGAACTGAGAGGTAAAGAGTTAGCCTAAACCTAAAGAGATAAACATAGATAACTAAATTAGAGATAATTTAGAATCCATGGTGGCTTAGAATGTAGCTTTATAGTTTATTTAAAGCCTCAATAGGATTAGTGAAAGCCAATTCAATCTTAAATAAATACACCTTATCATACTGAGAAGTAATTAGGCTACCTTAGTAACGATTGTCACTATAAATAAAGGGAAAATAATTAACTAAATTAGAGTAAATCATCTCAGTAGATAATTCCTGATCCCTGGTGATTGTCTAATTGGTTGGTTCATTGCTTGTTATCATTTTTATTTGCATTATTAGTTATTAAATCCTTTTCAAAACTTTTATTTGTTTCTTTAAATAACAACAGTTATCTCTAGTCTCCTCTGGGTACGATCCAAATATTCTGGATTTTAACTACATCGAACCCGTACACTTGCAGGACCAACAAACATCATGATAGAAAATATGGCAAATATTACTTTAGGAGGAAATAATTTATTATTTCTTATTGCCTTTCATTACTTTATTGGTTTTGTTGTTTTTCATTTAACTTTTGTAAGTTTCCTTATTGTGAAGGAAACCAAGCAGCAAGTGGATTCTTATTTTATTAACTTTTGTAAGTTTCCTTCTTGTGAAGGAAACTAGGCAGCAAGTGGATGTTTCCTTGTTAGGAAGGAAACCTCATATGCTTATAAATAGCATGACTTGTATTGAGGAAGGGGAATGAATGTTTGAAGCATTATGATTTTCTGAAAGCTCCCTCTCTCTCTTTAGTTCTGCATCTCTCTTCTGTTCTTCCTCTCATATTTCAGTCACTTTTCTCTCTTTTCACCTTCTCTGTTTTCACTTCCCCTCCACCTTCCACTCTCTGTTTCTGTTTTTTCTCCCTTATGCTATTCTGTTCAAATCAGTGTGAGCGTGAGTGTTTGTGTTTTACATCAACTTGGTACCAGAGCCTGGTTCTGAACGTTCCTAGGCTGTTTCCGCGGCCAGAGATCGAAGGAAAACTCTCAGGGGAGCTCAGCATACTCTGTTCACGCTGCCAGCAACCAGAATCACATTTCCCGACATCAGATCCAAAAACGGACGCTACCATCGTGCTCAGAAGGGAAAATCCGGTCAGAACCAGAAAAACCACCTCCGCCCGAAGCTACACGCGCCGTCACGCACCGGTGGAGCTTCTACACGTGGTCTTCACGCTCCTCACGCACCGTCCGTACAGTCGCCGCCAGAACGTGATTTCAGTGTTTTCTGTGTGTTTTCACGGATTTTGTTCGACTTTGAAGGAGCTGAGGGGCACAAGTCATCATCTAAAACTTAGTTGGGGGTAAAACTTTTTGTTTTGAGCTCCTAAAGCAACGCTGGTAAGGCTGACGACCCTCTCATTTAACTGGCTTATTTGGTTCTTAAAGGAAGGTGTTTCATTCATAGCTAGTTCTGAAATCTTTGTTGTGTGGTACTTTGGTTTCTTTGAGCATTGCAATTTTTATTTTATTTTTATTTATTTTTTTAATCATGTTTTAATATTTTGAAAATATATATATAAAAAAAAAAGGAAAAATTTACATTGATCATTATGTTGTTAATTTGTGACTTTTGATAGCAGTGTTCATATAACCTAAGACACCTACCTCACACACAATCCTACCATATACCTGTGTCCAAAAATTACCCTAGGTTGGTTGAAGTTTCTAACGGTTTTTCTGAGAGGTTTTTGAACCTTCAGAGATTTCTATGAAGACTTCACTCGAGTTGTTACCTATTTAGCATACGATCCCTGTGGAATTTTTGAATTCTAAGAGGGTTAGTGTTGTTAAAGAAGAGACTTCACCTATTTAGGTGAGGGCAACTTTGGGGCCTTTCTTCCTTAAGTTATTAAATCCACTCCAAATTTGCACTTTACCATACCATCTTTGTCATTGTATGACCATTCATGATTTATACGATAAGCAAGCTTTATTAGACCAAGAAATTACTGCCCTAAAATCTGCCATGGCTAATAACTCCCACATCACCCAAAATCATCTTGAGGAATCTGAAAAGACTCAAAGGGCATATGTGGACCAGCGGCTAGAAGAAATTAAAGAATTTATGGACAATAAATTTGAAGAGATAATGAGTGCAATTCAGTTGACATACAGACAAGATACAGGGAAAACAACTGAAGGGATACTCGAAAGACCTATCATTAGAGGAGAGTCAAGTCTTAAAAATGAACAATTCCCAGTCCGCAATCAACTTAGAGGTAATTCCCTTAGGATTGGTCATTCCTCTAGAGCTATAGGTGAAAGACACATTAGAACATTTCCTCATGAGTTTACCAATCATGATTCTAATGACATAGATGATACTTGGGATGGGCAAGGGCCTGAAGATCAACATCATAGACCATACCAGTTAGTCCATAGAAATGGTAGAGAAGGCCTTAGAAGGACACATATTGATGACATCACCAAAAAGGTTAAAGTTGAAGCTCCTGAGTTTGATGGACGATTGAATCCTAGTGCATTCCTGGATTGGTTAGCCAGCATGGAAGATTATTTTGAATGGTATGACATGAGAGAAATTCAGCGAGTTCGGTTTACGAAGATGAAGCACGTGGGATCTGCTAGGAAATACTGGCAAAATGTCCAAAGGAACATTGAGCGACAAGGTTATCCACCGATTGAGATGTGGGATGAAATGAAGGCCAAGCTGAAAGAAAAATATGTGCCGACTCATTATAAGAGTCAATTGTATGACAAATACCTTAATTTGAGGCAAATCTCCATAGCTTCCGAGTATATTTCTCAATTCGATGACCTTATGATTAGATGTGACGTGGATGAAGAGGAATGGCGCACCATTACCAAGTTTGTTAATGGTCTCAAGCCATATATACAAAAGGAGCTCAAGTTAAACTTTCCAGAGTCTCTTGAAGAAGCTTATCATAAGACTTTGGAAGTAGAGTCTCTATCACAGTACTCGTCTGCAAAGCGTATCGATCTGCAGAGCAATCAGTTTAGACAAGCACGAACTTCCAGTTTGTCTGAACGACCAACAGGAGCACTTACATCTAGGCCTAGCTCGTCTTTTACACCTACTCAAGCAATTGGGTTAAGGGGTAATACTTCTAAGCAACCTAGTGAGGCTATAGTTCCTGCTTCCCGCCATAACAATTCCTTTGTCGAGTGTTTTCGCTGTCACTCAAAGGGTCATATTGCGTCAAATTGCCCACAGCGTACTCTAGTTATTGACTCACAATATGAAGGTGAGGAAGACAATGCAAATGCTGACGTTGTCGTAGATCCAGTTGAGTGTCCTTCAGATGTCGATGAGGACATCATCATTGATGAACATGGGTGTGAGACACGTCGTGTTGGAGTTATGCGATGCATTCTATCTGTCCCTCTGCCTAGTGATTCATGGAAGCGAACAAGTATTTTCCATACTTTTGTGAAGTGTGGAGATAAAGCTTGCAAATTGGTGATTGATGGAGGGAGTTCTAGAAACGTTATTTCTAGTCAAGGAGTAGCCCGACTCAATCTCAAGACAGAACCTCACCCAGAACCTTTTCGTGTTGCATGGGTCGACAAAACTTCTTTACCAGTCACCCAACAATGTCACGTTCCTCTTCACTTAGGTGACTATAAAGAAGAGATTATTTGTGATGTTCTTCCAATGGATGTTGCTCACATTTTACTTGGTCGACCGTGGCTTTATGACCACAATGTTATCAATCATGGTCGTGAGAATACCTATACATTCAAGCATGGAGGCAAGACGATCCTGTTACGTCCTGCTAAGCCTGACAACGAAGGCAAAGGCTCAAGTAAATCAAAGGGCACAAAACCCAAAACCCACAATTTGCATCTTCTGACAGAAAAACAATTTGTACAAGAAAGCAGAGAGAGTACGATCGTGTTTATTTTGGTATCCAAGATCTCGCAACGAATTGCTACTACTTCAAAAATGCCAGAGGAAGTGCAACAGCTCTTACAACAATTTCGGGATATCACTCCCGATGAGCTTCCATCTGAATTACCACCAATGAGAGAGATCCAACATACAATTGATTTCATTCCAGGTTCACAACTCCCCAATCTACCACACTACAGGATGAACCCTAAAGATAGAGCAGAGCTTAACCGACAAGTCAGTGGATTGTTGGAAAAGGGTTATATCCAGCATAGTATGAGTCCTTGTGCAGTACCTGCTCTTTTAACCCCAAAGAAAGACGGCTCTTGGAGAATGTGTGTAGACAGCAGAGCCATCAACAAGATCACCATCAAGTATAGGTTTCCCATTCCTAGACTTGATGACATGCTTGATTTAGTGTCTGGATCTAGTTGGTTTTCAAAAATTGACCTCAGAAGTGGTTATCATCAGATCAGGATTAGGCCTGGAGATGAGTGGAAGACTGCTTTTAAAACGCAAGATGGGTTGTTTGAATGGCTTGTCATGCCTTTTGGGTTATCAAATGCACCAAGTACATTCATGAGAGTAATGACTCACCTCTTTCGCTCTTACTTGGGAAAGTTTTTGGTGGTATACTTTGATGACATACTAGTTTTTAGCAAGTCAAGAGAAGAACACTTGGGACATCTCGAGTTAATTTTTCTCACCTTGCGTCAAGAACAGTTTTATGTTAACTTGCCTAAGTGTTCATTTCTTCAAAATCAAGTCATCTTCTTAGGTTTCATAGTTTCTGAAAGGGGTTTAGCAGCTGACCCTGAGAAAGTCCAAGCCATTCAAGAATGGCCTGAGCCACAATCTCTTCATAAAGTACGGAGTTTTCATGGCCTTGCTTCTTTCTATAGACGCTTCATTAGAAACTTCAGTACCATTATGGCTCCTATCACTGATTGCTTAAAACAAGACAAGTTTCAGTGGACATCTACAGCTTCCATGGCTTTCCAAGATATTAAGAAGAAGCTTTCCCAAGCTCCAGTCTTGTCTTTACCTGATTTTACAAAGTGTTTCGAAGTTGCTTGTGATGCGTCTGGGACAGGAATCGGAGGTGTACTAAGCCAAGAAGGTCACCCTGTGGCTTTCTTCAGTGAAAAGCTCAATGATGCCAAACAAAAATACTCCACTTATGATAAAGAATTTTATGCGATTGTGAGATCCCTTGAGCATTGGAAGTACTACCTTCTTCCGCAACAATTTGTTCTATACTCTGATCATCAGGCGCTTAGGTTTATCAACTCTCAGCGGCACTTAAATGCTAAACATGCTAAATGGGTTGAGTATATTCAGGAATTCACTTTTGTGGTCAAGCATCGTTCAGGAACAGAAAATAAAGTGGCTGATGCCCTGAGCCGTCGGGTCAACTTGTTGCACACTATGAGCGTTAGTGTTGTTGGTTTTGAAAACTTGAAGGACGACTATGCTTCATGTCCAGATTTTGGGATAATATACCAAGAAGTTCGCAGTGATAATCGTCATGAGCATGTTGATTTCATCCTTAAAGACAGTCATCTCTTTCGTGGGAGCAAACTGTGCATCTCACGTACTTCTATGCGAGATTTTCTTATATGGGAGTTACACGCTGGAGGTTTAGCTGGTCATTTCGGGGTTAACAAGACAATGGCGTTAGTCGAAGATACGTTCTACTGGCCTTCACTCAAGCGTGATGTGGCTCGCATAGTGTCTCAATGTCGAAATTGTCAAACTTCTAAAGCCAGGCGATAGAATACCGGTTGGTATACTCCTTTGCCGATTCCCGAGGCACCTTGCAAAGACTTGAGTATGGATTTTGTCTTAGGATTGCCTCGCACAGCTAGAGGTCATGACTCTGTATTAGTTGTTGTGGACAGGTTTTCAAAGATGGCTCACTTTATTCCTTGTAGCAAAACTACGGATGCTTCACATCTAGCAAAGTTGTTCTTCAAGGAGATTGTACGTCTACATGGGTTACCTACCACTATCGTATCTGATAGAGATGTCAAGTTTGTTAGCTACTTTTGGAAGACCCTATGGAAACTTTTTGGTACCCAATTGAAGTTCTCTTCTGCTTTTCACCCTCAAACTGATGGGCAAACTGAAGTCACTAATCGCAATTTGGGTAATTTGCTTCGGAGTTTAGTTGGAGATGGGCCAAAGAATTGGGATTTGGTTCCACCCACTGCAGAGTTTGCATATAATAATTCAGTGAATAGATCTACAGGCATGAGTCCCTTTCAGATTGTTCAAGGTTTTAATCCTAAACAGCCTATTGACCTCCTGCCAATCCCGTTGACATTTCGCATCTCTGAATCTGCGGAATCTTTCGCCAATCGCCTTCATGAATTACATGCTGAAATTAGGCGCAAATTAGCAACGAGTAATGATCAATATAAATTATCTGCTAATACTCATCGCCGATTTCAAAGCTTCGAAATAGGTGATTATGTTATGGCTCGCATTCGTCCAGAACGTTACCCTAAACACGCTTTTAAAAAGTTGCATGCTCGAGCTTCGGGACCTTTTCGCATAACAAAGAAATTAGGACCTAATGCTTATCTTTTAGAATTACCTTCTGATATGGCCATTAGTCCAGTTTTTAATGTAGAGGATCTTATGCCTTACCGGGGAACTTTTGAGCCTCCCCCTTTGCTTTCTGATGATTTTGCAGGTACTCAGCCTTCACAAGTGCCAATTCCATCATTGCCTGCTGTCTCACCATCAGTTGATGAAATCGAGACCATTATGGATGATCAAATGGTCTTTACCTCTAAGGGGCCCATCCGTCGTTATTTGGTTCGTTGGAGAGGTCGATCTGATGAAGATGCCACCTGGATTTCAAAAGATGAATTCCAACAACTTAATCCTGCCTTGCTAGAAGCCTATCAACTCTCTACCTCTCCGGAGGAGAGTTCTTTGCAGCAGGGGGGAATTGATAGAAAATATGACAAATATTACTTTAGGAGGAAATAATTTATTATTTCTTATTGCCTTTCATTACTTTATTGGTTTTGTTGTTTTTCATTTAACTTTTGTAAGTTTCCTTATTGTGAAGGAAACCAAGCAGCAAGTGAATTCTTATTTTATTAACTTTTGTAAGTTTCCTTCTTGTGAAGGAAACTAGGCAGCAAGTGGATGTTTCCTTGTTAGGAAGGAAACCTCATATGCTTATAAATAGCATGACTTGTATTGAGGAAGGGGAATGAATGTTTGAAGCATTATGATTTTCTGAAAGCTCCCTCTCTCTCTTCAGTTTTGCATCTCTCTTCTGTTCTTCCTCTCATATTTCAGTCACTTTTCTCTCTTTTCACCTTCTCTGTTTTCACTTCCCCTCCACCTTCCACTCTCTGTTTCTGTTTTTTCTCCCTTATCCTATTCTGTTCAAATCAGTGTGAGCGTGAGTGTTTGTGTTTTACATCACATCACTATGCAAATGCTCACAGTACAATAGAAAAATAGAACATCAAATTACTGCATCAATGCCATTGTAGTTAGGTACAATACATAAGGGAACAAAAAATAGAATGTTTGATTAAAAGATTAGGGGCAAACACTAACCAACTAGCATCCAATTGTTTAGGTGTAAAATGTTACATATGTATTTCACCACAATCATATTACATTACAACTTACCTAATTCACTCAATCAATTAGAAGCTCTTCTTTTGAATCAATACTTAACTAAGCTTTACAAACATAATCCAACAATTAATATTAAACACATCTAAGCCATTGACCAAGCATATTGTGGCAAGCCTAAAATCAATAGGCACCAAAAAACTGAAAGCCATTTAATAGACAAAAATGAATGCACAAGAAAATAAAGTCACTCTATGATGCAAATTACAACAGTTATGAACTCATGGCACTTGGCACTCATAACGACAGGTAAACAAATGTGAAAAGGTTACTCACAAGAGCTGCCCACCACATTGGCAAATGAGACATATTTTTCCATCATCTGATTGGATCTCTATAGAGACATCGTTTGAAGGCGAGCAGTCAACACCTTTCTCAGAAATTTCTGCAGCAAAGGTGGCTTCAATTTCAACTCTAACCTAATGCAAATAACAATGTAAAAGAAGATTAATAACAGAAGCATAGATAAAACTAAACATCATAGAATGGGAGAGAGAAGATCTCAAATGCAAGCACAATCTCATGGAAACCATAAACAAGCACCAAACAAACAATGACGACAACATTAACAACTTTATCCCACTAAATGAGGCTGACTACATGGATGATATGACGCTATTGTGCTATGTCAAAAACCAACTCTTTTAATAAGCCATTAACAAGGAAATCTTAATCAATGACTCTCTTAAGTGTCCTTGGTCCTTCTCTATTTCTCTTCATAGGGCTAAATACCATCTATTCCTCCTCCTAATTGGCACCTCTAATGACCTCCTTTACACATGACCTAACCATCTTAAATAGTTGTTTACCTTTTTTTCTCAATAGATGCCGCGCCAGCTTGCCCTCTTATATAATTATTACACATATTATCTTTTATTGTATAGCCACGCATCCATCTCAAAATTCTCATTTTTGCTACCCTCATTTATGCTCATGTTCATCATAAGTCTTTTAGCAAGCCAATAAAACTTCCCCATAACCTCAAGGAACCTTGCGATCACAAAGAACCCCTAATCTATTTCTCCATTTCATTCACCTTCTTTGTATCTTATGCATAACATCATCAATTTCATCGTAATTTCATAAAAACAAGATTCCCATCCCAAGTTTGTTTGGTTGCTTCTTTCAATTTTTATTTCCATGCAAATCAAGATTCTAACACCTTTAGGCAAAGCCAATCCTTATCTAAACCATGTAGTGTGAGGCACTCTTAGGAATTGAGGCAGTGATCTCCAAAGTGCCCCTATAAAAATTTATGGCCATTTTTTCCCATTAATACATTTTAACATGATGCAACTCATGCAAAAAGGGGAACCATTAAGATATCTCATCTTATTAAAAGCAACTCTCTTGCTCAGGGTATTTAAGCAAGCATTTCTTCTTGTTTATTTTCTATTTATTCTTAGTAAAAATAAGTAATAATTTATAAGTAAAATATTTATATAAAATTGTTGGTGCGATTAAAGGGCTCAATGGGCCAAAACACCTTGTGCTTTTTATTCATTTATTACTCTCCTTTGTTTACACGTTACTTTTGCTTATCTTAGGAGGATTTAATCTGACTTGTTCTGCTGATTTCTAATCCCTATAATCTCAGCCAGATCCTAGTTTCCCTGTCTAAGGTTCATATCTACAAATGTTGTGATCATCCTACGGATAGAATTTCACTTTACAGCATCACAAAATTCTTAAAAAATTATTTTTTTATTAAATAGATGTTACACACTAATTTTAATAACTAGAAAATAATAATATATTTTCTAATATATTTTTATTTTAGGGGCATTATTGTCCAACTAATGAAACACCAATGTTCATTCCTTTCCAAGACATATCAAACATACTTATCTTATTCCATCAAACCTTATTCCTATTCTCATTCCCATTCCCATAAAAATATTCCACAAACCAATATAGACATAAGGGAAATGATAGAGGTGTGGAGAAAATAAGAATGATAGAAATACAAGAAAGAATTGCTCCTCAGGCTCTTGAGATGCTGGGTCTCTCCCAAAACAAGCCGAAATTCATCCTTCCCTCAGAACAATTATATTGTCCCTGTAGTCCCAAGCCACCTCTAACTAACCCCTACCACCAACCAACTAGCCACTATGTTAGTTACTAGCAAAACCAATATTGTGTCACCCTCTGCTGCCACCTCATTCTTCCCTTGCTTAATATTTCTTTTATCCTTATTCCTTCCCATATAGGATCTCTTCTCAAACCCAATATTTTCTACTCCACCATATGCATTCTCTAACATCAGTGCTTCTTAGATAAGAGCCAATATGCATGTTTACAGATATTATACTACTGAAGCTTGTAAAAAAAAAAGAAAGGTTATTTAGTGTGTGTTTGGAAACCTGTTGGTTTTGACTAAAGAAGACTAACACTGTCTTGAAAGTTGCAAAATCCTGTATCTAGCTAGAAACCAAACAAGTTGTTGGTTACCTGCTAGGGAATCAAAACGTGATCGTGACAAAAGTTCACTATTCCAGTTTCCTCCTATCAGCACTGGCAGATTTCTAGACTTCAGTTCCCTATTTGTTCAGTTTCTTTGGAGGAATGTTTCTTAACCCTATTTCAATTGTTAACCAATTTAATATCTTGAAACAGTGTTTTGTATTTCATTCACCCTTATAATCCACAAGTATACTCAATGTTAGTTTAAGTTAAGCTTGATATGCACAATGAAGCTTTTCCCTATAAGTTTTAGCTCACAGCTTATTCACAATCCTAATAAACCAAATACCAACCAAAGAACTAAACAGGAAAAAATCTTTAGACAAAATAATTATATACATATATGTATGGATGAGGAAAACAAAAATCCAACTAACCTTAATAGCAGAAAGGTTAGCTAACTCCTTGGCATCATCAGATGGTAGCATTTCATTCTTGGCAGCTTCTTTACAAACTAAATTACTTCCTTTGAAGCGTTCATCAATCTTGCCCTCAACATTGTTGCCACCACCTGGAATTAAATTACCTTTACCATTTGTCTCCTCAGGACAATCTGTAAATCAAGCAATTAAAATCAATAAACTAGTAATGTTAACAACAGCAACAATCATCAGGATATGTTAGAAAGCAGCATTCCTAAGTATTTACACTTCCACAAGAAAAAAAAAAAAGCCACCAGGGTATCTTAATGCAAGACAAGCCACATGATTATTAGCACCTTCAAATACTTTCTTTTTATAAAGTGAATATACAATGCTTTTCACACCATACCCCGTCTGAAAATTTGCATGAATAGGCAACAAATATTGCTGAGTAAAGGACGGCAAAGCTGAAAGAAGAAGAATAAATTCATTTGTTGAAAGAAATAGGTAAAATAATGACACTGTTCAACAGGCTATCTACCTATTTTTGGCTTTTTCTTTATCATGGCCCGGTAAGCACGAGCATTCATTCTCTTCCTCTTTACCTGAGAAGTTTCTCCTTCACATTCTTCATTTTCAGCTTTTTCAGCTTCAAATGTTAATTTTTTTACACTCTTGTGTTTTTTTTTCTTTTTCTGCTTTTGAGCTAACGAGTCAAAGCCCTTAGAACCTGAAGAAGCTATATCAGAGTGATTCTTAGTTCTTTTAGATCTCCTCAAAGAATTTGGCATCTTCTGTTTCTCAACCCTTTCAGACTTCCTTCTGACAGGAGGATTTAGTGGTGTACTCTTTCCAAGTCGTTCAGACTTTCGAGTACTTGAGGGACTAGGAGTCGTCTTCTTTGATGAAGTTTCTCTGATAGACCTTCTAGGACCAGTGGCATCTTTCATAGAAGAGCCTGAGTTGATTCTGCCCATCTCATTGAGACACCTTCCATTGTTATTTTCATCAGCCTTATCCCTACGATCAGAACTTGTAGAATTTGCCATATATTCAGCTGTTCATTGTGAGACCAACAGATAAAAAATTAGATTAACATGAGAAAATCAAAGTACAAATGTCAACAACATATTTAGAAACTTCATTAATATTAATTATACAGAATGGTACCATTAAAGATGGAACTACAACTATATAAACAAATGAAAACCACTCTCTGAACGAGATTTACTGAGGCACTACCATACCGGCACACAAAAGTTTCATTGTCATCTTGATCTAAATACTAATATCCTCCAAGAAAAATTAAAATTTCCCTCTAAATTTGATCTGGTAATTTAACAGAACATGTTTATTTAAGATAAACATGCAACAGAAGTAAATCAATATGTAAACCACATATACTAATCCGTCCATCTCTATGAGCAAACGTCCTTAATCCAGACATCAATGGCATACCCAAGAAGTAGACGGTGTTTCCTGTAATCCAATCTAATATCTAAGTTTAAAGATTTGTCGCCATTCCGCAGTAAATGGATCATCCATGCTACAAAAATCAAGAATGCTTCATGACTCAATTACCAGAGCATTTACAGCTAACCCCAAGAGTAAAGAACTCAAAAATAAAAAACCTTATACGCTAAGCAAGAGTCTTCAGAGAAAAGTTGAAACTTAGGACATTTCACAAAAATGAAGACGTTAGCTGACATGGAACGGCACAAATACAATGTGATCCCGATCACGGTATAAGTCACGGAAGCACAATGCAAGAGAACTTCGGCATTTTTAGGGTAAATCTTGACGATGCACTAGAAACGAACACAAACACTTGCGCTTCCCCAAGTTCCACTTAATATTTGAAACCTAACCCTAATTAATCAAAAATTGAGGTTCATGAAACATGTAGCAGTAATGTAGAATGCTGACCTGCATGTAAAATTCGAGCAATAAACAATTTTTCTCTTGTTCCACAAATATAAACAATTTGTCGCCGAAGGCAAAAAAATTATGATGTTCACTAGCAAGTTTGGCAGAAAAATCAGGAGCTAATATGCCGAGAAACCGCGGCAAATGCGATTAGGCCAATAGCAAATAACGAAACCAAAGGGATGTCACACGACACTCGACGCATGAGGTGATTTTAAGTGAATCAGTTTACGGCTTCGGAAACTATCGGCGCCGGAAGCAAGTCCATTGCACGACGGATTTGTCCTGACACTGTGTCAATTGTACTGTTCGACAATAACCAATAAATCAACGGAAAACATAATACCCTTAATTTCATCATGTTTTACTTTTAATTTTTATAATTTTTTTCACTGTAATCAATCCTTTTAGTTTTTATTATCCGAAATGTTAATCTCTCCAACTATTAATGGTGTTAAATTTATTAAGGTGTAATTAACACCATTAAATATCATGTTGAGATGTTAAATTTTATCAAGCTAGCACATGACTCGACATTTGTTTTGGATAACAAATAAAAAGAAGAAAAACAAATTAGATTGAGCCATGTGTTTCTCTCATCTAAGATAAAGGAGAACACGATTCAAAATGGCAAGTTGCAAGAGCAAACACGAATTGGGTAGTGGAGAAGATACACCAAACCAAGGCAGTGGAGATTGTCACACCGATTAAGTATGTTGCCATTGTTTAGATTTGATTTTGTCCTCTTCTACCTAGTTCTTCTATCCTCTTCTGCCTCTTTATTGAGTGCTCTTCAATCTAATTTGTTGCAGTTGGAAATGATTCGAACTATTTATTGTTCTCTTTCCTTTTTTTATTTTGCTTTGTTTTGTGGTTGTTTTATTCATCAATGCTAGGTTTGATGGTTGCTGGAACCATCAAAGAAACGTAAAGAAAAATTTTTTGACTTTTGAGAAGTAATGCTACATCATTTTTTAGTCCAAGGAATTAATTTGATCCCCTCTTTATAGTGTCGAATCCAGTGTTCATGGGATGAAAAGTAGGGATATGGATCATAATTCAAAAGTGATAATTTTAATTAGAACATTTTAGGTTGTTCTCTTTTATCCTTTATAACAGAAATGAAATGCAGAAAATAGTGACTTCATAAATGAGAAATGGGAGAATGCGAGACAAAATTGTAGGAATGAAATTCATCATTACGACAAGTTTCCATCTCTATCTGGTGACCTCTCTAAGATCCAACTTAACTTCAGTTGTAAGGGTCCACTAGTTGAGTGCCGTAATGCGTCTTCAAGCGAATAAGAGGTCGATTCTATACCGTTTCTTACTAATTTACACTTAACTCCAAAACCAAGGCAATTATAGGATTAATCTAAGAGGATCACCAAGTTTGTAAAATCACATAAATGGAATTCCAAATTTTTGAGCTTTCAAAAACACTCTAATATACTATTATAAATAAAAAAAGCAGAGTCAATTATGTTTGCAGAAGTATGGGATATCAAATTGTATCAAAGCATTTGCATTCAAGTTAGAAAACAATGATTTAGTATAAAGATATAGAGGTGCACCGCGGCATTCATCCCATGTGTCCTAGCAACGATTCATGCGCTATAGTTAAAAACACAATGATTTAGTATAAAGACACAAAGGTGCACCATGGCATTCATCCCACGTGCCATAGCACATCTCTCAATGTTTCATGTGCCACGACGCACTGCACAAATTTAACAACAATATTGTTGTCATTTGACAGCAAATGGGACGAATTTTTAATATGCCTCATTTTTCTATCTGATGTCCAATTGGATTTATTTAGATATCTGTAGAAATTCCTTTCAGAGATCTAACTAATGGTATTAATTTCACTCACAAATTATTTACCAATCGAAAGATGGACACTTAAATGCAAACTTACTCTTTTTAGCTTTTGAAACACAGTTAAGGTATCAAATATCACTACCAAATGCTATAAGCTCACAATTACCATTTGATCATCCTCATAAACTAAAACACACCTGTGCAATACATCATAATAGTCCTATAACATATATAATACATTTTCAATATTCAACCCCTATATCTCAAAAATAGTAGGGGAGATGAATTCTCACAAGTTAACTAATAAACCATCACATCCATGCATACATGTTTCCTTACTTACAATGGTATTTCGACTCTATTTAGGCTTTGCAAACATGTCATATATATTTTAGGACCCAAAATACACATTTAAATCAAATCAACTAATAGTGCAAGTAAGTCAAGATAATATGATAACCTAGTTGGCAATTATCAAATTAAAATATACATTACAAAACAATAGAGGTCTATAAATTATAAACCAATTTGCTAAGCCTTTGACACTATTCCCCTATCTTGGCCTGAGCTTGGTCTTGTAAATATTGAAGAGAGAGGGATGAGTATAACTACTCAATAATCAAGGTTAATACAGCCTATACAAATGCATGTTAATCTATTATAATAATACAAGTAGCATATATACACCCTTCATAAGTTTATACTTCTCTTTTTTTAAATCACTAGCCACGACCATAACACTAGAAACCATACAGCCTGGCACAACATAAAACATTTTATACATTGAGGTCAAATATCAATTAACACAAGGAAGCACAACAATAACAACCATGTGTCCTATACAAAAATATGCAAGACCACATCATTAACAACTATGTGATCATATTATGATATGTATGATCATTGTCATCCTTATACCCCCTGATATCTCTAGTATGAAAGATTTGTCAATGGAATCAAACTGCCTAAGCCTTTCACTTTTGAGAAGCTGCTCGATTAAGACTACTATACTCACTTATAAGTTATGATTTTCCCCAATACTAACAATTGTCGTATCCTTAAGTTAGCTTCCTCATAAATTGGTGGAGACTAGTTGAGTTCAAGTCCCTTAATGAACAAGTAAGACAGTTCCTTGAAAAATAAGTGTGATAACGAAAAAAAAGGGCAAGACATCAAGCTTTGAATAGTGACCTTGCCATGTCGATTTAAAAATATCTACCATTCTCACTATTGGCGAACTCCTGCTTCAAGTGATCATGTAATAAACATATGCTCAACTCATAATATGCATGCGTTTATACATCAACTCTCAGTTTACAAGTTTTCAAGTATTAATTTCATGGTATGCACATTTAATCATCAATTTAGTCATGTAACTTTGCTATTATAACATTTTTTTCAATTTTCACAATTTCAACACTCTCTTCTCAATCTCACTTGCATTGCATTATCGATATATCATATTTTTCATGCATGTTATCATGTTTATACTCAAACAAGTCACTTATAAAAAATTCAGATACATGATCACATCACTAAGACTTAATTAATGATTTATGCCCTGTTTGCATTTAATACATGTTCAGAGCATGCCCATCCTTTTCAAAATAAGTTATAACGTATATAACTAATCAATAAACAAATGCACAAGCTAAATTTAATCACAAGCTAAATTTTCCCTAGTTATCTCAAATTTTAAGAGGTCAAAGGTTTATCTTGTAATAGTAAATGCTTATAAAGCTCTGACTATCTTGAATTGTGCCAATAGGTTAACCAAATCAAATATCATTAATGTCTCATTAACTAGAATCCCAACTCCCTAACTCAACACTTTATAATATTTAAAGCTCTAATTTCTCACATATAGGTATATACATTGGGTTCATTAGCTCTCTTTAGCTCATATTAGCTTCATTAAGCTTTTACATCACCAGTAATGGCATTTACTAATCTCAACCATCTTATTGAGTGCTTATTTTTGGACATTTATGGCACCCATATACTAAAAACAAGCAAAGCCATAAATGCTATATTTAAATTCCTTAAATAACTCTTATTAGCTTCATTTAAGTTAATGAGTTTAAACCCATAGTCACTATAGACCAAAAATCACTTCCTCAACTGAAATCCTAGAGAAAAATGAAAGAGAAAGGAAAGAGGGAGCTTGGTACACTTACCTTAGGTGTTATCAAGCTCCAAATTGCCTTTAATCCCTTAAAGTAGTAAGCCCTTTAGAGCTTAACATGCATTATTCATTTTTCCCTTTATTTGTTTATATTTTTCAAAGTAATCCACACTCTTATTATTATAGAAAATTGACCATGTAGCAGCATGTGGTATAAAGAGATAAGCTTCACATTTCTAAGTCCTGTGCACCACAACATTCTGTGCACACACCGTGACATGTGGCATAAAGGTACTTTTCCTTGTTTTTCTCCTTTTTTAAGGATAAATCCACTCCAAACTCAATTTTAAGGTTAAAATTACAACTCAAAACATTCATTGGCTCTTTGTAACCACACATCGTGTTAATTCTCTTAGTTAACCTTATTTAACTTAACTAACCAGGGTTAAGTTTTCAAGATGTTACAAATTTTGGTTCTTCTTTTCATTACAGTTCAATCCAATTTGTTTTTTTTCTTTTTTATTTTGTATTCAATACAAATGCTAAGCTAGGTGCCAATTGGACAAAATTTAACATCTTAGCATAATATTTAACGATGTTAATTACACCTCAACAAATTTAACACTATGAATAACTAGAAGGACTAACATTAGAAACTAGAGGATATAAGAACTAAAAACAAAACACCATGAAACTGCAAGAACCAAATATTATGTTTTCCCATAAATCAATATTCACCTACTAATATGATGGGGGTACCTATTTCACTTATATAGTCTAATTATAATTATAATTAATTTAATGCTAATATCAGTAATATTAAATATTGATTTAATGCCAGTATTAGTAACATTAATACAATTAAATTAAATCAAAGATGTTTTATATGGGTTAACCTGCCACAAATTAAAAAAAAAGAGTGTAAACTAACGAGAGGAACTTTCTAACAATATACTTAAAAAATCAATCAAACAAATCATTTAAGATATTAGTTTAAGAGTTAATTATTAAAATTGTATTAAGCTAATCATAAATAAAATATTTCATTGAATCAATTTATGTACTTGTTCAAATATTTATTGTTTAATTAGCTAGTTTACCCAATTTTTAATACTAATTTTTCATTTATTTTTAGACTTGCAAAAGAAATTTTCCTTTGAAAATTAAAAAGTTAAAGTCTTATGGGAACAAGGCATTATTAACTTTCTTCCCTCCTCTTTTCTCTCATGAACCAAACACACCATAAGGCATTAGTCACAGGGTAAGGATTTAGTGCAAGGTGTACAGGATCATACTATGCAGTTTGTTGGTAAAAAATTTTCATCACAAGATAGAAATGCATTTTTTAAAAGCACATTCTATCTGAAACTAGAAGCATAAAAAAAGATGGTAGGCATACTGATGTGAAATAAGAAAGAGGAGAGGGGAAGAGAGAGAAGAGAACAAAGGAGGAGGAAGAAAAAAGCTGCATAATTCTTATTTAAATGCAAAAAACTGAATACAATTGAAGAACTCTATAACTATTTATAGAGCTTTGGAAATAATAAAAATAATAAAAAATTTAAATCTAAATCAAGTCATAAGCTAAAAGATGAAGATAAGATATTTAGTTAGGCTAGATATTTTATTTTATTTAAGATAATACTTAAATATAAAATAAATTTAAGATCCTAAAATAATAATAATAATTTTTAGATATTAAATCAAATCTTAATAAACCTTAAATTAAATCAAATATAATTCTCATTACATGCCCCCTTTATTTTGGATCATCATCTCTCACCCATAATAAAAGAAGAATTTGTTCTCTCTAACCATAGATGATGTAGTTCTCTTCATTATATAAATAGAGCAAGGGGACATCATGTTGCTAGAGAAACGAAGATGGCATCAAAATGTGTAGACAACCATTAAGTGCACAAAATTATAGAAGAGGCTTTTGGGATGGTAGGGTTGTTCAAGATGCCTAAAAACCCAGTTCACCTGACCTTGGCTTGACCAAAAAATACCCAACCAAGTGGGAGAAAAAGATGCCTAAAGCTTTTAGACAATCATCGGGTAAGGCCAAGGTTAAGGTCAAGTTTTTGGAAAATCATGGCCAACCAAACTGGAGGAATAAACTACAAATGTAAAAATAAGAAGATAGGGGCATGCTATGCCATTTTAGGAGCTTTGGCAAGGGTTCAATTTTTTTTACTCATTTATCTACTAACCATTTCACTACCCCCCATTTATGCCCTAATTTCTCTCCACTCATGTTACTCCAAGTACTATCATTCTTACCCCTAGTCTCTTATTCATCGTTTGCATTTGCCAAATTTGGGACAATGATATCGTTAACCAGTCACCATCTCTATCTCCACCTCAGTTCGTCACTGTCTCTCGTTTATAGGTGTCATCTTCACCTCTTTATCAATTCATGGTTGTTGCCTCTTCCTTCTAGTTGCTATTGGCCTTACTGGTTAGTATTATTCTTCTTCTACTTTTTTTTTGTGCCGATTAGATGCTTTATTGTTAAAAAAGTCAACATTTTGCATGTCTTCTTCTTCTTCTTCTTCTGCTTCTTCATGCTGATTAAGGAGATGCTTTTTTGTTAATGGATGACTTTATTTTGAGAGTTTTGAGGCTAATGAAATAATATTGGGAGTTTTGCTAATTGTGTGCAGGAGCAAAAGGAGTTCTGTTGTACAAGCACATCTAGAAAATTTATGGAAATAAGGAACTTGTCATGCCATTCGCAAATTTTAATGTCATAAATGCCAACAAAGTTTTTTTTTTTGTTTTTGCTTTAAGGTTTAGATTTTCATTATATTTTTAAGCTTAGTGTTTGCTTTTTTTATTTAAATTTGTTGCTTCTCTTTCAAGTCCAATCACAAGTATAGTGCATACGGCCTAAGTTGGTCCACTTCCCTTCCATTTATATGATTTTGGTCCAATGATTTTATAGCCTAAAGCACTAAACTTCTTAAAAATAGAAGAAAAAAATAGAAGCTAGACTAGACATACTTATCAACCTTACCATGCTCTGGTACTTGACCTTAAAAATCTCGGGTAATCTTTAAGCATGGTTGGGTATTGAACTAACAAACATAGCTTGTTCATTTTTAGGGTTAGGCTTCGAGCTTGTCATCAGCCCAGGCTAACCCTGCCTACACACACCTCTAGGATGGAAGATATTTGGTAATGCAGGTTAAGGGAGATGATACGAGTTTGGAAATATAGTGCAAAATGGCCTCCATCAACATTAAATTCCGTGTCTGAAATGACACCGTTTAATCAACTTGCATGCCTTGCAGTCATGCTCGATTCTATTATGAATGCTACCTCACGTCTCAAAAAAATGATCTTTTTTAACATACTTTATATAGCTGATCGGCTTCACAAGTGCATGAGATTAATGTAATAGTAAATCTTGAAATATCTCAAGAGTTAGACCCAGAGGAAAGCAACTAACTTTGTTAACATTTCACGAAAGCAAAAAATAGTTTTAAAATGGAAAAATTACACCTAGGCAAAAAATAGTTTTAAAAGGAAAAAATTACACCCAGGTTCCATAGAAGAGACCTAGGTGTAATTTCTCCCTTTAAAAATGGTAACTAATTTAAATAATGCAAGTAAGAAAAAAATAATAAAAGTGATGAAAATAATGACCCAACCAATCAAACGAATGTCAAAAATCAAGATTTATCTAATAAGATAGATTATTCTAATTCAGTTAATTGTCATCCCTTCTTTCATAGTGACAACTGTTTTTAAGATGGCCTAATTACTTTTTAGTAAATTAAAATGTATTTAATAAAAGTTAAATTTAGTTCTTACTAAATTTTACCATCTAACTAAACTATAAAGTTATGATCTAAACCACCACAGATTCATAAATTATTTATAATCTAGTTATCCATGTCTATCTCTTTAAGTTTAAGTAAGTTTTTCATTTTTCAATTCATCAAAACAATCCTCAACAATCTATATAGTGGCCATTTATATGAAAAGTAATTAAAACAAGAGACAAATATAAATAAAAACATCAAAATCTCATAGACAAAATATTAAGTTTAATAAGAAAAAAAAAATAATAAAAGAGCAAAATCCATCCAATCAGACTACCCTTTACTTTGACTATGAGTGTAGCAACAACTCATAGCATTAGTATAAAACGTCCCTATAGAAAACATAGATGAAATGAGGAGAATAACGAAAAGGAAAGACTCTAAGCTACAGAGGACATCGGGGAAAACTGGACCTTTTATAGCAGTGATATGCATCGAGTTTTTTCCATGTTTTTTCCACGTCCTTCATTTTTTTTTTTTTCGGTAATAAGAAAATTATGCCCTTTCATTCGGAGTATCGCTGGTCTTCATTTGCCAATATACGTATTTAAAAAGCCTGTTTTTTCATTAGTTCAGCGACAATCAGCAACGAGTCTAAACTTGAAGGCATTACTATTTGCTAAGAAACAACCTGAACGTCATCAGAATTAGACATAAAACATAAGACATACAGACACATATTTAAAAATGAATAAAATATTATAAAATTCGTGTTTCATTTATCAACATATTCTTTTCTCAAGTAGCCATTTCCTTTTCGGCCGGCCATTGAACTTATTTATAAGCATTATACTTGACCATAGATCTTGACAATCTCTGGATAATTTTTCGGTAAATGCTCATCTTCATTGTTTGAGGCATATAACTAAACAATCACTTCAACTCTGGCCAGCCTTTTGTACTTTTGCTTCGGTCTTCTCCCTTTCAATCAATTCGCTTCCTTATATTCCTCTTTCATTCTGCTCAATTACCAGAAATATCATACCTTGACATTATGATTCATCTCTGGTTCATTGCCTCACTATGCATCAGTTCAAGTTCTGCTCAGGCAGCTCAGCAATTCTATGACTCTACAAATTGTTCTACATATCCTGACACCTACCCAGGTTCGAGGTACACTTGTAAAACTCCCCAAGATCCATGCGAAACATACTTGGTGTTCAGATCGAACCAACGTTTTCATAATCTTTCAGAGATCTCAAAGCTCTTCAATTTGAACCCTGATACACTGCTTCAAAAAAATAGCCATCTCAATTCTTCTTCTCAGTTCCTTGAGGCAGGCAAAGAGGTTCTTATTCCTGTCACTTGTTCCTGCTCTGGCGATTTCTATCAAGTCAGTTTCAGATATATAGTCCCCGAAAATACAACATTTTCAGAGATTGCTTGTGGAGTTTATGAAGGGCTGCTCAAATCTTTCACACTCGAACAGGACAACCTTAATAAAACCATAGCTGGTGCTGAGCTTAATGTTCCTCTTAGATGCGCATGTCCTGACAATTCCACTGCGCTTGGTAAGAAGGTGAAATATCTTGTTACATACCCCATAATACGAAAAGATTCAGACAGTGACATAAGCGCGAAATTTGGCATCTCAGAGGAAGATTTCTTTGAAGCCAATGACTTGCCTCAATTTTCAACTCTTTTCGCACAAACAACTGTTTTGGTCCCATTAAGAGATGGTCCAATCAAGATTACTGATATTCCAGAGTCATCTCCAGCTCCAACTTCTGGTTTTCTTCCAACACTTCCAGTGGCGAAAACAGAGAGATTCAAAAATCCTACCAGTCTGTACATCGCGGGTTCTGTGATAGGATTTTTGCTGTTAATCATGGCAATTGTTGTGAGTGTATTGTGCATTAAGGCCTTAAGGAAATGGAAGAGCGAAAGTGTTCAACCCTTCACTCCTTCAACCTCCGTTGTCATGCCGCCAATGAGAGGCTCTTCAACAACTTCATGTCTTTCTCCGGATTTTCTCGCCGGAATAAAGTACTGCTTGGTCAATTACAGCATAGAAGAGCTCAGGATGGCCACAAAAGATTTCAGTGAAGAAACCCAGATAAGTGGTTCAGTCTATAAGGGGTTGATCAGTAATCTGGAGATGATGATCAAGAGGATGAGATTTGAAGACACACGTCGGCTAATTGATTTACATTCTAAGATCAACCACATCAATGTTGTGAACTTACTTGGTGTTTGTTATGATGAAAGAGATTTGTTATGGTCTTATTTGGTTTTTGAATGGCCTAAAAATGGGTGCTTAAGGGACTGTTTATCAGATGCATGCAACCTCCTCTGTTGGAAAGAAAGGACACAAATAGCTTCTGATATAGCTACAGGTCTTCACTATTTCCACCGCTGTGCATTTCCTTCTTACGCTCATTTGAATGTTAGCAGTAGAAATATATTTATAACAAAAGACTTTAGGGGGAAACTGGCAGATATTGCTGCACCAGATAATCTTGTAAACGGCCCAGTTTCTGAGAAAGAAGACATTTTTGCATTTGGGGTTGTGTTACTTGAACTGATCTCTGCAAGAGAGAACATTGAAGGGAAATTAGTGAAGGATTCTGTTGGGTTCTTGGGAGGAGCAGGCAATGAAGGGGGTTGCTTTGAAGGGTTGAGGAGTTTCATGGATCCTAATCTGAAGGATTATCATCTTGCAGAGGCTCTGTGTTTGGCTGTTCTAGCAAAGGCTTGTGTAGCTGATGATCCCTTGCATAGACCAACCATGGATGATATCATGAAGGTCCTCGCAAAAACCGTTTCTCCACGACAACCAGAGAAATAATAATCCTTGTGATTTAGCAGGTATGCATTAATTGCCTGTAAGATTGTATTTATGACAAATTTCCTCCTGTTGACATCGTGCAAAACTCTTCACTTTGATTCCTCGAGTTGAAGAAGGAGAATAATCAAATCTATTCATAGTACGTAGCTAGAATAGTAATTAGGAGTTGAATCATTGTTGTTGACAGTAGCTTCAGTCATCTCAAAGTTGAAGAGCATGAGGATTTGACGGTTAAGATTTCAAACTGAAAATCATGTGGTTGCCAGAGGGAAAGGAGCTTTTCAGGCAATGTTACTGAAACCTTGAACGTCAAACTAAGCATTTAGCGTTGTTTTTGTTGTCCTAGAGCAGAAATTAATCAGTTATGTGTTCAGTAGTGATTGGAGGATAATAGAAAGCAGTATTCTATTTACATTAATGATTGAAGGGTGACGGATCATGAGAAGAGCATTAATTAATTAATTAATTAATTGTCTAATAAAAATTGTCCTTTTTACATCATTGTAAGAGCGTATAACCAAACAGCTGGTTTTAATTAATCTATACCATGGCGTGTGTGCTTGTTCCCACAAGGCCTGTCTTTATTGGAGGCACCTGACACAAAGAATCCACAGCCTCAGCTAAATCCTAAAAATGTTCCAAATGTGACATGGAGACGAGATATGCGTAGTCCAACAGATAACTCCGATATACGCAGCCCAATGGCTCAACTGTTTGATTATAAATCAATAAAATATATAGGTAGAACAAATCAAAACATCTTTGAGTAACTACCCTTCTAGTTCTAAATGTAGAAGGTGGTTAGTCAATTCACTTAGATAGAAAGAATAATTAATTGTAAAAAATGTGTTAGTTTTTTAGAAATACCCTTCTTATTAATTGCTGACCTGGGGATCGGATATGAGCTTGTTTGAAGGAAAAATAATAAATGCGATAGACAAATAAAATTTAATTCTTGTTGGATCATGTATCAAAACTTTGCAAAGAATTATAATCATCGGACTTGATGATATATTTTGATCCATATTCTTAAAAAAATATATGAATATATGTGTGTAACTCAACATTGGTGATTATATAATATGGAAAGATCATCCAAGAAGCAACACAGAGCTAGGCGTAACTACAGAATCAACTAATGAGATATGTGTGAGAATGATAGCCAAGAAGCAATGTATAGGAAGGATTGACGTATAAGAGACGCTACATATATCTGAATTGGACAATGCGTTGATGAAGTTCAATCCTTTTTAGAAGCCTTTGGTTGATAAAGTTCCACCAAACGGTTGTTTATTGGTTGCAGTGGTCTGGCATTAATCTCTGATCCCTGCAAAGCGAAATAGATTCTAAGCGTCTTATGGTCGAAAGAAGCAAATATTTCCAGTACTACAATGTTTAAAATTGTCTTTGTTTTGTGAAGATATTCAAAAGTCATGCAAAATAAGTAACTTACGTCGTCAACAGCATTTCGAAGCAAGTTGACTTGTTCTTTTGCAACAGTTTTCACCTGCGGGGTAATTAATTCCGCAAAGTTTAAGAAAGCAATTATAAAACAATAGGAAATTAAAAGAGATTAGAAACTCTGACATGGCAAAATGTACGGTCAAATGAGTTAGTGGGCCAATAAAAGAAAAAAACAGTCAAAGGCGCTTGTAATAAATTAAAAAAAAATACAAGAGTAAAGTGGAGAGAATTACAAACCTCTCCGAGGATGGTCCAAACAACGTTTTCAGAACAAGGAGGTGTGGTGAGAGAACCCAGGTATCTGTAATACCTCAAGCTACTTGTTTTAATCAGCCAAGGATCAACCATTCCCACTTGCTCTTCTGTTTCAGTCGTATCAGATACGGCCTTTAAACCCTCCGTTAACTATATATGAATTGAATTCCCACGAGAAATTAATTATATCGGTCACTTTACATGAATGAATATACACACACAGTCGCTGTGAAAGAGTGAGAAGGGTGGTGCAAATTAAAGATGGAGTAATTTGTGACTTACCGAAGACAAGAAAGCATCTGGTTTACCAATCTTGTACAGTATTGCAATTACGGCCGTTTCTCCTGCTTCCGTTTCGTGCACCATATGTAACTCTAGATCAAGCCTGCAACCGTTGAATTGATTAAACTTTGACTGCAACCATCGTCAATTCGTCATCAATATACAGAGACAGAGGACTTTATTAACGTTTATGTATGTATACCTTTTGCCATCGATGGTGTGTTCTGAGAAAGAATGCCAGTGGCATTGCCTCAGGACATACTGAGTTTCGTTAATCTGAAGATAGCCCGCGCCTGCAGCCCATTCCAGCTACACTCAACCCAGAAAAAAAAAAAAAAGGTGAAATTAAACCATGAGATATGAGAGAAGTTTCATCGCATCGCGGGGTTGGTTGATCGGTTGTAGCTTTGGAGGACATTTAATTTGTGAGTTGTCAACTTCAATCTCGACGTACAGCGATGTTCATGTATGCTCCCTCCGTTTCAATATATATTGAATTTATTTTATTTTATTTTATATATCTTTTAAAAAATTTAAAGCAACATTTGTTAACGTTTTTTTTTTTTAATTATGCCCTTATTTACTCTCACAACTTCAAAACAGTATTTATTCAGCTTTAAGAATAAATTTGACAATGTGACCAGCATTCTTATGCATTGACTACATTTTTTTAATCCGCGTGCAAGTATTTGAAAACGGAGGAAAGTGTGTATATACCTTCTAAGATTTTGATTCATTTGGTTTTTGTGGGTGAAAAATTTTGAAGTAATATTTATATTGGGTTTTCCAGACAACATTATTTTCATAATAATTACTTTCACGTTTTAAAAAATAGACGAAGGATCAAAGAATGTACGTTGACCCTAAGGATTAAAAAATAAACTCTATGATAGACTTGCCATGTGCATGTAAATATATAGTAAATTCAGACCCTGGTGAATTAGAAGCAGTAATGAAGGAGAAAGCCATGAAGGCGCATAAAATATAAATACCATGATATCATGGCCTCTATTTTTAAGGGTGGCATTGGAGGGGTGGTACTTCATCTGGAGGGCCCCTAAATGGGACACTACTCGAACCCTCTTGTTCAACACATCAATGGGTGATTGCATCGTTCCATTTTTGCACACTCTCCATTCTTCTTTGATCTCTCCCCATCGAGATGGTCCTGTGTCTTCGTCTTCGTCGTAACTAAACTCCCTTTCATCCTCTGCCAATCCATCACCGATATTTTTTCAAGTAATTAATCCAAGTGAAACACAAGAAAAGCAAACAAGCAAGTGAATAAACAGACACTAAATTGTGTGGTAGACTCATGCTTGAGGGCAATGGCAGAGCCGGGACTCCAAGCCAAAAGGTGTGAAATAATTTAATAAAAAATTAATATTTTTTAAAAAATAATAATTATGCTATGACTAACATTATAATAACATAAAATAGTTTTATTACCATTTTAAAAAAATATATTAAACAAATTGAATATGCTCTTCATATCTTATTTAGATCATTAAAATATTATATATCTAATAAGTTTTTTAGTTTAAATATTTTTTATTTAATTTAAAAAGTGCAAAATATTAAAAATAAGGGTGCAAAGTTATAAATTTTATATATCCCATTTATAATTTTTTTCAAAGTGAGTGGATGCAAGCCAATATAACTTCGTCATTGCTTGAGGGTAACTTGTTAAGTCATCTAAATGTAAGTGGACTTGAGTCAATATAAAAAATATCAAATCAAATAAAGTTAGACATAATAATTAATATAATATAAATAAGAAAAAACTAACAAATTTAAGCCTCTATTTGCAGGCGACGTTCACTTCTCATTTCCAATATCACCTTATAATAATTCTAATACAAGGGGCCAATAATGTTAATATAAATGAGCAAGTGATAGTCCTTACCGACTTCTGAAGAATTTGCTGGGTAAGAAAACAAACAAAGTACAGCAAATAAACTGCAAATCAAGAATCGTGTGGCAGCAACTTTCTCCATTGATTCGAGCTCTTTCAACCTTCAAGACGTGGGAGTTCAGCTATATATTTAAGGACAGAAACCCGCATATATATAGAGGAAGGGTTTGAACAGAGCGCTTTAATTAACTATTAATTAAGTATATGTCATTTCGTTTAAAATGGTAACAATTTTTAATATATATATATATATAAGAAAGTTAATTAAATCAACCGACCACCAGTTTGTCTGCTTGATTAGTTACAAAAGAAGACTCCCTCGAAGGGTACTGTTTCTTGTCGTGATTATTCTGTGCCTTGTTCTTCTATGCTTGCCGAATGTGTACGGTGTTCACGTTTGCCATGACGAACTAAGCTTTGAAAAAGAGCTTCTAATATGATGATTTTTTATTTTGGCCGAGCATAAGTAAAATATGATTTGCATGAGAGGCACGCATGGTTCATTTTACTGTGCGTGAATTCCGTCTTTCTTGCCGTGTTAGGAAAACTAATGGACATTAATAATAATTAAAGTGGACTGGATACGAAGATATACGTACCTACATTGTTTGGGATTGGATTAAATGTTTGAAATTGAAGAAAAATCACAACTTCACAAATGAAGAATACCGTTAATTTGTTAAATAATTAGTATTTTATATATATATATATATATGTCTGAACAGTCTGTATATATATTATATTAATTGTCCAGGCCAAGTAGGAGAGGAACGAGTATATTATATACAAGTTCATTGTTCTTTTTAGTTATAAATTAAATGGGTGCATGGATTGGATCATTAGTGGGGTTGCGAATTTAGTTCTATCTAACTTAAATTCCACCAAATCGAAGTTGCAGAATCAATATATATAAAGATATATAATTAGACAGATTTTGGGATAATGAAACTTCTAGTTTTTCAAACTTATCTCAATTATTGATTTAATCCTTTGAGTTTAATTTTTACCAGTTTGATCCATGTGTGTTTTTTTTTTAATTATCATGTTAGCTCTTCAAGTTTTAAAAAGACAAATTGACTTTCAAAACAATCAAATGTGTAAAGTATATATCTTAATAATTTGGCATGTATATGTAGTTATGAGAAAAAAATAATCCTCAATGAGTTTATTTTTTAGCAATATAATCCCTTAATATGTTTTGTTCTCTTATTTTTTTAAATTTTTTTTTACCTGCCTAAATATTTATACTTGTTTTCATTAATTTATATGATTGCCATAATTATTCTATTATCCATGTTAATAAATTTTAATAGTGTAATCTCTTTTTTAAACAATAAAGACCAAATCAATAATCAAAATAGATTTAAAAGATTAAATTAATGAGAATCAAACTTAAAGGACTAAATGAATAATTGAGATAAATTTAAGAGACTAAAAGTTATATTGTTTGATTCATCTATTTATATATAAGCCATATATATTATATAATATAAACATTACTCAGATTCCCAATTTAAAAAAAAAAAGATGGTGTAATTGGCATATGGTAAATGTTGATGCCGTGCATATATATCACAAGATCACTGACGAATGAAGCACAAGACATCAGGCGCGTTTAATTATAGTCAAGTTTTTTGAAATCTAAATGTAATTTGAAATCAGGCTACAAAAATAATAATACTCTTATTAAGCATATATATATATATAAGCACATATTATATCAATAAAATAATTTACAACTATTTTATCAGTAACTTTAATTTTTTACAATTATAACTTTATGTATTTAACAATTAAACTAATTAGTTTAACTATTGAATATATAAATAATTAATGTTAAACTTTTTATTTAACAATTGAATATATGAAATTAAAATTATAAAAATTTAAAATTATAATTGTCAATTATCGATGAAGTAATTGCAAATTAATTATTGATATAATGTATATTTAATAGGGATATTATTATTTTTACAACCTAATTTTAAATTATATTCAGATTTTAAGGGACCTAACTGTAGTTTTTAAATTTTTTCAAACTTTTTTATAAATAAGTCTATTTCATCAAACCTATACGTAATTTTTTTAAAAAAATGAAGTGAAATATTCACTTTAGTTTAATTTTCTGCACAAATGGAGGGGCACGGTTTATTTCTTTCTTTATTATTTTCTCATCAATAACATGGCAAAAGTATAATTTTGTAGATATAACTACGTAATTCTTAATTATATTACACATTTATTGTATATATGCTAATTAAAATATTATATATTTATTTGGATATAATAAAAATATAAAAATCTGCGTATACACAAGTTTGCAAGTAATTACTCCGGAAAGCGGTAATGGAAACATGCAACTTCCCATTATTCAAATGATCCCTTTAATCTTCTGCATCTGTTATGTCATATTTTCAAGGAAATATTATAAAGAAAACACGCTATTCAACTCACATGACTCGATATCACACGTGAACTTTTTGAATATTGGTTCCTTGTTTTTAATCTTTCTTTGATTAGTAATTTCAAATTAACGGTCAAAGGTTTTGACATTTCGTCTCCATAATCGTGGGAAATTATTACTGATTACCGAAGTAATTAATTAATTAATTGATATAGAGAGATCGATTCTAGAAATTGGTTTTCTCTTGGAAGGAGGTGCTGCATTCAAAACCCAACTCAGCTGTCTTGGTGTGTGAACACCCCCAAAAAAAAAAAAACGCCCCAAGCGTTCAGAGCGTTTTGAACATCAGAATAAATTAAAAATCATAATATTGTTTAAAATGACGTCAACAATGAGGATATTGTTGGGCCTATAAGTATTTTGGAAGGGAGGAGAATATAGTTAGGTCGCCCAAAACTTACTAATTGTTGGGCCTAAATAGCTCTTGAAAGGAAAGAAAGAACAATTGAGTTGTCCAATGATTTCAAGAGGATACCCACGACACATATATCAGTAAGTACACAATTACATCTTGATTCAAAATCTTAAAATAGTCATCAAGTGCTTAGATCAAGAACTGGCTAAGTGTTTATCCCTCTTAACGAAAAGTTTCAAGTTTGAGTCCTAACTATACAACAGGGATTAATTTAATTAGGTCAGAGACTTGGGATGCTGAAGTGAAAGCAAAAAAGAAAAAAAAATCTTTAGACATTATAGGTCTTTTCCCCTTGCTTACCTTTTCTCCAACCCAGATATAATTAATGTGAGATCAGACTTTTTCTTTCTATCAAGTCAGGCGATTCCAACAGATACTAAAGGGTGATATCATAGCTGTGCAAACCAAGCTATACATGTCATGTAAAGTTTCGTGTTATTCAAAAAACATGACATTTCAGCAACGATCAAATGGTCAAAGGAACGAAATCACTGAAAGGTTCGTATGTTGGAAAAATTAAACCGTCAATTTCGTCACCAAAATTTAGCGGTGAAACCTTGAATCACCGAAATGCTTTGTATGAACATAACGTGGTTCGATAATTAAAAACACAGATTAAACCTCTCTGGAAAAGTCACATCACACGTATCCATCCAGATTGTGTAAATTAGTTGGTTTTGGTAACCCACTATGACTAGGCAGATGATGGCCCATAGAACAACTGAAGAATCTTGGAACCCTAAAAGGAAAGTCGATATATGCACATCACAAATCTTCGTCTATGAAATCTAATGCCTTATAAATTGTAACTATGAATGAATTGATTTGTGTCCACAATTAGTGCAAATGTCCCATTATATAGAAAAATACGCACTTGGAGTGGAGGAAAGAAGTTGCTGGAAACAAAAAAGGCATTATATAGGGAAAAAAATTAGACGCACTGGGTTCTTATGTTTATCAATTACATATTGATCAGGTGAAACCAATTTGAAAGAAGGAAAGACGTTAATTTAGAAGCTTAGTTCAATGCATCCAAAGCCTCTTTTTTTCTAACAGTTATTGAATATTTTATTGTTTTGGCCATGCATGGGTATATATTCTTTCCGGTCTTATTTATAAAACATTTATAATCGACTCACGCTGATCAAGAAATGTTAAAATTAGTTGAGAATGTTTTTTTTCCTTCAAAACTTTCTATTGAAATCTCAAATCACCCTTAATTGAATTAGTAATTTTACCTTTAAATTTTAAAGTCAAATATGCCACCCAAATGAACCAATTGGATACATAATCATTTTTGGAAATAACTGGTTAATACTTCATCATGTTTTGTAAGATGTTTTATAAGAATCAAACTTTCAAAAGGTGTCCTATATAATGGGTGGAGTATAATTCTATTATGAATAATTCATATTTTTTTAGTACTATTAGGTTTAAACTTTAATCAAGTAAGAGTTGTCCTCCTAATTAATTTTGGTTTTTGAAAGGAATATTGAGTTTTACATTTAATTAACATATAATTCCTATGCTTTTTATAATCGATTTGATCTTAATTTGAAGGAGGCATGCAGTATATGATCCATTTGTATTTGACTTACAGTTATAGCTCTATTGGAATTATTTTAAAAAATTTCTCTGTTCTTATAATTATACAATATGCATGGCCTAAAACATTAATATCTTTTTTTTATAAACATATTCCCAACCATAAAACATTGTGGTTCATCGCACACCTGGAGGATGTTATTGAACCTCATTTAGTTGCCCCCATTTTAAGTGGAGTAATTAAAAGAAATAATTGTACATTGACATGCACAATATAAGGTCTCAGTTGTGATAAACACAAATTCCAGAATATGCTGCTACTATAGGGGCACGTCTCTAGAAATAATAATTATTCTTTATGGACAGCAGGATTACCAACTAACCCATAGATATTAATTACCATGTACCATGCTTAATTTGGAGTTTTCTTATTAATGGCCATGCCGATAATAATTATTCTCAAAACTCCATCATTACTTGTCATTTAAAAGCAACATTTATTTCATAAAGGGGCATCCCACAAAAATTTGTCTGATCAGGGGCTCCTTTGACAATACAAGCACTCTAGCTTGCTTCTGTACATATAAATAGCTTAATCACCTTCCATCATCTTTAACAAAGTCTATCGCTCAACAAACTTCTTATGCATCTCCGGGAAGGTACGTAATATAAAGTTTCATTAGCTGCTGGAAATAGATTATGATTTTAAACACTTTATGTGTAACGAACAGGTCTTAAAGTAAGTTTATTGTTTACTTCATATATTGATTGTTCCTGATGACAGACGGTACGGAATTAACGGGGAAGATCAGAGAATGAGGTTTGCGAGGCTTCTTCTGGTACTATTCATGATAGTGGGGATATTCTTGGCCGAGGGAACAAGTATTGTGAAGAAGGAAGATGAGAAGCTTAAAACCCTAGAAAATCAACAGGACGGGGATGGCGGAAGCTCTTTGAATAACCATCACTACATCCCCAGGCAGGACTTCAATGGTAATAATGGAGGAGATCAAGGTGGACCTCATTGAATTCAAATACATACATACATACATACATACATATATATGTATATGCATGTACGTATATGTGCATGTATGTTCCTGGTTTTAATTGTCGTAGCGGGTCGTGTTTGTGCTATGGTTGTACGGTGTGCTTCAGTTACTGTAATCGGAATCTGTAATAATTAATTCTGTGTTCAATGGAGATCAGAAAAGTGTAATATTTGCTTCTAGTACTGCTGTTTCTTTACTTACCTAGTTATAAGAGCTTGTTTTATGTACCCTACCCTTCGGAGCTCGGACACGGATCAAGATGAGATCATCATGAACACATAATTATATATTCAAGCAATTATTACATGCTTCAAGTGACTCGAACCAGATAATCATCAGTATATAAAATTTTAAATTTTAAAAAATTGCAATAATACGATGCAATAATCATTAGATTTCAATACACGAAAGAAAAGGCGTATTTTGTTACAAAATAATTGAGCAAGGAATATAAGACCACGATTTTAGGGAGTGATAAGAGCCAACAGCCAGGTATCTGATGTTTCTTTGATCAATTCTTAAATTTAGGAAGTAAGATAACTGTGGAATTTATTTTTTTTATTGTATTCATATATATATATATATATATATATTAACTTGAATGTGAATTGTGGACGCATTTAATTGTTAGTTTCATATTTTCCAGCAAGATTCGTTCTTGCAATCATATCGCTATATAGGCTCATAAGTTTTTGAAGAGGTTTTCTATGAAAAGCCAATACTTGTTACTTTGCTTTTTTTTTTTTAAAAAAAAAGAAAGAAATCAAATTATTGATAACTGTATCTTCTTTCATATATTCATTCTGAAATGCTAATATTTAATTACTTTCATACAAGCTTGAAAATTGATACTCACTCCATTAAAAAATATAAGACATTTTTAACCCAATCTTATCTCCTAATAAAGTAATTATCTATTTTTAAACTAACTCTATCTTTTTATATTTATCTCTATTAAACATTCTATAATAAATATAAAGTCATTCATCAATACGAGCATTTTTTTTAAAAGTTAATGATTATACTTTAAAAAACTAAAAATACTTAAATATTTAATTCCTCAAAAAATGCTTTATATTTTTAAACGAAAGGAATATGTATTAATACTTCAAAGTAAAAATTAAAGAACATTGTACATTTCAGGGGAAATTATTTTGTGTAGAAAAATAGTTCTTAATCACCTTTTTACTTGCTCATTAGAAAATCACCATTTTTATGTTGATTACCCAAAAAAACAAAAAACACCATTTTGCTCATCAAATAAGAAAATTTCACGCATATATAATATATGAACCTATATCCATCTTTCAGAGAAGTCATTATGAGAGGGTAAGTATGGTTTGATTAGTGGTTCAAATATCTTTGGTTAGTGCAGGTCAACTGTGTTAGTAATTGACACAGATATTCATTATACAAACCGATCCAACAAAAAAAAAGGGAAATTAACTTTTTGCTAGGATAATCGATATATATATATATATATCTATTTATGGGAAATTACTCTTCTCTGATTGTATTCCCATCAAATCAATGTAATCAAGTTGCGTCCAAGTTTTGCAAAAATATTTCTAAGCCCCATTTTCTTTTGACAGCAACGCTTATAATTACCAGTGCTTGAATATAACGTTTGTGTGGAATTTCCCTATTTTCAGTCCACTTGTAATTATAAGGATTAATTTCACATAGCTGGCAAGCAACTTTCTCATCACACACACACGTTATATCCTTGAACAACAATTTAATATAGTGGGCGTAGCACTCAATATCATTCCTTGCGAGGAGATAAACACGAATGCCTGATCTCTAGAAGCCTCTGCTTCTATTCTTCAACAGGAAACGCATAATGCTTCATTAATTAATATCTACCCGACTCTTGTTCTTTAATTATCTATGCATGTACATGTGGAAGCTCTTGTATATTGTCTAGCTAGTTTACTTTGATGATGCTTTATAAAACTCTAGTTTCTGTGCAGTTTAATGTTATTGGTATATATAGTTAAATTTATCAGAAGTGATGCACTATTATCTTATGGGACAAGAACTTGAAAAAAAAAATCTTTATAAGATCTTTTTTTGCCAACCTCTCTATTATAAGATCTTTACACTTGGTGTTTCCTGGCTTTTATAAAGAAAATTTGATGCGGAGACTGTCATCAAAAGGGCTCAAAACTTGCACACTGTGAATATCACCCCCCGGAAAGAGTAAAGACACTTGTAAATTAATTATTAATTATTAATATAATTAATTGTATCTCTCTCTTATTCTCTCTAACTGAAACTCGTCTCTCTCTTCTCTCTCAGTGCTTGGCTGCTGCAGTACTTTTGCCACATCATGTGCAACAAACAAATTTATCAAATTAATTAAGAAGCATGGCCTCTCTATTTTACTCGATTGTATTGCTGTTGGTTTAAATTGTTCTTTATTAATTATTGAAGGAATCAAATTAATTGATTTAAATGATTACTTAATGAAAATTTTACTCCATACATTTAATTTTAAAATTAATCTTATTATAATTAAAAAGTTATACGCACGAAAAGGTATGAAAGCATTATTATTTGTTTTTTGACCGAGCATGCCCTCATCAAACAAACAATTGTTTAGTGACACGTAATAGAGTAGCCACTTGTGGCTATATTATAAAGAGAAGTCTACGAAATCTAGCTTTAATTTGTTGATTATATTAATGGTTGAAAGAACATTCTTAATTATAATAACGTTAGAATTTGTAGGGCGCACTTGGGAACCACTTGGCCACAAAAACTTTTTACGGTTGCAAAAATTAGTTAAAATAGAGTTAATAATTTGAGGAGAGAGATGGAAATATGAGAAATTCTACACGTGACTTTAACATATAATTACCGATTACTTCTATGTTTAGTCGATAATATAAATCCAAAATACAAAAACAAAAAAATTACTGCAAATTATGCATTGTTTTTCATTATATTTTTTAAATACAAGACCATGATTAAAAATCGTGTGAAAAAAATAGGATTAAGTCAAGTCAGCATACAAAAAATCCTTACATCCAAGTGATGAATCATTAAAACTTCTAATTTAGATATTATTATTTGATTCTTGATGAGCGGTTTTATGATATCATTGAATCCCAACAAATTTAATGGACATCACACTTAACCTTGCCTCATTAATCCCACCACCATTGTATGATTCGAAAGTTGACTGGTCGATTGATATTTCACTGCCTTCAATCTCTCTATATAAGCTTCTCAAGCGCTTGCTTCCTTCCTAAAACAATATCAAATAATAGTATTATCAGTACTGCTGATCAGTATCTGGTACGTTACTATAAATGCTATATTAATTACAATCTACTCGATATGTATAACTATAGATCGTTCTTGGTTTAATTGTTCTGTTGAATCATCCATGCAATACTAATCGATTTCAGAACAAAACCGTATCAAGCTTCAGTTTATATGCATGCATTGATTTCAGGAATCTGCCAGCAGCATGAGGTTCGTGATAATTGCAGTGCTAGTGTTGATGGTCACGGGAAGCTTTTGTGAGGCTAAAGATGGGAGAAAGTTGATGAAGGAGGAGGAAGACAAGGGAGTGCTCCTTGACAACAATGATCATCATCATCTCCCAATCAAAGACTATAGCCCATCTCACAAGGACTACATCGTCGACCATCCAGCTCACGTACGAGGGAATCCTTAATCAGTACCTATATATGTGAATCTTTTACAGTTCTTCATTATAAAATTCTTGCAGAGTTTTACAAAAGCAAGTGAGATGAGCCAAAACAGCATGCACTCTCACTCCTTGTCTCACTTCTCTTGTGAAACTCTGCAATAATTTTATAATCAAGAATTTAAAAAGATTTCCACTCAAATTAGCATAATATAAAACGTACGTGTAGGCTTATAAAGTGTTTGTTTTATGTCGTCAAGTTACTGTGCTGCTTGCTTGTCTCATATTTTCATGAACCCTAGCTAGCTATTATATGATGTGTGTGCGTAAGTTTGGGTGCTTGGATTACAAGCCATGAATAAAACCTATAAAGAACTAAGATTGTAGCAAACTACGGGTCATGTATGTGATTGTTGATTAATAAAGAATATATTGTGGATACGGTTTGCTTCAAACCTTTCTTATTTAGTTATTTTGTCTCCAATACACACACACGCGTCATTCTTGATGTGCGCGTCCCTCTAAGCTTATATTGATTAATACACCCGCGCGAATACGAATATTAACTGAAATGATTTCAGAATCTACCGCCAGAAGACAAAAAATAACGTTACATGTCGCTAGTTAATTTGCCATGTGTTTCATATGCGGGTTCAATTTGCAATCATAAATTATCCAATAACAAATAAATTATATATCCAGTTGTTTCTTGTTGCATGCAAGTTTATGATTCTCTTTTCCTTTTCTTTCACTCGTTTTTATCATGAGATCATATGGGCTTGTGAGGCTGCTTATTTAGGCCGGATAGTTATAAATGCAATAGGATGCATGGGCAAATATGTTTGATCTCTATAAAAAAATCTCAATGATCGGTTTCTAAAAGTACATTGTTTGCCCAATAGCTGGACAACTTGACCTTTAATCCTTGATAGATGAATTCGGCCCAAAAATTTCTTACAAGGTCAAAAAAACTGTTGCCTGTTAGGGGTCCAAGGCCTAGCAAAACGCAGGTGAGCTCTTGCATCATGCTTGAAATTAAATGCATTTTTTCCCTCCAAACCAAGGCTTCGAACTTAACTTGATTTCACACGAGAACTTCAAATCCAGTAAATTTAGGGCGTGTTTTGTTCCTTTTTTTTCTATTTTTGAAAACTGTTTTATTATATAACATTTAGAATTATTGTTTAAAACAAAATAAAATAAAAATATATTTAGTTATATTAATTCAAAGATAGTTTTGGAATTAAAAAGAAACTGATAGTGATAGTTACAGAGAATTAATGGGGGTGATTTATCTTAGAAATTGACCAAACTAATTGTAATTTTCCAAAATCAAATGTAGTATGTTTTGAAAATAAGAAAAATAAAATGAAAACAATTTTAAGATATTTATATTTTTTTTGAAAACAAAAAATGAAAATAATTTTTAAAACAATTAAATATATAACATATATCCAAAACAGTTTTTTTTTTCAATTTTTTGACAAAAAACAAAAAAAATTATTGAAAACAGAAACCAGACAAGCCTTTAAAGTTCCATATCTTCCATATTTGAACTTGAAATGGGAAAAAATTTCCCGTAAACGAAATAGAAAAACGGGCAAATAAATGTGAGGGCAGAGAAGCAGTAAACTAAAATTGCAATGCGTAAGAGTAGGGCATATAGCATATATTGCCTTCTAATTGAACTAGATTGAAGTCGCCCTCGAGTGTCAAAGACCCTCTAGTGGTACAAACCTCTTTTTGGATGTATGTAATTAAATTGTTATGTTGGAAAAGAAAAGGGATTGAAGCCCTCATGTGACTTCAATACTTAAAATGATATGCCTGCATAAGTTTTGTGCAGTGAGAAGCTACACACTCGTTGCAATAGTTTTGTGGTCCTTATAGTGCATGTTCATGTCTGTATGTGATCACGCAGCTCAAATATTTGTTTCAATTACGGAGTCCCCAAAATCTCCATCTAAAATGTTACTTTTCATCCATGGCGATGGGATAAAACCACTACAGCTACACCTACTGGGATGCCTTTTTATTCGAAATGAAGCTCCACGTTACAGCTGTAACAGTTGATTGAATATGCAAGTTTTCTTGTCAACGACAAGGGCCACGTCAACGAGTTACATAATTCCTTTCACCAAACAATTTTTCCAAACCCTAATGGCTTGTTTGGTAGAGTTAACTTGGGATGGGAGAGGTAGAGGTGAAAGTGGAATTCTAAAAATGAGATGTTTGGTACATTGGAAGCCACTTCTCTAATACCCGTTTGGATTTCAGTTTGATATAATAGATTATAAAAATAATTGATTAAGTGATAGATTTTAATCATAAATAATTATGTTATAACGCAATCTGTTTGAATATTATTTTTCTAAAATTGATTTTAACATAATTGAAGATATTTGAATAATTTAATTAAAATTAATTTTAACTAAATTACTATATAATTTAATTTTTAAATACCAAACATCAATTTTTTGAGGATACAAAGTTTGAATTTTATTAAGAAAAAAAAACGAGAAGAGAAGAGAGTTTAATTTTATGTTTATTAAATTATGTGCTTTATTTATAATTTTTTTGTGGGCTTTTCTTTATAACTTTCTCTAATATTTTTTAATAAACTTTTTCGCAAAAGCTTGGATTGGCAACTTTAGAAAAAAAATTGATTTTCACTCCACGAATCGATCAACCAAAAAAACTGGTGTTTGGGTAATTGAAGCCAAAATTAATTTTTTTCCTCAAAAAATCGATTAATATAGCTATCCAAACACACACCTAGCGAATCCAGTTCGACTAAAAACGGTAGAATTTAGTTCCGACCTTATAGCTATGGGGCTCAATTCCTCAATCACTTCCCTTCTCATATAACATTTTTACCCTCAAGTTTCTCCTACCAAGATCGATCCAAAGGTGTTTGTTGATAGAAAACATTAATCGACAATAACACTATGGAGGATGTAACGATGCTTGATTGATGACATCATCTCCCAACCATGGCCATCAACGATAATATTCAGGCACGATTAAAGATAAGCCATCGATGTTATGGTTATTAAAGTCAGACTCATTCAAGAGATCAGAGTAAAGGATGTCTAACAAGCAAATCTCCACTACATTAAAATCCACTAGCAAATCTATAGATGACGACTCTTGTCCATTTCAAACAAAATAAGAAAGAGAAGGACTTGATGAGATAATCATAAACATAAAGGGTGGGTGAAGAGATGATGACTAGATCGCAAATTAAAAGCATGAAAGTTAGAGAGAGCTAGAGAATATAACACTTCACGTTTGGATGGAGACTACCTAAAGCCATTTTGTGTGGCTAGAGATGAAAGAGATACATAGAACCATTTTAGAGAGAGAAATTGAGGTGGACAATGGAAATTCCTAGGTCTTCAATTTTTGAATTCAATTTGCTAGCATTTTTGGTTCCCAGTAAAACATACTTTATTTTTTGTGTTTGATAATAATCATTTCAACTTTCATTGTATTTTCAGGTGGGTGTGACCACCGCCAACAACAATCAACAACTGCAAGCTATGGGTTTGGGTTAGGAGGGGAGAATGTATTTGTAATTTCACATTACAAATATAATTATTGATTAAGATAAATTCCACACTTCCATCTACATACCCAACAAACTTTTAAACCCACTTCCTCTATTATTTTCAATTCCACTTTTACTTTCACTTTCGCTTCCGCTTCCACAAAAATCAATTATGTACAACAAATGGGGCATTAATGCCTAGGATGGTCATGCGCTCCACTCAACAGTTTCGCAGACTCATCCTGCTTGAATGGCGAAAAAGGCCACACCAATTTTGGTCTTTGGATGCATGCGCCTACAAAAGCTCTCGCATTCGCGGGCCATCGCATCAAACAACGAGAAGAACAGGGTCCAATTTCTTCTTCATCTTCGTTGCGCTAAAGTTTAGCCAATTAACAGTGCTGCCTCTAGATAGTGACTTGTTATAAATGTTTTAAATATATATTTTTCTTCAGAAGTTTAGAGATCAGACAGCGCAGCAGGCTCATTTTGTATATTCTCGTCCGAGTTTTCATCCTGCGATAGATTCATGTCATTCAATATATCACTGTTCCAAAAAGAGGGTAAAGAAAAATAACAGATAATTATCCGAAGTCACGAAATTAGCCAACAAAGTCGTTGATGACATGGCCTCCAAAATGGCGGTGTTGCTGTAATGCTTCAACGTCGTCGTGTCTGAGACCCAGAGTTAGGGACACCGGTCCAACTCCCCCAACCTCGACCCCACCCCTTCTGTAAGGCACAAAACCCATTAACGTGCCGTCCAAGCTTGGCGTCATGTGACATTCCAGCTTCGATCGCTTCTCTTGGTTCCATCCTTCCCCATCTAATTCCACCATCTCATCCACATGCCTGTCTCCGGCGCCTATTTCAAGACCCCGGAATTGATTGCTGCTCAAACATTGATCTCTTCTTGACTCGTGCGCACCTTCAATGGCAGAACTTCCCTCCTTTTTATTAGCGTTCTTCAGATCGTTCTCGCTCGTCAACCCTTTCGTTTCAAGCATGTGTATTTCCTCCACCATTGGCTTCCAAACACGTACTCGGGCGTTTATGAACCAGTTTGATACCTACATTATTCCAGGTCAACAATACATCTCATCAAAATCAGCTTTTAGAAATTTATCTAGCTAAGTTCATTTCCGCTCCTTTTACTAATTTTTTTTTTTTTTTGCTCTCTCCCCTTAACACAAGTTATATATTCACTTGCTAAAAATTCCATACATGAGTCATACTTAATAATATACATGAAATTAGGAACAAGCACAGCAAATATCACATTATTACTTCTGACATACACAACAACCAGAACACCCGAATCGCAAAAAGGCAAAAAAGAAACCGTCATAGAATTTATCCCCCATAACACCCCACTTAGAAACCACAATTCGAACATGTCAAATACCAATTTATCAGTTTGATCACAAAAGATCCTAGAACATAGTAATGAGTTGACATGGAAGAGCAGAGCCCACCTGGTTTCGAGATAGACCTGTTCGAGCAGCAAGCATGTGTTTATCAGCGTCCGTGGGGTACCTGAAAACAAATTGAAGGAAAAGGAAACCGCAATTCAATCTCCTTTTTTCTGTGAGAGAAGCCGTATTGGACACACACAGAGAAAGAGAGGACATACGGGTGAAGAAAATGATCAAACAACCAAGCTCTAAGAATTGACACCGCACGTTCTGGCAAGCCCTTCTGCTGGGGCCTCCATGCGTGCTGTTGGTGTTCAAGATAGCCTGCACCACCCACAATCAATTTGTTCTTTTGAAAGCTTTGGTCCAGGAATTTCAGTCGTGCCATATTGCTGTCAAGTTTACCACTGGTGGTGGAAGTAACACCACCACTGGCAGGAGCTGATAATTCCTCTCCCAAAACATCTCTTATATGCTCAACTTGACCGGAGATAGCATTTTCTAGGAATCTGAAGTGTCTTGATACTGTCTTGAGAGCCTTGGAAATGTAAGGAGTAGCAGAACTAAGACCCGCGACTGACTCAAAGGATGAAACAACCGTCTGCATTAGCTGATTATGTTGCTTGTATCTTTTGATAACCTATTATATAACCAGGTGGATGCGTCAAAAGGAAATTTTCTATGTGCATTTATGTTCTATGAAAACTTAAGTCCAAGAAACAAGTGCTTTCAAAACGATAAATATATGATCAAGTTAGGGAAAAAAGGGTAAAAAAAAATCATCCTTCACTAATTTTCGCCGTAACAGAAACTGCGGCATGCCTTGTAGAAAAGTATAGATCATCTTATTATTAACACAGTTTTCCTTGTTAAGAGGCTGAGTTGTCCGGTCACATGATGCATTTCAACCTTTCATCTTAAACTCCTAAATGATGTACAATTTAGGAAATAAATTATTCCAAGTCTCCAAATGCTTACTTCTTAAATCGGGAAAAAAAAAAGTTATGTTCTTCCTCCATAAGAAAATACCTACTTAAAATTGGAGCTACAGCTTTAGATTAGGCAGCATTAAAACCCTAGAAACAGTTGGGACCTTAAATAAAAGGGGCAAAAGCTTTACCTAATTTAGTTCGAAAGGTTCAAGCAAAGAACTCAGATTCCAATGTAAGAAAGGATTGAGGATGTTTATCACAATCCGTCATTTACGCATATCACATGATCAATTGAATCTGATAACGCAAAATTCAACGACTGTATCACATTAAAAACATGTAGCATTTAATTAACACCGACTCATTGGACGAGGTTTGTCTAGTCATCCGTTCTAAAGATCACGTTTTTAACACGCTAAATTGAGAGAATTTATGATGTTTACGCTAATTCGACATGGTTTATCCCCGAAAAAACGAAACGCAAAAGTAACATCGTAAAACAGATATGTAAATGGGCAGCAGAAATACAACCAACCTCCTCTTGCATGTACAGGAACTTGGCCATTCTCTGTTGATATTGTGGCCGAGAAGAAATGCGAGAGCTACTCCTGGTTCCACCATCACCATTACTTTCATTTCCAATCGAACAATAAAACATGGAGGACGAACCACCCGAACTGATAACCTTCGCGCTAACAACACTTTCATTTTTTGCATTGACAGCGTCCGCAGAAGTAGAAGAACCACCAACTTCTCCAGAAACCCTCCCAGAAACATCAGGTCCTTTCGTAAGTTTTTCAGAGTGTTGAGCACAGATTTCTTCCAACAACTGCTGCGCTGGCTTTAAGAAATTCGAGTTCTTCAATATGGTAGCATACCCCGTGAAAGGGCCGAGAGGCCCCACGTTTCGATAATCAATGTTCGAAGAAGGTATTCCGGCCACCATGTTTTGAAGCGATTTGACACGGTCTCCAGCACTAAATGAGGTATTTGAAACAGATCTCACAGGTTTTGAGTATTGAGGATCCTTAGAAAGGACATATCGCGATTGATGGTCATCCGATCTGCAAGGCGTAGACTGTGAATTCGAAGAAAGTGATAAAGATAAGCCCTGATTATTGGAGCCGCTCACTCGAGGACCTGAGCACTCATCACTAGCTTTAAAACCGAGAGAACCATCGATCGTTCGATTAGTGCAAGAATCAGGATTTCCAAGACGCAACTGATTTGATTGGATTCCATAGTTTGGAAGAAAAAAGAGTTGATTTCCGTTTTCCACCCACATTCCATGGCCACTTTGTTGCGTCAGCGAAGCCATTTCTGACCCTCGCCCCCTGATAGAAGCTGACTTGATTACATCCTGCATTGCGTTCGGATGAATTTCCCCTAATTGCCTTTGGCTTTCTCGAGTCGCCGTTTCACCTGATGACGGATTGTTCAGAGAAAACTGTACAGCTGATAATTCATTATTGATTCCCACGCCAAAAGTGGAATTAGGATTAGGATTGCTCTCGTTAGTCGCCGAACTAGAGGCATAGTTAGGCATCCAATCACAGACTTGGGGTGACCCACTGTTTCTCCAATAGCCAAAGTTACGTATTCCGCATTGCTCTTCGAGAGCAGAATGAAAGCTGGACGAAGCTGGATTTGATGAACAGGGGAATGAAGCAAACTGAGGCGTTGTTAGCCCACTCGATTCAGCTAAAGGATTCGTAACCGTTGAAAAATTGACCATCTCCGATGAATAAAAAGCAGGTTCGTAAAGCATACTGGCATTCCTCACACTCCTAACTTGAAGAAGATCAGGACTGATCCCTGGACGTAACGATAAGTGTTCAATATTGCTTGGGAAATCTTCTAAATGCTGGGAACTATTCTGGATTCTCAACCTGTCACGCCGAATTTGCTGCGCTACATGCGGATCAGGCCTTCTGTCGCTCATCAATTCCAACGTCCCGCTATAACCAAAGTAACTATAACATGAAGTTCTCCTGATGAATCAAGGCCTTACAACAAAAATGAACAGCCACGACAGCTAACATATCGGAAACTGAGCCCAGCATTCAGTTTGCTCTCCTGCAAAGCTGCAGTATATTCCCTATCAACTTAAATGGCTAGATTTAAGTAGTGATAACTACAGGACACTAGAACATATATAATCCCTCCCACCTATCCGCTAAACTTCAAAGATGGCCAGAAAAACTTACGAAACTTCAAAACTTAATTTCCACCCAAAAATCATAATGTATATCTAAACAGCCGAGCGACGGGAGAGAAAATGCGCGCACTTCGAAAAAAAAGGGGATGAAGGGAAAATGTCCAGCGGACGTGGTATAATTGAGGAGATTAAATTAAATTAGGAATAACAAAAGTGAGAGTAGAAAAAAGAATCTACATATTAAGAAGCTTTCGCTAATCGAAATCTGTAGACTTCGCTTCACTTGACAGGCTCAAATTTATCTACTCACGACCTTTATTATCGCCACAAATATGAGCAAAGGTCACTACTGTGTACTGCTTCTCTAGAAAACAGCTACCCTACTTTTCCACCAGACTGTGCAGTCACGCATATTCTGCTGCTTACCTTCCTAGTGAACTACACATAAAACTCACCATTCACCAAAACGCAAAGATGGACGGATAAGATAATTTTACAGCTCCCTCTACGTACGGCTATCGCAACGTCTAACAACTTAATTTCATACCGAAACCCTAGTTGTTGATTCTCAAAACAAGTCACAGCCTCGCCAATCCATAAGCGACTCGCACGAACAGGTTTAAGCTAAGTCCTGCCGATTTCTAGGCTCTTGATAAAATTAATAAGAAACGAATCTCCACACAATATGAACATATATAAATATATAGTCCTCTACAGCGTTTAATTTACTATCACGCAGCGAAAAACATACCGAGCCAGAAATTATATCATGTCAGGGTCAAAAGGTGACTTCGGACAATAGGTTCTGCAAAATTTGGCATTCGTACAACGCAACCACTTCAACAAAGAAAATTTTAATAGGAGCACGAAAAACAGTAAGACCACCGTCGACAAGCAAACGCATGAGTACATAGGCCATTACCTGTGAAGATAACTATAATTCAGAAGCCGGAGAAAATGCCGAGGAGATTGAGCAAGGGAGGGGAGAGGGATAGAGTGATGGGTGGCGGAGAGGAAGGAGAGGCACAATGATTGCCGAAGCCGGTAAATACGCCGTTAGGTTTAACGTCATCAAGCGCGCTTTTACGGCATTAGGAATAGGAATAATAACGAAAAGTCGCCGTTAAACAGTTGAGCAGCAGAGCCAGAAGAAATGCCACTCCCTCGCAACTCGTGAATCTTCAAATCCAAACTGCGTCTTGCCGCGTGGACCATCACGGCGTCACCCTTGCTTTGTTTCCACCTTGTGCTCTCTATTTATTCAGTTTTCGGCTAAATCAATTTTTTTTTTAAAAAAAAAGAGGAATAAAACGGGCACGTGTGTCCATCAAGGGAAACACCCTTCATTATGGGATTAATGGCCCAAACCTAATCGAAACCGTGACGGCAACCGTTTTCTTTGACGGGATTCTCTGTTCCCGCCCGGGAGAATCTTGCAACGCCTAGAGCATGGTATCAATCAAAAGTGTCAACAAGAAAATAATCTGCACGAAATTAGTTCGAGTTCACAAGTAAATTAAAAAATATTTTTGAGACTCTTAAATATTAAACCTAGTAATATTCAAATCGAACATATAGAATAGCCATATAAAAAAACATGACACCCACATTTATATTCTTTAATTAAGAGACAAAGAGGAGGAGTATCTATAGATCTAGAGTGTGTTTGGATTTCAATTGAAATAAATTAATTATTAGAATATGATAATATTTAGATAAATTTTTAAAAATTAATTTTGATAAATTGAATATGTTTGGATGATTTTTTAAAAGTCAATTTTAAATGTACAAATAAATGATACAAAGAAAAAAAGTTAAATGGAGTTTTGTCAAAAAAAAATCAGCTTTTTTAAAATAAAGTTTTATAAAATAAAAATGTTTGGATAAATTTTTATAAAATGATTTTGGTTTCAAAATTCCTAACATCCAAACAAGACCCTAGATAGCAACGGTGCCTGTGCCGTGGGACGCGCGCCCTACAGGGCATATATGCCTCCGCCCTCCAGTTACTTAGCATCCGTAAAAGCATCATAAATCAAGGCAAAATCAGTGATTTGATGAGGATGAACACCAACCTACTAAAGAAAGGCACCGATTAATAATGATATTCCATTCTGCCAACTGACACTGTAAAAAATGAATTCGGACGGTGGAGATGAGAGGGAATACTGGAAAGAAGAGGGGGAAAAAAATGTACGAAGGAAGGCCAGAGATTAAAGCCTGAACAAGTTATCGAGGCAGGGATTGGCAAAGGTACGAATATAGTTTGGACAGACTTGTGGCTAAGGATTTGATCTCCTGGGTAAATGGAGCCAGTGAATGCGAAAAAATAAATAAATTATATAATAATACAGTAGCATAATAATAGCACTCACGATTTAGGACTTGCAGTGAGAACAAGTAAAAGATATGATTCCGAGCATTTGTTCCAGCTTCAGCATCCGGAGCCGGGCCCCGAGAATCCATTCCGCCACATCCGTCTATGACGTAATCAGTAATAACTGGGAAAATTTATGCCCATTCTGCCTTCCAGCCACGAATAATTTAGGTTTTGTTTATGTTCTAATTTTATAAGAGAAAATTAAAATAGAAGAAACACATTCAAAATCTATTTAAAAAATTTATTCACAAATAAAAATTAATAATAAATTCTACTAAAAAAATAAATTCATATTTTTAATTTATTTTGTATTAGTCTTTTATTTGTGAATAAATTTTTTAAGTGATTGTTAGATATGATTCTTTCAATTAAAATTGACGTTGCTGGTAAAAAAAATTAAAATTGACGTCATGTAAAGTATGAACTGAGAGTGTCGTCGTCTTTATTATTGTCGAAGTTAACCTACAGTCGTGAGGTTAGACAAAAATATGCAGCGATGATGACATGACTTGTCATCTCGCCAGACATAAATAAAGCTGAAGTTTTTGTACTTATTTTCTTTAGTTTTTCTTGGGGTCAAAAAGGCAGAAAGATGAGCAAAAACACGCAGGGAAGAAAAGGAGGAGGACCAACACCAAAAAGCCAGAAATGGGATGAATTTCGATTCAATTAACATTTGCTTTCCTCAAGGTGGTGCTCACAGTGACAGGCGAGAAGTCCAAGTTTCTGTCCCCAGAGACTGACCCGATTTGATTTGTCTTCGATCCGCTCCTCCACCATTTCTGTAATTCTGTTTACCAAAACAACGATAATATCAGTTTTTTCATCATCGCAGAAAATTGCATCTTGCTTTCTCAGAACGTACCTAACTAAGAACAAATTGTAGAGCAGCATTTTTATTACCATCAGTATTATGGAGTGAGGTGATGGCATCACGTCACACAGAAGCCCTACAAGCCTCACCTGACAGGCCCTCTCTTCAGTGGGCGTCACTGTCAAACTTTAACTTCGCCTTGTTCGTCTTGGTTTAGAGTTGAGCCCTTGCTTGTGGCACCCCCAACCCTAATAAATATTCTTAATACTGCCCTTAGTCACAGTCTCTTTCACTCGCTCGCTGCTCTTCACACTGTCATGCTGACGCTGGTGCTCTCTCCTTAATCACGCCCTGTCCCCTCTACAACTAATGAAATCCACCGAGCACCCAACCAAATGAGGTGTATTCGTACGTGTGTTTTGATCTTTCCTTCGCATTCAGGATGTCTTTCCATCTTTGGCTTTCCATTAGATATTTTTAAACCAGAGACAAACTAGATTTTCGTCTAAACAGACTTTAATTAATATAGATACAACTTTAAGGTCAGCATATGATTTTTTTTTTCCCCATTTATTTCATTCAATAGTTTGGAGTCGGAAACCCATGTCATGTCGCTCTAGTATTATTGGAATGATCGATAAAATCAACCTAGCCAAAAAAAAAAAAGATGTTAGCCATGACTATCGAAGTCATGCAATAGAAGGCCTTTGAAAAGACGTAATAATTGACATGTATGACCTCTCATTAAAAGGATAGTGCATTTTTTGCACATTAAATGTAATTAGTGAATTATGGATTTTACTTAATGGAATGAGGATTAGTTCTAGATTCTTGATACTGGATTTATTAATAAAAATATGATGGATACATGAAAAAAAAACCTTTTCTTGAAAAAAGAGGGCACCAAGTTGAGCTGAAAAAATTGATAATAATAGGCGTAGAAAATTCACGCATAGACTGTGAAAAAAGAAATAATTTATTTAGTGATTTCGTCAATGCCATCTTAATTAATGTTTTAATACTCGGTTCTTGGAGCTAGCTAACGACTTCACAGTAAGATTAAGAAAATTAAATGATTTTGTTATTTGTAAAAAAAATGCTAGTTTTCTTTAAATATCCATACTTTTAATTATTCATATTGAAGTATTATAAACGTAATACATTACACAATATTCTAATTACAAGGGTAACTTGAAAAAAATAATGAACATGTGAGATAAAGAAATTGAGATATAGCACTTAGGATCAAAATAAATCTTCAATTATTAAGTGCTACATCCAGGACAAGAGGAGACATTTTGGATGATGGCATTGATGTGAAAGCTGGCGCCAACTCATTGGTTTTCAGCTAAGATAAAATGGCGGATCATTTGAACAGGAGGCTGGAGCCACACCCCCATGATGTATGGCAGATCAAATCATTATGTAATACTCATTTCACAGTAAACAAACTTTAATTTAAACGCTTAGACATCGGCTGGCGAGTAAATTGTGTCCCCAATTCTTTTGCTCACTTGCATGATCAAAGTGACAACCAGCTAGAGAGCCACTTATGAGTACATAGTCAACAAAAGCAAGGTGGTTGGTCTTACATATTAGAGCTTTAATTGATCTCTCTCCTCAAGAGATAGGATTAGAGTGGGGATGTGTGTCCCGTTTGAGGTACAGATCACATATTCTGCAGGTCCAAGTTGTTGAGAATTTAGAGAGAGAGAGAGAGAGAGAGTGCGCCTCTGTGACGTTTCACCAAGAAAGCAGAAAGAACGAGTTCTCAGTCACATTTGACCATTCATTTGCTGGATGACATGAAAGTGTCTACATTGAGCAAATGGGGCCAAGGCTTTGGAGAGAGATCGTGGTTTCCGCTCTCTTTCCAATCGCAAAGCGACAACGACACTTCAACTCAGTGATGATCAATGGCGGCCTCAGAGAGAAGATGAAGATCCATGATCACGAAGCTTTTTACCAAACGGGGTTTCAAAGAGAATATAAAGATTTTCTTTTTGTGCTTCAAAATGCCCCGTGTCGTCTCCTTCTTCTTACACCATCATATCAGCAACACCTTCAAAATTCACATTAGTGCATCCCCACTTTCAGTTATACGATGCTTGCTGGTTTCCTGCTTTTGTCCCTCCTCTCGCTATTAGGTTTTGGGCCTACGACTCTATTTAGAGTACGTGCAATGATAATTGAAAAGAAACAATTTGATGTTTTTATTCAAGATTCATGAAAATCTGGGAAGAATATTACCAGCAACTGTATGCTGCCAACATTGGCAAGAGAGCAAATATTTAAAATTATTTTTATTTTATTATTATAGGAATTGGTGTTTTGTATAATATAATTTAAAAATAAATAATAATAATAATAATAAATGTTTTTCACTTTTTTTATTTTTCAAAGTAATAATTTCAGAAAACTTAAAAGATATTTTTATTTTTTCCAGAATAATATATATTTTTCAAAATACTTTCACAAAATTTTTTTATTTTTTTATTTTAGAGAACAAAAAATTATTCTCAAAACAGATTATCAAATTAGCCCTAATATGCTGGCTTGCTTCAGCTAATCTAGGATGACCAAGACACTTTACTAGGAGTTTCAGTCACTGGCGAATAATAGAGCTGATTCAAGTGATAGATGAGACTAGTTTACTTTAGATTACAGTGGATGGAATGGAACAAATGCTTAAAAGTTTTTGCGGGGTGCTCGTCATAATACTTTACGTTGGGGTGCGAAACTTTCATAAATTTGGCTTTCAAGTTGAAATCACGCGCCAGCTTTAACATTAATCTGGAAGTCCACTTGATTCTTGATATATTTACAAGCATAACCAAGAAAATGCAATCAAAATAGGGAAGTAAATTATTACTATTTGTTTAATACACAGACAAAAATTATAGAGCCCAGAGACATGAGGAAGCATAATAGTTTTTTCCCCCATTAACACGCTGTTGCTTAATTCCGATGAAGCATTATTTTGACACTTCATATTTTGTCACCGGACACAACATTGTTCATTTGCCCAGTGAACCGGAAAAAAAAAAAAAAAACAGATAGAGCGAGAGGGCGAGAGTAATATAAGCTCTCGGGCTTCAAGAGCCCCAACATATTACCAAGAGGATGATAAGAGTGCAATGCCCCGTCTTGTCCACCAAAGGCCCAGATAAAAGGTCCATACCTTATGGGAGCATGACCGGAGCCATTATGAAATTCCTTTGGCATACATTCATCCATGCATGTCGGCATAAAACTTATTGTTTCTTTTCCATATTACTTAACGCAGTTTATACAGTTATACTATTATTTGCTGGGGCCAAAGATCACAATATAATTTAAATTTAAGAATTATGTAGGTGAAATAGTCAAGGCATATCGCACATTAAAATGGGCATATGCCTGGGAAGAAATAAAATAAATAAATAGATAAAAAGGCAAGTATTTATTTTGAAGCAAGGGTAAGAAGTGTGTAGTTTATTCAGAATACTTCCTATAAGGTGACATAAATTTCCTTTTCTCCCTATTTGTGTATTTGTAGGAATGTAATTTATATATTTTAGTGAAATTATGATTTTGTGTATTGGTGTGTAGTTTATTTAGCAAGAAGGCCGCCACCGCATCAGACATCAGTTTGATGAGCTGCCATCAGGCATCAGTACGAAGGCCGAGAAAGATCAGGTGAATTAATTTGTACTACTCTCACTGTTTTGATAAATCATTTCTATCGGTTTCATTAATATTAATATAAAAATATATAAAGAATAAAAATATATAAAATTTTAAATATATTTTTACATAATAATTTTAAAAATTAATGTTATGTTATTTTTTTATAAAAAAAAATAAATTTTTTTAAATATTATTTAAAAAGTTCAACCATAATTTATAGATAAAATTAAATATATCTTTTAAAATATTACTTATGAATAAAACATAAGTTAGTAGAGTAGAAATGGTGTTCCGTATTGCGCACGATACATAGTTTGGTTTTAGTCGTGGCTTGCGTAATGAATTGACTAAAACAGACGTTATATTATATTAAATAGCAGAGCCGGCGGCGTTTGCGGTTGCGGGTCATCCCCATTAGGCGGCGTTTGCATGGACACCATTTCATTCAGTCCATTCAGTCCCAGAATCCCCATACGTGAAGGATTTCGCTGCCCACAAATCTACTCCAAGTTACCAACGCCCACTTGCTTGAAGAACTGGCTTATTTTGAAATTTCAAATACAGGTCTTGTAACATGTAAGTGTATTAAACAAAAATGTCACAAAGTACTGTGAAGCCGCGGTTCATAAAAATGATCTCATGTAGTCACAATGTTATGAGATTCGTCTAACCGGGAGATTGTAATATTTTCAGTATATAGGCAATAGGGGAAAAAAAAAATCCACTCTTCATGTTCGTTTTTCAATCGAACAGCTAGAACGTAGAGCAAGAATCACCACATACTATATGCTACGGTATGCTTTCACTAAATTTGCAATTTTTATTGCACATTAAAAAAAAAAACGTAGAAACATGTCAAGACATTGTTTTGGTCTGTCTTACACCCTTAACTCCTAACTATTTCTTAAATAGAAAAAATCATATTCAATGACCATTCAAATAAATTATTCAAGAATAATGATTAATATAGAATAAATTGTTGTTAAGATGTTAATATAAAGTTGTTTTCTCTGAAATCAAACTTGTTGTTAGTCTTTATATATAATTAATTTGCTTGGGTAATTCTTAAATTTAATTATTCTTTTTAAATAATTGTACCGTTTTAGTCATTCTACCAAAACATGTGCCCATTATCTGGCCTCTTAAGCGTTGTTTGATGATTCAATTTTTGGAGGTTTGTACATGGAGAGTATCAATTGAGAAACAGTAAGCCCTTAAATTATTAAAATAAAAAATACCTTTTATAGTAGTTAAAAAAAAGCTTTTTACAGCAATTTATGAGACAGTATTATTCCGAAAGATTTAGAAAGTCAACAGCTACTGTATCGATTGTATAATTGATGTAGAAATTAAGTAGAAAAACTACTTTTTATATCAGGCCTAAAACTGATGTAGGGACTATATTAAAATTTTAAAAAGATAAACAACAAGACACTTTCTACATCTGTTATGGAATTTACATCGGTTAAGACCTAATCGATGCACAAATGTTTTTTTTTTAAATTATATTTGTTTTTTTAATTACCCATCCTCATGCATGACAAAATCTGCAGTCAGGCCGTACAATTTATTAACAACTTCTAGCCATATCAAAGTCTAATTTAACTATCCAAAACTAACAACTATTTAATATAATTCATATAAAAAATTGCAACAATCAAAATTTGTACAATCAACTATCAAAATTATTTGATAGTCAACTATCAAAAACTCACAAACTCTCCAAGAAAAACATTGTCCAATATGTGCGAATATCTTTAATTTTATCTATGAGAAATGGATCTAATATGCATTGTCGAACATCTAAAACAAAACAGAACCCAAATTTCTTGAGGAATCATCAATCTCATGGTGAACGATTATGAAGATGCCTTGGGTTAAAAAAAGAAAAAAAAAACGTGTGCCCTATATCTATGTAGCAATGTATTTAAGTTTACTCGTATATTGACAATTTTTTGTTATAGATATCGTATAAACTAATTAGTAGCATGTTTTTTATGCGTCCAAGCTTTTTTTAAAAAAAAAGAGAAGTAAAGCATTTTGTATTGGTTAGTGTAGTATTCAGTGCTTAAAGGGAAAGACAAGATGATTTTGCTGGACCAGGTAAAATAAAATTTGAATTCAGTGCTTATCCCTAGTGCAAGCAATAAATATTTGTCCAATCTAAGCTGTTAAAAGTTATATCAATATTTTTGAATTTACACTCCACTTGAAATCAATGAATGAATGACTTTATTTGAACTATTAATTTGAATTTCAACGGCTCAAATGAGATAAGTATTCAATGTTTGTACGAGAGACAGGCATCAAATCTAAATCTAAAATGTATTTATAGCGTGCTAATAAATTTGTTTATTGACAGATGATTAGTTATTCCAGTACTTCAATCGGCTTATAAATTATATAACCAAAAATTAAATGTTAACTCCCCTACAATAATTTTACTCTCATGAGTTCAACAAAGGAATAGAGAGAGAGATGACATAACAATCTTATAGGAAGCCACTTTATCCTCAGATTCGCATTCTGTGCTCACCAATATGATGAGCATGGCATGCTTATCACCCTTAAAAGTGATTTTGACCTTTCATTTTACTGTAAAATAATCTTTATCATTGATTTTAAATTAATTTTAAAACATTTTAAATATTATATTTGTAAAAATAAAAATATAAAATTTTTACTATTAACTCTAGATTGCTTTTAGTGCTCATTAAATGATGAGCACTATCATATACAGCACTATTGATAAGATTTAGATAATCTTAATTTAAATTTTTATTTTTATTCTATATTTATAAAAATAAAAAGCATAGATTAGAAGTCAATTTTTGGTTTTTTGATCATCCACTTCCTCTTGGACAAGAGGTGGTTTATGATGAAAGTGTCCCTTTAGATGGCCATTATCGATTGTAATCTTTTTTTAAGTTGTTTTACTCTTTACAGTAAACAAATAAAATGCATAAAAAATCAAATTTTTAATAAATTTGCTGATAATCAATCTTATTAGTACAGATCTAATCTAGATGGTTATTTTTTATATCTTTTATAAATTTATTATTCAGATGTATTCTTGATTGTCTATATCTAGATAATTCAATTTAATATTAAATTTTTTATAATTTTTACAAACTAGATATATCTTAGGCACTCAAAATTTAATAATATTTTTTTATAATTTTTACTTTCACAAATATAATATTTAAAATGTTTAAAAATTAATTTAAAGTTAGCGGCTGAGATCATTTTAAGATAAGATATGGGAGTGATGAGTACGGAATGGGGATCCCTTCATCCTCTAGTCAAACAGGTAGCACTTTGGAAGCATAAAAGTGCACTTATAACATTATATTGTAGATTTAATGTGGATCAACAATAAACTTTTTAATTTGTTGATCCACTATAGGTACATTACTGGGATGCTCATTATCTTCACGTACGGTGATTATATTCCTGCGTTTTGAACTTTATTCCAGACTAGAAAAATGAAAAGCAAAGCAAAGCGATCAGCCAGTTAGTGTGCTATCTTCCTTTCATTGATAACTTTTCTTGCGACTAGCCAGGTCGTCATGCCATGGACCAAGTGACGTGTTCTTCACCCACGTCCGAATTAAGCCCCAACGCATCCCACACAGCCTGCGACCCATCCACGATATTATTCCGGCACGGGGGCTGTCCAGCGTGCTCGCTGTCGCACCCGTTTACCGAGTCACACTCATCCACCACCTTCGCCGTCGTGCTCTTCCCGTTCGTAGCCGTGATCTTTATCATCTGCCCGCACCGCGACCCGTGGTTGTACCATCCCGTCGATAGCGCCACCACACGCTCCGAGTTGCTATGGTACCTCTCGTCGCATTCAGACGGACCTCCGCCGTCGCCGCCCTCGCTGAAGTCGTTGAGTGTGAGGATGGCTTGCGTGGAGGACGTGACCGTCGGGGAGCAACGATACTGAGAGTAGGATTTACCCCTGCAGGTTAAAGTGCCGGAAGGCTGGCAGGTACCTCCGCCGCCTCCTCCTCCGCTGCAGGTGTGGGTTCCAACGTCAGGATCGTCGTTGCATTTGCCGTTGATGCAGATGAGCTGGCCGGCGCAGTCGTTAAGGGTGGCGCAGCTTCCGCCGCAGTTGGAGATGGCATTTGCGAGCAGAGGAAGGCTTATGACATTAGAGAGGCAACAGACGGCTAATAAGTAGAACGCCAGAGTAGCCATGTGAACGGATCAATTGTGTGAATATGATGCTTGAGGAATAAAGCTTGTGTGAGTGCGTCCTTATATAGAGTTCTCGGTGCGGTGGGGTAGAGTGTTAGGGCATTGACTGGAGCCTCCAATTTTGAAATTTCATTGCCTTGAAGATCATGGCGGCCAAACTATGCATTTATTGTCCTGTCAATTTTGACCAAGGAACCACAGACACAAGTCGTGCGTCTGCGTGTGTTTGAGGGAAGGCATTACCCTTATTTTTGGCCATTAAGAACGATCGTTATATTAATGTCTGATCGATGACCGTCTGAAAAGAAGAGGCGAAGAAGAATGAGAAATGCCGGTCTGTGCTGTGGTGTTCCTGTGCTCAGATTTTGCATAGATTAATGCAATAGGATTTGTTTAAACTTTTAAGTTCCTTTGAAATCATTAACGGGGAGTTCTTTTTGGTATTCACAGATAAAATGATATTCTGAGTTATATTTGAAAACACCATTCTCAAAAGATATTTTATCACATTAAATTGATAGTGTAACAGCTTTTTAAAATTAAATAAACTATTCCTATAAATTGAGGACGGATACATAATAACAAAATATTTTAGAATAACCAACACTAATGAAGTAATGAAAGAGGAAGAGGGAAAGCCCATCTTCCATGCTCTTTAAAACAAGTGGTAAGCATTGCTTTTTACAGAGAGATATCTCAAATTAGGCAATAAAAACACATTAAACATCATTGGAAAATAGTTTCATATGAGAGTGGATTTTAATACATATGTTACAACATAAATTTATTTAAACGGTATTAAATATTATTAATTTATAATAATTTATTTTGAAATACTCATAATTTTTTTTAATATCCAGTAGTTCTGTATAATTAAATAAAAACCAGTAATATCAAGAAAACAGTGAGTGGAGAAGATTAATTGAAACATTACCAAAGAGGTGAAGAGATCATCACTAACGTACATTATGATCAGAATTATAATGTTGAAAACCTTTTGGTGCGTCTTCTAGTGAATCCAACTCGCATTGAGGGGATAGTATTCAAGCTCACGGTGTAAGCGAAAATTACGTTTAGCACCACTACTGTAAATTTTTGTTTAGAGCATTCGGTGTCCGAGGACAAGCTATCTTTTAAATATATTAATAGTCCCAAACTAATTCAAACACCATTAGGTCCTCCAATTAAGAAAAGTGATTGCCTACAGATGTTTTTCTATGATTAAGGAAGGAATCAAACCCCTCCAACTTGGTTAAGGGACCAAGCGAGAAACCATTAAGTCACTCTGTCATGGAAATCACTCATTAAGATTGTTCTTTCAATTTTCTTAATCACCTTTCTCACCTTGTCCTTTTTAATATACACACCTGCACAAGGGACAGAATTAGGTGTATATCAAGGGGGGCCACGTCCTTGTATAAATTGTTAGGGGTTAAGTTGTTTGAGGATAATGAAAAATAATTTTTTTAACATAATTCTAATTGACAACAAAAATCTCTTCACAACCACTCACACAAACTAACCAATGCTACCCACATAGCTTATGTGATTTTGTGGTATTGTGAAATTATCATGCAAAATTAAATAGAAACGAAAAAATATATATATATATATTTCCTTTGTTTAAAAATATAAAGTATTTTTAATCAAATCTTATCCCAATAAAATAGTTATATACTTTCAAACTAACTCTATTTTTTTATATTTATCTCTATTAAACACCTTATAATAAATATAAAGTCATTTATCAATAGGGGCACTTTTAAAAAAAAAAATACAATGATTACATCTTGAAAAATTAAAAATGCTTTATATTTTTGACATCCAACTTCTTAAAAAATACATTATATTTTTGGATAAAGAGAGTATATATTTTGCTATTGGATCATGGTTATTTATAGTTAATATTAATTATTCTGTTTGATAGAAAAAGGAGCCAAGCTTAATAGTTGAGTTCTTCCTTTGTTTTAATATTTGTATTCAATGGGTTAACATATATATTTAGTTATTTACTTTTATATAAAGTTTTATTTTAATCATTTAATTTTGTAAAATATTTTTTAATTCTCTAATCTTAATACTGTTAACTTCATTAACAACAAATTCTTACGTTAAACTTTTAAATGTTGACAAAATAATTTTAAATAGTTAACATATTAAGTTTAATTTTTAAAAAAATAATAATTGATACAAAAAAATGATCATTTCAAACTAACAATATTTTGATTAGAGAACTAAAAAATATTTTATAAAATTAAGAAATTAAAATAAAATCTTATATTAAATTAGAGGATAGTTACACTTTAGCCTGTTCACTGTGTTAGTTTTTTTTTATAACAAAATTTGGGAATCGCATATCAACTGTTAATTTTTAATATACCAAAATATGTTAAAAATTTAATATTTTTATTTATTCTTCATATTTATTTTTAAAAATAATATAATTATGTATTTAAAAATATTATGAATTTTTAAAGTATTTTTATCTTATAATTTTTAATTATAAATTTTTTTAATGAAATCACTTATTTTAATTTTTAATATAGTACATGTTGATGTTTTTCTATAAATTTTGGCCCCTCTACAGTTTGCATCCTGGTTCTGCCCCTGCACCCGCCCACACGCATCTACAATTTCCTCGTTTCTTCTGGCAGCTACCAGCTTCCTCTTTTTTTTCCCTGAATATTTTTTTAAAAATTACAATCAGGTCCCTCACAAAAAAATTAATTACTAAAAAATTTATTAATAATTAAATTAAATTGTATCTGTAATTGTATCTTACAGTAATTAATTACCTTATATAAAACTTCAATGTAATTGTCCCACTTTTTTTGGTCACGTTATTGCAGCTCGCACCTCTGATTATGAGCATATTACCAGGTCTATGAATATTATGCACTTTCGTCTTCCTAACATTTTTGTAACATGCCTTTCCTTTATTTTATTTTTTTATCGAAACTTTTTTCTTGAAGTGCCGTTTTGGGGCTCATTTTTGGTGAGATTTTTCCCCTAACAAATTCTTCAGTAGCCCTGCAGTGTAGTCCAGAATCCCAGATAATCCTAGTCATTTTTTTTTTTTGGGCTTAGTGGGGTGTTTACAAGGAGGTATTGTTTCTCTTGAGGGCCACTTTAGCTAATAGTGGTTACTCATATTGAACTGGTAGGTTGATCCACTGTCTTAACCACGAGCCCATTCTCATGGTTAACCCAAACAAAGTCCAAAAACGAAAGAATTGTCCCCAAAGAACAGGTAAGAGGCAACAACAACACACAAGATGAAAAGGTATTTCACCAATGGATTAGGTCAAGTGAAAATAACTAATCCCTTACAATATAGTAAATTAACGTTTAAATTTCAGCTGGAAGATGTAATCACAATTAATGCCTTATGATTATCTCCAATAAAAAGATATTTGTTGGAAACAACCCCCCCAGAAAAAAAAGACCTAATAAAGAAAAGAAAAGATTTCGGAAGGCTTTTACCATGTAAACAAAATTAATAAAGCTATGTTGATATTTTTTCTGTTAGATTAGATTACTTTCAGCAGCTGGCATGGGGGTGAGGGCAGGTTACGTTGGGTTTTGATCTGAAAGAAACCTCAAGAGCAGTAGGGGAGAATGAAAAGCGAAAAGATGCTGCTGTTTTCTCGCATAGAAAATACCATAATAACATCAAAAAAGATAAAAGTTACAAATGAGAAAGTTATTCAAGGGAACAAAAGATACATGATATCTAAACCTAAGGAACGGAAAGAAGAAGGAATAAGATCTGAACACCTTCGTGACTTTCCTGCTGAATGCCAGTTTGAATAGGATGCAATTGCAGGCCCCGAAATAAAGCTAGGCGCCGTCAGACCGTCACCTTACAAAAATTAGATATAAACTAAAAATGACCTTCTAAAATATTTCCAATAACTTTGAAATTTAAATAAAAAACAAAAGGTAAAATAAATATGATAATATAACTGACCTTTTATTTTTTTCAACGCAGCCGTTTATGCGCCGAGAGCGACCTGACTGATATATACATATTATAGGAGTGATCTGCTTTGTGGATCAACTGTCACCTTTACGTGGGAATTATATTATATTATAGGCCACTCGTGACATCATGATCGCTGCCTCTTCCTTGGCACTCCTGATAAAACCCCTGGCATTGTTGAAAGTTGAAACTAAATCCTATTACATGATTTATCATAAACTATAGTCTTTTTGAAGAAGGGCTAAAAATTAGATTCTTCTCAACGGCAAGTTTCATAAAAAAGAGCAAGTCGTATATGAAAGAAGGAAATGACATGTCAGATATAACATATAAGTGCAAAAGATGTTAAATATCCTAACTAACTAACCCTTATACATATCAATGGCCATATGGCTTAATGGCATGCAAGTTTCTTTATAAGTCCGCCAGTGAAAGATGACGAGTTCAATTTTGATCTCAAGTTTAGAATCTAATATGCTTTTCTTAAATTTCGTATTATCTATTGATGGGCTATATTATATTATAAGTGAAATCCTCATTCGTCAAACACACTCCTTTATCTTTGACAGCGCACTACAAGGTGCGAAGGACCAAGTCAACAAGGTCGCCGCAACTTTTTTTGGCCCAAAAGGTCACGGCATTGGCTGTGAAGCTTTCGGTTGTGATGCGGGAGTTGCCTTACAAATATGGGGAATTTAATTTATTTCACAAAAAAAAAAAATCAATCAACTATTTCTATAGAGGATATGCTTATTAGCATGGGATCCCAAATTACAAAATAATTTGAGATAAGATTATGCCTATCACTAAATTCTAATAGTGAAACTTTGTAAGTTTATTTTTTTTAAAATAAAACTATAAACTTTTAAAAACATTTAACATGCGTAATTATTATACTGCAATATCATTTTAATTTTCTCTCTATTTAAAGGGTAATGTCAAAAACATAATTAACAAAATTTAATTTTTATTAAATTATTTTATAATTTGAAATGAAAGTAACATTTGTCAAGTTATATAAAAAAAGTATTTGTTTAGTTACAACTATTTTTATTTTTTTAAAATTAATTTACAGAAATTTTAAATATTTCTATTCCTCTTTTTCATTTTTGTGTAGGTAATAACAAGGAAAAATATACTTTTGAATTCCTACACTTTGCTTGAGTTTTATTATATATTCATGCACTTTTTTTTTATATTTTAATTTCTTACATTTTTATTTTTTAATATTTTATATTGTTCTATGAGCGATGTTACAAGGATTTAAAATATCAAAAAATAAAAGTATAAAAATTTAAAATAAAAAAATCTACAATAAAACTTGAGTGAAGTGTAAAAACTTTAAATTATTTTTTTATAAGAGGATATAATTTGAAAATAATTATGGTACTGGAAGAAGAGAAAAGCTTCAACAATTTGGAATTGGATTCTTTTTTTTCAAAAGAAGAAATTTTGCATATCTAAATTATCAAATTGAATTTAATAATTTTTAAAAATATAAATTTAATTTAAATGTTACAGAAAAATTAATGAAAATAATTCAGGAGATAAAGAAGAAGGAGATAGCTTCCTCTGTTGAAAGAAGCCTCCTTTACCTCTCCATTGAGATAGAGATAAATTTAAATTATTTAAATTTAATATTTTTAATTTTAATTTATATTTTAAAATAAAAATGTTTAAAAAATTTAATAAATATACTTATCAATCTAACAATCTAAATTTTAATATAAATAATTTAAATTTAAAATTAAAAATTTAAATTAATTTTTAAAATTTATTTCAGACAGTGTAGTTATATTTTGGATATAGCAGTAAAGTTGTTAAAAAATTTTAATATTAAATTTAAATTATTCACATTAAATTTGAACCGTTTGATAAATTTATTTATTAATTTTTTAATAATTTTTTAATATTTTTTATTTTAAAAATTAAAAATTAAAATATTAAATTTGAATGGTTTAAATTAAATCTAAAAGATCCAAATTCATTTTTGCCTCAGCGGAAGCAAGGCAACTCCGAAGAAGACTCCTTCTCCTTTGGCTCAGAGTCAGAGCAGGCAGCTACGCTATGCGTGCCAATGCGCGATCTCCATCGACATTAGCAATCATTCGTAGTAACCTCGCCCTTGTTTACTTGTTAATTAATCTTTCTCTGTCGGCCACCAATTTGCTTGTCGACCCCATCACGATTTCTTCAGATCCCAGGCATTCATCGTCAATTCTTGTTTCTCTACCTTTCTCTCTTACCTGAATGTGTAAAACCAAAATGGCCGTCGACGCTTTCACCCCTAACTCAAGAGCTCCATCATCTTCCAGACCCACCCTACCCACCCCCGCCGCGGCCGCAGCTTCTTCCTTTGACCCCTCTACCTCTTTCACCAGCTCTGCCGTTTACTCTGGCTCCTCCGGTTTCAAACTCACCTCCGACACCTCTATTTCGAGCGGAGCCTCTCTCGCTAGTTTCCGAGACAGCCTCCCTGAAAACCCCCACATCTATGACTTCTCTGAAATTTGCTCCGCCACCAACAATTTCCTCGCCAAGCGTTATTCCTCCTCCTCTTCTACTCCCTCTTGGCGATGTACTCTCAGAGGCAGAGACGTCATTGTTTTCCAGCGCAAATTTCGTCGCAAACTCCAGACGAATCAGAATGAACTCAGAGAACGTCTCTCTGTGATCTGCCGTAGTCATCACGTCAGCATCATCAAGCTTGTTGGTGCTTGCATCTCGGGCGATCACATCTACCTCGTGTACGACTTCGTGAACGGGGCTAATCTCTCCGACTGCTTGAGAAATACGAAGAACCTTAACTTCACGGTTCTGTCCAGCTGGATTTCTAGAATGCAGGTTGCTACGGATCTCGCCGAAGGGCTCGATTACATTCACAACAAGACCGGCTTAAACCTAAACTTCGTGCACAATCACATCAAGAGCAGTGCGATAATCGTGACGGAACCTTCGTTCAACGCCAGGATTTCTCACTTCGGCGCCGCCCAGCTGTGCGGTGAGATCGACGAAGAGAGCGAAAATGCTAAACAGATGGAAGAGATTGCAGAGGAGTCATCTTCCTCCCAATCTTTCACGAAATCAAAGGGCGTAACACGATCGAGAAGCTCTAACATGCAATTCGAGGGCGTAAGAGGGTACATGGCACCGGAATACCAATCCTCCGGCATGGCAACCCAGAAGTCCGACGTGTACGCTTTTGGGGTAGTGATCTTGGAGTTGCTATCGGGAGACGAACCGTTGAAGTTCAAATACAATAAGAAGACCGGCGAATTCGTGAGCAACTCGGTGATCGATACGGCGAGGGCCGTTCTCGACGGCGGGGGTGGCCTGGGAGGGAGGCTGAGGAAATGGGTGGATCGGAGGCTGAAGGACTCGTTCCCGGTCGAGGTGGCAGAGGAAGTGGCACGTGTAGCACTGGATTGCGTACACGTGGACCCAGATAAGAGGCCCAGTATGGGACGCGTTGCTGGAAAAATCTCGAGGCTATATCTGAAGTCTAGGATTTGGTCCGATAGGATGAGGACGCCCACCGATATTCTTTCAACCTCGTTCGCCCCTAGATGAGTTTGGTGATGTCTTTCTTTTTTTTTTACCCTCAATAGAACGCGAAAAAAACCATCTTGGTGACAAATTATTCTTGCTTTTAGCTTTCAATAGAGATTTTTTTTATTCGATTATTGACTATCCTTTTTTATTTTGGTAATATGGAGAACGTGTTGGCAATCTATTTGACCATTTAACAGTGGTATCCCATTGGGCAAAGTGTTGCCTTCAATTTCAGGCCACTTAGAGTTATTGACTAATTAGGCATGACATGATATGGTGCGCTAATAAGTATGGATAATTGAATTAGGCATGATATGATGTGGATAGGAGCTGAATTTTTCTTAATGTTCGAGTTGAATATGGTTGATTTGGATTTTGGCTGTGGGCCAGGGCGTTGACCGTGAGGTCTGAGTTGAAAATCTTCAGTTTCAAAGTCTAATATAACAATAATGTCTAGTAAAACGAATGAAAATAAGTAAACTTGAACATTAGGAAGTTTCAATGGGGTAAAGGTTCATTAAGACCGATCCTTCAAATTGGTTGTTACATACGTGGAGTCAAACTCTCAAGAGTCAAAGATGTATTGAATTAACATTTGCAAAACCGAAATTTCTACGTACTACGTCTTAGGAGAAGAGGACTGAAATTGAACCTCGGTAAACTTTTGCCGTGCGCATTATCAGTATCAAATGGAGTCAATTGGTCTAGTCGTTTCAATTGTTTTGTTTGTCTTTTGGCTGTCATAAGACGCGGGAGTAAACATAACGTCCAGGTGAAAAGCACACAAACTAGTGGACACAAAATCTTTCTCGTGATTTCACTTTGACGGAAACTAAGTATGTATATTGCCGACATTCGGTTATTATCCTCCCCGATCACAGTAGTTGTCAAAGCTAACATGCAATCAGTTCTTTACAATTTTTTTGTCATACTTATGTCCCACATGTTTCTATCAGATCGGACTTTTTAAGTAATTTATTCTGTTGAAAATAAATTAATCTAATAAACCGTTGCCTAACCTTCGACTGAAGCAACTCAACTATGAATGCAGAATCTATTGTGGCTATATCAAGCTCCACACTGATCATATAATTGAATTCTTGTGCGGCATCTGTATAGGCTAAAAAATCCGAATGCCTCGTTTTAGTGCAAAACTTGCACTACAAACAACAGCTATCTTATATGTGCAGCTTCAATATAATAGTATTAAATCAACATCACGGGTGTGTTTTTTTTCCCCGGCGTATCTAGTGTCCGTACATGCACAAAGACGACTGTGAGCACGTCGATGACAAGCACATACGCTTAGATCTGTAGATAGCGTGTATTTACGTTAATTTGCGTTCTTTTTCCTAGTCTTTTTGTGGTTTCATTTAATGATGACTACTATAATGGTTCGTTAATCCACTTTTGCTTGCTTCTCTGGTAGCCAAAGGCGAAATTCAAGTCGAAATTTTCATCTATTATTCAATGAATAAGCACTAAACCTTCAAAACACCTGCAAGTTATATTATTATCGATGTACTACTTACACAATAGAGTTTGTAGCCAACTCTAGAAAGAAGGGGTGTGCATGTTTAGGTCATTCCAAATGCTACGTTAGAATGGGTGTCAGAGATTACAGTCATTCTTCTGTACATAATTCATCTCCACGAGGATCCAAACCTTAGTTGGATTGCTCAATCAGGAAGTGGCCAAAGGCCCGATCGAACTGCAGCACCAGCAAAGAGTCCTGGTTTTTCTTGCGTCTTTTGTTCTTCTGTTTTTGTTTTTTCTCGTACAAAAAGAAAGAGGAACTGAAGAACTGAACTTATTTCTTCTGGAGGGTGATCATACAAAAGAATGCAACAATGCGGCTTAGTACTCCGGTTACCACAAGAAAAATAAGACATTGATACCAGTTGTTGAGATCGTAGCCACGGAGATCCAGCGCGCCACATCGGGTTATTAACCAAACCCCAGCATATCTAAACCACAGAAGCATTTAATATCAGCACAGAAGCAATTTTTTGAAGGTTAGGAGAGAGAAAGGGGGCGTAAAACCTTCTAGCGTTTGATATCACAAATGCTTCAAGAGCCCACTTAGCATAGCATACGTCAGCTACCTTGCTCATAAAGGAGCTCTCGGCTACACTATCACTGGTTGCTATGAGAGTCAAAACTACTGGAAGTAAAACCGACCACTGCATAACATGGCAACGGTTTGTGACTGAAAGTTAGAAAAAACTCACACCATTAAATGTGAAAAAAATACAAAAAGCAACACTTCTTACCAACTGGGCGGGGCCAGGTTCAAGTGAGATCGCCAATATATAAGCTATGCCAGTGACACAGTACACCAAGCACAGCAAAACAAAGTAGTTATCTACAACAGAGGATCTAGGATTGTTGAAGAAATAGAACATTGAGAGATAGACCACAGGCTTTATGAGTGTATTAAAATGATCGACTGTATCCTTTGCAAGAAAGTAAGCCAGGCTACTCATGCCAGATGCACTCTCTCTCCAGTAGTGCAACTTATCCAGTGAAAATGTTCTCAAAGCCGCAATCTTGCACAGGAGTGCTGAAATTAAGAAACTATTAGTGAAGAAGGATAGATGACCAAAATGGTTGGCAATTTCACCAATCCTGGCAATGACAAACAAGAAATTAAGATGAAACTTACATACTGCTATAACAGTATACGTGTAACCATTTGCTCCAAACGTTTCATCACTCACTTTGGCAAGTGTTCCTAAGCATATTCCAGCTAGTAACAAAATTAGAAAATCCACAGCCTGGGTTCTAGCTTCTCGCAGCCGCTGTTTCCCAGACCTGCAGGGAACCCATCACACAGCAAAATTTAGTAAGGACATGACTGAGGTGGCATTGCTCAAGTGTTTGGTAATGAGTTCCCCTTTTCAATTTTTTTCTTCTAAAAAGTCCTCTCTCTTGTACTTTACCTTCCGAGAAAGTATCTATATTGTTGGAAGACTCCAGGGGTTACCCGATTGGATAAATCATGTGAAGAAAAGAAAGTATATCGAAGGTAGTCTTTCTTCTTCTCAACATTGACTTTTACATCTTGCCAAATTTCCCCAGCTAAAGACGGATCTTCAGCTTCTGTGGCTGGAGTTGCTGCCCCATGTGTGGAACTTTCACCACTTGTGCCTCCCACTCCTTCAACACCATGAAGCAGGTCCAAAGGAACAGGATACCCATTATGAAGCATCCATCTAACAGGTAGTTGTTTATAGTTTACTGCTGTGCTTGAGCTTGGTTTTACTATCCCTTCTAAAATGTCTATGTAATAATCTGGAGGATTAACACGATCAGGAACAACAATCCCCAAGCTGGAAAAATACTCTTCAACTTTCTTCACCGGTCCATGATACACTGTAAGACCACCTTTAGCGAGTAGTATAAAATCATCAAACATCTCGAACAGTGTGTAACTGGAGAACACCCAAAATAGAATAGAAGGGAGTATTATCTTGGGTGATTGAAGGAGAAAAACAAACATAACAGGTAAATAAATGATTTTTTTTATTAAACAGAAAAAATGGAAAATATGAACATTTTCAATTTCAACTGCTTATCATTATGTTTGAATTTACCTTGGTTGGTGAAGGACCATGCATATATTTACACCCTCTAGAGCCTCGCGTCTAAGTGCTCTAAGCAATAACTGAGAAGATGAACTATCTAAGCCAGATGTTGGTTCATCTAAAATCAGGAGTGAAGGTTCCATAACCATTTCCAGTCCTACATTCACTCGTTTTCTTTGCCCTCCAGAAATTCCACGCCTCTCCACCGTTCCAACCAGAGAATCTCGGATTGCTTGCAGACCTAATGACTCAATAACTCTTTCAACTACTAGAACCTTCTCTGCTTTCGGTAGATCAGCTGAAAGTCTACAATGGCAAGAAAACTCAACTAAGCGAGGTTAAAATAGTCAGAAGCTAGAAAAAGCATTAAATCTGGGGTTCATCCTCTAAGTATCAGGGTATAAGAATATTAATAGAGCATGCGGTCAAGTGGCAACTAAACAGTGGAAAACTTCTGCCAAGAGATCTCGAAAGATTCTAGTCTTGTTATTAACATAACCTATTCATTTTTAAAGTACAGCCATTCAAGAGGCTGCAGTGGTCCAGGAGACCAGGAGTTTGAGGAGGAATACCTGCATCTGGCACTGAACCACAGATTCTCTTCTACTGTCAAATTGCCATGCACAATATCATCTTGCGGCACAAACCCAATGATCTTCTTGTATGATCGGATAGATTCAACCTTGCCATTTATAAGAACTAAGCCAGTTGTATGACATCCAGTTGCTTTTCCAGTTAAAGCAGAAAGAAATGTTGTTTTACCAGCCCCAGATGGGCCCATGACTGCTGAAACTCGACCAGGGTGTAGTTCCCCAGTCACACATCTTAGAAGATGCTTGTTTTTGGCATTCAAAGTGAGAGTTAAATCTTTAAAAGCAACCTGAATTGTAGGCCTCTTCCTGATCTCAATATCACTAGCCATTGAAATAACTCCAGAGAAGGTTAGGTTCTTATTTTGTTCTTGTAAAGCCTTTTCTTTTTCAATCTGACCATACGCATACTTAAAAATTTGGCTTTGCGTATGCAATTGCTTGCCCTTTGGTGCTTGCTTTTTGATATTTTTATCTCCTATCTCAACATTAAAGCCTTCCTGACTATCAGGGTCTTCCTCAATTTTCTGGATCATTTTTGTGAGGCTGTTCTTATCTTTTTTCGTTCCTTTTGATGCTGCAGATGATGTACCAGCACTTTCTGGTGGCACAGGTGGTAAGGGAGTTTCTGATGCAGATTTAGAATTAAAAGCTTTCAAGTCTCCCTTCATAGATTTTCTACGAGAAAATGTACGTGATAAAGAAGTTTGCAGTCCTACTGCATGCTTCTTAGCAATATCTTTTGCTGATTTCCATTTTTCACGTGCTTGTGTTTCTCTTACACTTGCAGCAGCCCTTTCTCTTGATTTTGCTATTCTTTTTTCTCGAGTTGCAAGAACTTGGTCAGAACAGTTATATATGATGATAAGCAAGAAGCTCAAGCCAGCCTACATGAACAACCGAATGGTCAATTCTACTATTGAGATGAGATGTGCTCAGTTTGGGAGCGGGCTTGCAATCAGATAGAAAGGAAAGAATCTCATGCTGGCATGTTTTTGGAAGTTCCAGATGGCATATTGTCATAAATTTGTCAAGATTAAAGTAGAATTTTTGAGAAAGTGTTATCAAATATTTAATTTCATTCTGACAGTCTTATAACTGCGATGGAAATTGACACTTTTGTCATCTAAGTTGCCAAGAATATTGCAACATGTTGTAATTAATGCTCATCCTTTTCAGGTTAGGTGATACTGAGGGTTTCTGAGACTCAATGAGCTTGTAGTGTCTATGCACATAAAAGGCCACATAGCAGTTTAATAAGAATAACTAAAAATAAATAATAAAAGTGCACAGGTTATCTACAATATACATAACAATTACAGAACTTATATTAGCTATGCTTTGCATGATATGGAAAGGTTTAAGATCACTCACGAAAACCATGACACCATATGCAGTTATATTTTGATTAGCTGACTGAGGCTTACAACTTGCCAATTTGAAACAACCTGTGAAACAAAGAGAAAGGTTCAGTTTAACAGCCATCTTGCTCTATGTAGATTAGCCTTCAATCTAAAGGGAAAAGTTCATTTCATTTCTCAAATGGCAACTTGTGCTAGAAATATGTTGACATGAAGTATGTCAAGGATGTATTAAGTAATTCAGGATAAAAAAGAAAAAGCTTCTGTTGAGGTTTAAGGAACAGGACATCCCTCAACTCCCAAGGTTTTGTTTTGAAATCGATAACACAACACATATACATTTTAAATCAAGTCATATCTATGGTCAGATTATTTAGTTTTCATTATTAGAGAAAGGCTTGTTGTTGTTGTTATTAGAGAAAACAAAAATGGGCATAGAAGAATGACAATGGGTCTGATAAGAGAATCAGTGAAACTTACTTTCTTGATCAGTTGAACCCGTCCTGCAATAATGTCTGCAACGTAATACCAAAGTAACTTAAAAAAAAGAATTCAGGACATAAAATATGGCTATTATACATTAGAAAAGAAGAAGTGATCAGCAGGAAGATTATAAAAATGGAGGCAAGTAGTTCAGGAACAATTTGAAATCATGTGACCAGTTAAAAAATAAAGAAACAACTCACAAACCAACAATACATTTTTGAAGTTCAGGTGTAGTTCTTAATACCCCTGGGTGCAAGGATTTTTTTGGATCGTAGATGGACAGTAAGATCCGGCTGAACAAAAAACATCCCAACTGCTTGAAATGTCTGCCCAAACATCTGCTCCACCACAACTATGGTTTGTCTTTCCAGCAGGTAGCTGATAATGATACCTGCACATTGATTCTGCTGATAAATATTAATGTATGCTATAAATAAGAAATGTGGGAAACTAAAAGTGCAAAATGTATGGACTTACGGTTCGCATATCCCAGTAGCTTGATTGAGCTGTCCGCGTGGACAGTAAGCACCCAGAGGGCAAGCTTAAATTCCAAACAAAAATTCAAACATAAATCAATTAGAACATTTTTCCGTGTCAAGAACCGGACAATAGAGACATTTTCTTTCAACTAAATGTTTGTCTCTTCTTGCGTAAGGATTTAGTGAATAGGGCGGAGTGCAGGATAAAACATCACCGTAAAGGCCAATACAAGATGCTAGTAAATAAGAAATGAAAATAATTGACTCTCTTTTAACGCATTCAATAGCCCTTTTAAGAATACTTACGTATCATGCAAGTAATGCCGCGTGGGCAAAAGAAACCCGGACAACAAGGTTGACAGTCAGTAGACCTGACAGGGATGTCCTTAGTATTGTTAAGTTGAACTTTCTCAGCAGCACTACATCCCCATCCAGGCTCACATCCATTAAGCCAAACGCTCAAGTTACAGTTTTTGTTGGGCTGCAAGTTGTTAGATTGGCTCTTTGACTTTATGTCAAAACCACTGGCATATAACTTTATTTCTGCTGCTGTGCATATGCGCTGTGAAATATCTCCTGCAAAATCGCCAAATTCAGCATCAAATGCTCAGAAAGTGATACTGCTGAAATTGAGACAATGCTGATTTTAAGAATAGAACAATCTTCAGGCAAGGTTAATGCCATTGCAAAAGCTTAATTTTTGGTGAATTTTATTATATATGAATGACAAATTGGGGGAAAAATATACAATGCTGTGATTATTGATAAATGTAATGGTGACTGAGGTACATCCTTCCAAGAATATCTTTGTGGGAACGGAAAAAGCTGCTTCAATCGCCAATTTCCAGGGCAAATGGGACAAGAGATTGAGCAAAGGGATTCTATACCTTTTAAAGATTGGGAACATGAGGTCAAAAATGTCAGATCATTTGTGAAATTAAATGCCCCATCCCAATCAGCATCTCTAGAGGAAAAAATGGCAGCCCATCAGAGCAATGAAAGCGGCGAAAGTATACGAAAAAGATAAGGAGAAAAAATTGCTCACACATCAACTATACAAAACCCCAGATTCTTTTTTATTTCGTCCTTGAAGACGCCCGTGAAACTAGACATGCTTCCATAAACGGCCTGGGCTACGAGCTGAACCGCAGCTTGGCTTTTATTGCTGTTCTGACATGAAACTTGCTCCGAATAGCAGCTTAATGCAACAATGAAAGCCAAAGCAACCCTCCTGATTATATTGTTCATTTTTTACTTTTTTATTTTTGTGATCAACTTAGGTTTCAGCTCCACAAACATAAATTTCCTCTTCGTATGAATATCAACAGCTAAAGCACAATTTCAACGTAGGGTAAATTCATCGTGAGTGTGAAGCAGAGACGCAAAACTAGAGGCCTGGGAAAAGGGAGAAACAGAGGCGTAATTCTATGATTTTGTTTTGGAACCAGAGACGTTGAGAGAGAGAGAGAGAGAGAGAGTTGAGCGTGAAGAGATGGTTCGTTTTTTCGGAGCAAGAAATGGCGGGGAGGAAGAGTTGGCGAAGTGTGAGGAACACAGAACGACAACATGTTGGGTTTTTTTTTTTTTAATGGTTTGCCGGCGTTGTTTATCAATTTATTAATCTGTTATTTCATGAGCGAAGACTAATGACCAAAAGAAAAATCCCTTCCAATTTTTTTGTTAAATTATTTGGCCAACCTTTCGTCCGTGTTTTATTATGATTTGTGTTTGTGTATTGTGTATTTATTTTTCTTTTTTATATTATTTTTGTGACGTAACTTTGTTTTTACTTTACAAATGAATCATACTCATTCAAAAATAAAAAATATTTTTTTAAAGATTATATATTTTAAAATATAAAATATTTTTAATTTTTTAAGAATAATCATTATTTTTTTAAAAAAACATCTTTATTGAATAAATTACTTTATATTTATTTTAAGTTGAAATACTTTATTAAATAGAGATAAATATAAAAAAATTGAATTATTTTAAAAATAAATAATTATTTTATTGAGAGTGAAATTTAATTAAAGATAGTTTATACTCTTAAATGAATTAAAAATTTTTCATGTTATAGACCAGACAAAATCCAACAATCCAATTAGTGAAATTATTGCTCGTACCTTGTGCGCCAATCATATTTTGTCTAGCAAAAATTAGTCATGTCAGGTAAATATAAATTAATTTTAACATTAATAATAAAAAATATATAAAAAATTTAAAAAACACTCAATTCTAAAAATAAAGTTATTAAAAATAATGGTACATAAAATTTTATTTAACTGAACACATACAACATGGCATATTTTAATTAGATGGAATATATATGTCATAGTATATGGATCTATATATATTTTTAATGACTTTATTTCTTGAATATAATTCTTATTTAAGTTTTTGCAATCCTCTCCATCATCATTAATAACAAAGTCAATTTATATTTATAATTAACTGATATGATATATTTTTATTAGATAGAATATGATAGTGCACTTAGTGAGTGAAATTAAAGATTGATGATTATTTTTTATCAAAAGAGTATAAACTTGTGCATTTTGCAAAATGATTTAGGGTTAATGTGCAAAATATATTCTAAAGTATGGCACGAAAAACACCTTGAATTTTTAAAATATACAAAATGGACTATAAACTTTTAAATTCATAACAAATTAAATTCTATTGTTAACTCACCATTAACGTTATTACTATTCACCAATGGGGCCCAATGAAAATGCTTATGTGGCAATCCCTTGTTGATGTGTCATTTTAAATTAGCACCATCAATTCTAAACTATTACGTAAATAACATCCTGAAATCTTAACTTCAAAATTCAAAGCAAATTAATCCCACTATTTATGTGTAGAATCATGACTATTATATAGATTAAATTGGCTTCAATGATATAGGTTATGTGTGTAAAAGCTCCATACAAATTTTATTATAAAAACTAATTTTTACTACATTAATTTTTGTCAAGTAAAATTTTGAGCTAACTCTTGGCTAACAAAAAGTAGGCATACACTTAAACTAAATGGGAAAAGCGTGCTTAATTTAACTCAGAAACCATACATGACCAAACAGAAGAATCAATATTGCGATGGGACCACTTAACATTTTCAGCTTTGGCGCCAATTCAGATGAGCCCGTTTCCCAGCCGCTGCAAAATGACATGGCATTTTCTGAAGATTCGCTTGAATATAGACAAACAAAATACCAGAGGAAAAAAAAAAAAAATACACACTCTCTCTCAGCATCAGTCACAGTCTCCTCCACTTCAAAGATTCGCGTCTGCATCACTGAACAAAACCTCGTGATGTCTGTCACTTTACCATTTCAGCCCTCTACTGAACCTGAAGCTCCCTTTTTGCAAAGATTCTCTTGTTTCCCCTGTTTTCCTCATCCTCTCATTTGATGTCGTTTCCGATTTCAATAATTTGCATTATGCTACTGTATCAAATAAATGTCAAACTTTTCTAATTCTTTTGAATTCCTTTAGTTATTGATCAATTATTCGGATTCGGACCTCCTTGGTTGTTTTGTTTGGATCATCTTCATCTTCGAACAGATTTACCATGATATGCGTCGCTGTCGGTTTGATCTAAAGGTGTAAATCTCAATGCATCTATGCTGCTCATTTCTTTCTATTCATTCATGTTGGTTTCGATTGATTGGATCATCTTCGTTTCTTATTATTCATTAATGTTGTGTTCTACTTGAAGTTTGATCGGATTGAAGAACTTTCTGTTTATGTTTGATGCGTTATTTGGCTACCTAGAAAGTAAACTCGAGGGAGGTTATGAATCGTACATTTCAAGAATATGTCTTCAACTCTGCTTTTATCGTTCCTTTGATTTCTCCTCGCAGGGAATGCCTGCTAAAACCACCGCTTCTCTTTTGCACTATTTATGAAATTTATGAATCGCTGCCTTATGCTGTGCACGCTTCAAAATTCTCTGACTTTCCACTTCCACTTCTTATTTTGTTTTGTTTTCTTCCTCATTTTTCCCCCTTCAGTTTGTACATTGGAAATAACTTATTGCGCATTTTGCTAGGAATTTATTTTAGGTCGTATTGCGCTAGCATGCCTTTAAATCTGTTGCTTTTAGTGTATTTGTCTTGTAATCAGTCATATGGCTTCAGCAATCACTTGGCTCATTTTGCTTCCACTGAATAGCTACATGAATGTTCAGTACAATAGACGTAATTACTTGTATATCATGACCACTGGGGAAACTTTCTTTTGGGTTATTTTGAATTCCACTATCTGCAAGTTGCTTTGAGTGCCTGAAATATTTTAATACTGGTGTATTAAGCATACGCATATATTTCCATGCTTGCCAGTGCATACGAGCTCCAAGGGGCGAAGCCAATTTAGATATCACTAGTGACTCTATAAGAATTCAATATTTAAGCTGATAAATTCTTGACGTGGTCAATACCAAAAATTCTCTAGCTGGTTGTCTTATAGGCCATCGTACATAACGAGCTGCCAATCTATTTCTATATTAATAATTTTACACTGACACTGGTATAGTTAGATTTGATTGCTGTGATTTCTGTGTCATGCTGCATGCCTGACTTGAAAATTGCGCATTTACAAAGCATAGGGTCAAAGTTGGACTCTAATACCAACTTGAGCTTAAAAAAAAAAAAAAAAATTAGAAGGGAAAGAAAGAAAGAAATTCATGTATCTCCATAATTTCCACCGTGGTATCATAATGACCAATGATGCAATGGTAAATCCCAATTTCCAGTTTGAAAATCCAAATAATAAATTAAAGTTAATAATAGCTTACAAAGAAGCACAAGTCGTTTTTCCTTAACTAGAAAATTATCTTTTGGTGTGTGTTTATATTAAATAGTATGAGCAGAAACTTCTGTTGGAGTGTAAATTAAGGTTTAAGTATTTTTGACTGTGGAAAAAAGTCATTCAGCAGAGTAGCTGGTATAAGTTAATTTCATTTTCTTCAAAACATTGAAAATGAGATTTGCATTCAGTTCTTTATTGACATATGGGTTAGTTGTTTTTATGCTCTTTATAGTAAATCCTCTGATAATTAATATGTGAAATAGTTTGTGCTTGATTATTTTTTTGCAGGAGTGACAGCTGTATAAAAATGACTGCATAAAGCTAATTTCTCTCCTGAGATAAAATTATAATAACATCCATCAGCCATGATTGTTTTGGAATTGACTGTGTTTAGTTGGAGAAGATGAGTTGTAGAGATGATTTCCTATGAGCAAGATCCAGATGTTGTACGATGGGGCCTGCAGCTGTTTTATGCTAGTCCATATTCTAATTGTAGATATTGTGGTGCTGTTACTCAAGAGAATTCAGATTGTTACCATGGGTATTATTTTAGGGAAGAGGATTATAACAATGATTTTACCAACATAGACAATGATGAACAAACGGTGCATGCTCTTCAGCAACAATTTTCACAACTTGCGGTGACTGAACCCTCTGAACCTTCATATGATTGGTCAGAAAATATGCCGCCATCCAACTCATTGCAAGAGTGGCTTAGTCATCCAATAGATAGCTATTGCCCTGGTATGTCTTATATCTAAGAATGTCATAATGATTTCCTTTTAAGCTGCTAGGTCTTCGACACTATTAATTTGCTTTATGTTTATTTTGTCTAAAATTTGTAGAACAGCAACATGATCAGGAAGAGGCAGATGATCCGGAAACTTCTGGTTCATATTCTAGCTCTGAGAAGAACTTATATTGTGGAGATCAATGGTTGTGTTCGTTGGAGCAGATTGATGAATATGCTCTTGATGGAGAAGTAGGAAAAAGACTGAATCAGATGGTTCCAATTCCAGTGAGTTAGGCTTCTCAAATGCCATTGATTTGGTTTGGTTTCCAAACGTTTTCTATTCTCTCTCTCTCTCTCTCTCGTGGTAACAATGAACTTATGACAACTTTATTTCCTCTTATTAATACCTTAATCAATTGGCTTCCCCTGACACTGAATGACAAATGAAATTTTTGATGACTTTCTTCAATTCTGAATTTACTGATGTTTATGCTTCAAGGTTTGTTTGTAGCCGCATTCGTGTTTTCTTCAGTCAGCATTGTGGTGGTAGTTGTCTAACAGTTTATAGCTTCTGTCAATCTGTTATATGTCTAATAAATTCTTAATAATATTTCTTCTATGTTATCTCTTATAATGTATAATGTATGTAATCCTTGACACAGCATGTTCCTAGAATCAATGGAGAAATACCTTCGATTGATGAAGCAACTTTAGATCATCAAAGGCTATTGCACAGGTAATGCTCATTAGTAATGTGTTATTTTTCTTCTACCTTTATTATTATTTTTTTCTTTTATTATGTGGGAATTTTTATTCATAGTTATTGATTGGATTGTTAAAATTAACTTATGTTTCGTATGCTCAAGACCTTTTATTTAATTTTTGTTTACAGGCTGCAGCTGTATGAGCTGGTTGAGTCCAAAGTTGAAGGAGATGGAAATTGTCAGGTTTGTTCTTTTCCATCTGAGTGTGCCCATCAAAAGTCATAAAATTTTCAATGATTACATGGCCAAGTCATTACATGATAAATGAGCAAATGGTTGTCTTCTATATGCTCTTAATGTGACCGTGGGATCAACCATGACGATAGAGTTCGCCATATCAATACATTGAAATTGCAAAATTTATGACATCCTATTTAAAGAGCTGATCTCTGTCTTACGTATTGCAAGTAGATTCTAATTAAATTTGTTATGTTTACAGTTTCGTGCACTATCAGATCAAATCTATCGAACACCTGAGCACCATATATTTGTGAGAGAACAAGTAGTAAATCAGGTTGTCTGGCTATCTTCTACCACATTTTAGTTTAAGCACAGAAGTGTTGTACGACAGGATTGATTAGATGTGATTGAGACATAATTGTTTTGAATTTTCTTTCTTTCTTTCTTTTTTTTGTTGGTGATTTGTAATTGGTACATTTTTGCAAATTAGCTGAAGTCATACCCAGATATATACGAGGGATATGTTCCAATGGCTTACAGAGACTATTTGGAGAAAATGACCAAGTATCATTCTACTACTTCCAGCTTAATTCAATTGGTTTTTGCTTAAGGTATTTGTTAATTATTTCAACCATGATGCTATTAGGAATGGCGAGTGGGGGGACCATGTGACCTTGCAGGCTGCTGCAGATTTTGTATGCTTCAGCAACTAAACTATATATCACTTATGCCTTTAATTATATGATTGTCATGTATTCTTTTGTATAATTTATTTGTTCTTGCTATTAAGTTGGATAATTAAAAAGGAGCTGCATTTGTGCCCAACAAATGTCATTCGCTTCCAATAAACATGACATGAATGTATTTGACACTTAGAAATTGCATTTGAACACTTGAATTGTCAATGAATTCATGTTAGTTTCCATACTTTTTTGGCTGATATGCTATGTTAATGGGAATTATTGATAATGAGTCATCCTTATTTTTATCTCATCGTTGATAGAAGTAACCTGACCTTCACCTGGCAAAAATGTAATCCCGAAGGTGGCTAATCCTTTCTAAAAGTCTTATTTTATTTTCAAAATTCAAATTATTCACTTTCATCTTCTTTGTATGAGAATTCATGATTCTGAAGCAACTATTGCAGTAAGACCATGATGTCATATATATATATATATATATATATTATAGTTCATGGTCCTAGATGCTGTATGACAGAGTAACACGACCTATGTACACTAGATGGAATAAACAAGAGTGGTGGAAAGTTAATGCCGGGTCAACAGGGAGCAGTTAGCAGCAGTAAATTAGTATTATAGCGGCTGTTATTTTAGCATAACTTCCAAAAGGCCTGATCTAACTGACATGGTAGTTAATAAATGTCTTTAGATGCATGCTTTTCTATCTAAATTCTTCTATCATGTATTGCAGTATGGAGTTAAAATATTTGTCATCACTTCTTTCAAGGATACTTGCTACATTGAGATTCTTCCAAATTTTGAAAGGTCGAGACGAGGTATTTTCATGCTACTTTTAACAATATCACGATGTTCTGGAAGTACAGTGCTTGCTTCTCTGCCATTTGCCAACCTTACAAATCAGTGCCTATTTCCCAGAAAATCAGAATGCATCAAAACCTTGAAAGTGTAGATATTCTAGAATCAATAGCAACATCAACATCAATATCAATATCAATATCAAATATGAAAAATCTATTTCAAGTGACACTATTCATATTTCATAAGCAATGAACAATGTTACTCATTTCTTAGACTCTGTGCAATGCCCAGAAAAAGGTATCTTGATTTTAATATCATTGAATATATTATATAGTATGGATCTTCATAACCTCTCATTGTCTATTAAATCAATATTAATACATCAAGATAAAATCTATTAAGCTGCATTATATACAAGTTACCAACACTGCAATTCAATTCTCAGACTTCCCGGTACACACAATGCTGGGAAAAACGTATCTAGTTGTTATAATATATTGTTATCGCATTGTAATATAGTGTAAATGGTTACTATACTTCGAGTTTATGCCTTAAGCTATGCCGAGCAATTATATTTCACTACTTTTTTTCTGTTTGAGTGAAGTCAGCTAACTCATTCACGGATAGTAATGGATAGAAACAAAACCCAAAAAAGAAGAAGAAGAAGTCAAAGAACCATTCAAACCTTTTTGTTCTTGCTTTTGGGCAAATTTCCATATTTTTATCAGTAACTAACCTGCAGATGGAAAATGAAAACAATTTATTTTTAGTTTTGATTGTTGTTATTTTATGTTTATTGTGCAGTAATATGTTTGAGCTTCTGGGCAGAAGTACACTACAACTCAATATATCCTGAAGGAGGTTAGGGTGCATGCATATCTGCGCTGGCATACATGCTACATTGGCTATTAAATTAAGAATGTTAAAGCTGTTGATGTGACTTGTTAATATTCTCAGACTTGCCTTACGCCAAAAGCATAGCCTCCAGTGTGGCTAAGCTTGGACTCTCTCCTATTGAGACTAATCTGAAAGAAAGATGTGCCTTAATAGCTCTCCATGATCATAATTGGAGTGGAAAAAGCAGTTATAGCAATGATTGTTATTAAATTCTTTTGCAATATCTTTAAGAATGTATAACCTTAGCCTGGTGGCTATGCTCCGCAGTGGAAGTGATTTATCTGGTGTAGGATTATTGATATATGAGTTTTCCGACCTCAAGAACTCGATTTTGTGATACGAGAACTAGTCTCAGGATATGGCTCTCAGGTGTGGGACTCTGTAGTTCGGTGGAATATTATTACAATATCAATTGCCAAGGTATATGATTTATATGGGATTTCACGGGCTTTTTACCTCACAACTTTGTAGTTAGTATTGGGCAGCTCCAACAGTGGAGGGTGGAGACAAAGGAAAACATTCTTAGAGTTAGAGATGCACAATACATTATTTTCGTATTGTTGTATCTATGGGTCAGATTGACTAATTAGTGTTGAGATGCCCAAATGTGGGTGAATGTAAGTTAATGTTGAAAATCCTACATCAAATAGAATAGGCAATATGTAATATAGTGGAAGGACTCATAAACTTGAGATTTTGGATTTGAATTGAGATGTGACGTCAATTCCACTGTTCATCTTATCGCTCACAAGTCACAATCAATTTGGCGTCTGTGGCGTTTTCTATCAAGTCTTTTTGTCTTGTTGATTAGCTGATGTTGGGTTAAGATATTGATGGCTGATGGATTTAACTTGTTTGCAGGTCCGCAGAATGAGATGTGATTTCGACCCTCTCTTTGGCCTCTGGCCGCTTCGGTTAACAACCTGCACTCGATTGTTTTATTACTTTGGTGATGGCACGGTCATTGGGTCGCAATCTATCGTCTTATTGACGTATTCATTGCATGGGCTGTCTTGATTTCCCAAATATTTTATCTGATATGAATAATTTATTTTAACATCTAGAAACTCATTGCAACATATGCAGTGATACTAGTGCGTCACCCCTGAGCTTTATTAAATTTCAGGCTAGTGCCACAACGCTTGAAGGATGCCGCAAAGAAAGAAATGGAGTTGTATTTCTTTCTCAATATGGATGCTTTCGAGTCAGATTTGTTCATTCTCACTATCTTAGCTTTCTATTTCCCGTGCAAATTGTGATTTCACGGGTAGAAAATGAAAGTGGGGATTGGATTGAAGTTTGGTATTATTGTATTGTGATAAATGATAATTTAAGTGGAAGTTCGAAAACATATGATGTGTATGACATGATGTAAATTGGACGGACTATTCTCATTTCAGGTACTCATGTTCAGCTCCAGTGCCCACTAAAATGCACCGTTGTGTTGAGTTAGGGGAAGAGTGTTTAATCCTAGCCATGTATATTGGGTTCTTCAAATCACCATCCTGAAAATTTCTTCTCCTTGTCCTACTCGGCAGAGGACAGGCGACAGGAGTAGAGGTCTTCTGGGCTGCGGGATGGATCTCCTGTGATGGCTCCATGGCGGTGGTTTGATGGCAAATGGAGGGAGGTATCTCGTAATAAGTGCCACACGACAATCTATCTTAATCTCAAATCTCAAAGCAATAGATTTATGGGTCTTTCCATTAACATTTTCGTTCCATCGCAAGTGTCACAGAAAGCTTCTTTTCCATACTTCAAAATAAGTCTCATTTTCATATTTCAGGAAAGTGTTACATACTTCGTTTCCTGTTTTAACCCTTATTGACACAGTCATTAGTAGTCAAATGATATTTGTTAAAATAGCACGACGAACATTTTTGGAAAGTATTAGATTGATTTTGCAAAACTTTAGGTTATTTAATGATTTTCTTGAGCCATGTGAAAAACATTTTTGACACTTCGTGAAAGGGGGAGAGAAAATATGCATGCCTTTGAGTCATATCCACTCACACTTAACACATATGCCATCATCTTAATTAATATTGAGTAACAAGCAACGTTAAAGAAATCCACGTTGGATGCACTCGCATCACACATGCGACTTTGGCTCCAATGATATCAATTTAAACAATATCTCAAGTTATTAATCATGAAAATCTCCCATGATAATCCTTTTAAATTTTTATGAACTTGTATACAGACATGTCTGTATGCTTTCGAAGTGTCGGATTTTAATTAACATTCTGAGCATTGATGTATTCCATTCAAAAAAATGTGGGGTTTGTGTATGGCAACTTCAAAAGCCATGGAATTAGAGATTTTCAGGCAGTTGACGCTATTTGATTGGTGGCCTGTGAAACAGAATGCGGAGATCCCAGAAGGTCCCTCCAATTTCCGTATGTCAACGTCCAAGTGGTGGATGAATTTGCGGAAGAAACACGTGTCCTAATTGGGTCTGGATCCTCTCATAATCCCACTTTTTCTTTTCTTTTCCTCATCTCATCTCCACCCTTAAATAATAAATAATAAAGTCAATCGTTCAGATTTAATTATTTTTTATCAACAAATATAATTGTTTTTAAAATAATTATCATATAAAAATAAATAAATTTAAATTGTTAAAAACTGACCTGCACAGTTTATAGTTATATATTGTTATTAAAATTATTTATTTATTTATTTATTTTATTATAGTTGCACATCATGTAAGTTAAATTTTAACTATTTAACATTGTTTGTTTGGTTTTTACAGGCAAGCACTTAGTTCAATTGATTCAAAAAGTTGAATCAATTTATCATGTATTTTGAGTTTAAATCATGAAATATATAGTCATATTAAATAAATATAATAAAGGCATTCTTGAAACATTTGAGAGTTCAGTGTTTTGGATTACTTTGAACATTCCTTACCTAATTTAAGTGCAGAGATGCGAGAAAGGGGGGAAAAAGAGAGAGAGAGAGAGAGAGGCGCGCAGAGAATGGCCGCTGAGAGGATCTGCTTTTGTCCTAATGACATGTCCAATTTCAACTTCAAGGCTCCCATGTTCGGTGCTTTTAATATCTTGATAGCCCCACTATATCCGGACATATCCATCAATGCATAAAAAACTAACAAGTGGAGGTAATAATGTATAGATTCTAGAAAATATTTTACTCTAAACATCTCAAAAATATAAACTTTTGATGACAAGGGAGGTTATATGCAAATTTTGATAGAGTATTTTGGCCTGGACAGAACATCGCGTAGCTGATGGTTTGGTTTGTGTGAGGAAAGCGACCTGTTATATTCCCAGAATGTAGATGTCACGCTTCCTTCATAGTTCATAGTCGGTAAAAGCATTTATCCTCAATTTTTTCAAGTCGCATGCTTTAACTATGACCTTTTTACCTGTTTTCTTTATATAATTACATTTTCTTTAACATTATTATCTCTTTAGTCAGAAGATATCTAAAGTAGTATTGAGTAATTTTAAGTCTAAACACTCGCAAATTCAAATAAAGGAAACCCTTCTGGCGTGATTTTTTTCATTTGTAATATCTAAAGTATATATGGACCCTTTTCCACTTACATCTAAAGCATCTTGTATCCAGCACAAGTAGAAACAAAAAGAACAAGGTTTTCGAACAAAAAAGAAATAAAAGAATAATGATATTTTTGCGTGGAAGAAATTTAGAAACGCATATTTTTGTACAAATGAATACATAAATTTGGGGTTGGGGTGGGGGTGGGGGTGGGGGGGAGGAAAAGACGAATGCTATGCATATGAATTTTACAGGTTGTGTATGGGGCCAAGTGAGCAATGATGTGACTACGCACCTTCTGATTAGAAAGAGCAAGCCCTCAACGAAGCAATTATAACTTGGATGTAGATATTCTAAAGTGAGATCTTTATGAAATGCTTCTTTAAAATTGAAATAAAATATAGAGAGTATAGAATCATATCTGGTATATAGGATGGCATCAAGGAATAAAGAACTGTGAACGGAAAGTTGTTCCAATGACGTAGAAGAGATCTGGATTCGAACCAGCTAGCCTGGTCATGTTTTGTCTGTATTTGATTTGATTGTATAAAAAATAAATAATTAAAATGAAAACTGGTATTTTACGCTTGATAGTTTTTTATTCTCGAATAAAAATAACATACAATGACTAATTACCAAGTAATAATAATGAAAGTATAATAAATTTTATTCAGCAATAATAGTAACAATGTAATGGATTTTTCTTCTGCTGGGATACCAACAAGGCCAAACAACACACACTTATAAGTTGGGCCCGTGTAATTGAAATTAAAAAAATAAATTTTTAAATAGATTAAAACATTTATTTTGTAGATATTTTATAAAAAATGAATATTATTTTATATTTGGTTATAATAATTATAAATGATTACTCTATCCGTTCAAAAATATATGATATTTTTAACTAAATCTTACTTTAATAAAGTGGTTAGTTATCTTCAAATCAACATTATCTTTCTGTATTTATCTTTATTTGATATAATGTTTTACTTTAAACTAAATATAAAGTGATTCATTTATTATGAATACTTTAAAAAAATATTAATTATACTTTTAAATATTAAAGATACTATACATTTTTTAACATCTAACCTTTTAAATAATATTTTATATTTTTGAATGAAAGAAATATTGGTTAGTTATTTTAAAATTTTATGATATATTACTTAGTTTCTGTTTTATAAAATAATTTATTATTTAATTATTTTAAAATATTTTGATATCTTCATATATCTTGTATTTTTAAAATATTTTCTCTCATTTTTCATATCAATGGAGCTACTTTAAAACAATCAAAAATATTTTTTATATTTTGATTATTCTCAAAAGTTTAAATTAATATCATAAAAGCGCACAAAATATTTTTTAAAAAAAATAAGTTTTTTTTTTGTAAAATAAATTGAAATTTGAACAGCCAATTATCTAAGTTGGCCAAATGCTTTCTAGAACGAGAAAATGACAACAAAAAAACAAATCAAACCAGGGCGAATGTAGGGGAACAAGGGGGGTGCTCCCCCCTCCCAATTTGATTTGCCCTTTAAAAAATTTTAAGATTTTTTAAATTTTACATGTAAAAATTAGTGTTAGGCCCCTATATTTTAACCAGTTTTCATTCTTGCCCCTGATATGTTTTTCCCTGGATTCGTGCCTGCCTCCAAAATATACAAATGATAAAATAGGTACCGTAAAATGTAATAATTATTTTTTAGCTCTTAAGAACTCATTTAACCTTTTAGATTTTTTTGAGATGACATTTTTGCCCTTCCCTCAACACTCTCGGGAGGAGTTATCTGACACATTTTTGCCCTCTCACTGCAACAAAGCAAGACTTATATGATAGTCTGCATTCTGTAATATTCTTCTTTTTTAAAATATAAAATATTTTTAATTAAATTTTACTTTAATAAAGTAATTAGTTATTTTCAAACCAACATTATATTTTTATATTTACCTTTATTTGATGTAATGTTTCACTTTAAAATAAAAATAAAGTGATTTATTTATTATGGACACTTTAAAAAATATTAATTAAACTTTTAAATATTAAAAATGTTATACATTTGTTAACATCTAACCTCTTAAATAATACTTTATATTTTTTAACAAAAGAAATATTGATTAGTTATTTTAAAATTTTATGATATATTACTTAGTTTCTGTTTTATAAAATAATTTATTGTTTAATTATTTAAAATTTTATGATATTTTTATGTATCCTATATTTTTAAAATATTTTCTCTTATTTTTTATATCAACTGAAGCTACGTTAAGGAACTGTTTCGTTGGGGGCCAGGGCTCCCCTCCCTTCTTTGCCGTCTCGCTGCTACTTTATTCATGTAAATGCTAGCTATTCCATTTCCCTCCCTTATCTATCTCACTGCCTTGCTTGTGTCTATTTCACATTATTAGGGCTTATGGATCTCTCTTTTGTGATAAACATAAACCACTAACTTCAAAGTGGAAGTTTTATCTTTCTATTTATAGGAAAGTTTTTCCCTGTTTGTGATACCTTGTGCGATTTGCATTTGATACTCATCACTCTTTTGCAGGGTAATCTTTGCCTTCCATTTTCCTTCAAATAATCTTTGTAGTTGATTTTAAATTATTTTAATATTTTATTTCTCAAAATAAAATTATATAAAAATTTAATATTAAATATAAACTATCTAGAGTATATCTAGATTATTAATTAATAAAAATTATAAAAAAATTAAATATTAAATTAGAACTTTAAATTATATCCGTATTGTCCAAAATATATCTGAATAATCAATTTGTAAAAATTATTAAAAATAATATTAAATTTCATCATCTAAATTAAATATGTACTAGCTAGATTTTTTTTATAAGCAAATTTATTGAAGATTTCTATATTTTTTTCATATTTTTATTCTAACAAATATAAAATAAAATAAAAAGATTACATTTTGTCTGTGTAAATATCTATATAGGTTGATCAGATAATACAACGATAATGGTATGGAGTAAACGTCGGCACAATGTCAAGAAATAGTTGAGGGATGAGTAAAGATGTCATCTCCCGAAAAATTAAAATGCCAAATAAATTTATAAGAACTAAACAATAATTATAACATTTTGCGATACTTATTTATCATTTGCATATTTTAGAGATATTCATCGAGTACTAACCAATGACATGGACCAAGTTGGACTAAATCGTAAAT